ACCCACCAGGGCCTAAATATCTGCCGCAGAACTGAGAACAGGATGGATAGATATTACGGCGGCGGCCACAGCATCGGTCTCGGAGAACTAGGCATCCATACCGACCAAAAGGCGACTGATCCCGCCATAGCTCAGCCTACCATTCACGAAAGGTGTAGGTGTCCTTCGCATCAGGAAATCTGCAACAATTGGCCAATGGAGCACGCCGAACTGACCATTTCCCAGCGTATAAGAACCTGTATGTACTGCGGCCATGATTTCAGGTCAACATCAGAGGTGCGCAGACACTTGAGAAGATATCGAGAGCAAGGAACACAAGGGAGTTTCTTTCAATAGGAGCCAGGAAAACTTGAATCGTACTACCTCGGCTTGGGCCTCGAGACTTCTGACTCTAACCTATATCAACACCTCCCAAACACCCACCCGCTGACCGAACGATCCGGAGTCTATCCCCCACAAACAGACCCAACGAAGCGCCAGGTCTATGGTAGAAGGCCAGGAACTACAGATCTTACAGTACCATCGTCCGGAAGTCAGGAGAAATCGTCCTCACCGGCCTGTTCCAGGATCCCAGGAACCCTCGAATACGATTCATATATCACCCGATTCAGGGGAGGATACTAGAGACTCATGACACTCATGTTGTGGCCTATAAGCCTCGGCGGGAGGGGGCGAAGGGGGCGAAGATTACCACCCTCAGCGGTCCTAAGGAAGCTAGAGACGGGTCTAGTCCACCGCCCAGCACGCGTGCAGACATGACCGCAGACCGAATTGGGGGCCGTCACTGGTGAGGGCGACAGCGAAGGCTACGGGGTGAGTGAGATAACCCTGAGGTGAGGAGGGTGAGTTGTGCCCAAGTGACGATTTTTGTGTTTTGTGCAGTGATAGTGGCAAGGTCGGGGGGGGGCAGACGGCAATTTGCGAGCACACTAGCTTACGTTTACATTGGATGAGGCATCATGTTTATCTTCGCCGCCGCCGCCGATATACATCTGCGTCTGCGCATCTTGATGGTGACGGTAGGAAGCCTTTCAGCTGCACTATCGACCGATCCTGATGTCCTGGGGTTGATTTGAGTACAGCAATCGCGAATCTGAGATTAAGCGCCCTCCTTATGGCCCGCTCCATGTCATTGTCGCAGCTTGCCTGCCTCAGGCCGAGGGCTTGGATCTATTGTCATTACCAGGACCGTGCCGTTGATGGCCGCGTACCCGTACTTCTGGTTTCAAAAAGCTCACTGGGAAGATATCCAACTTGCAAAGGAATTCAAGGGGCTGTGCTGTTGATGCAGGGGCCTTTTTATTTTGCTCGACTCCAAATTATGTTGGACATGGTCAACATTATTTTGCTCTTTTTCACTTGCAACCTGGATCTGGTGAGCCTGGGCCTGAGCCTGAGCTACGATAGTGTTGCAGGGTCTCCAGGGAATTGACTGTACTCCTATCACCCCTGTGGCACTTCTCCTTGGGGGATAAAAGAGTGACCAACAGTCAATGTGCCCAACTCCGCACCAGCCATGAAGCGCCAATTCCTCATGTTACTGCCGAACTGATGGTCCCTTCAGAATGCGACTGGTCGACACTTTCTCCTGTGCCTGCCCGTTCCCACCTCGACCAATGTACCCAGGAGCTCACCAAACTCGAATGTCTGTTCATAGAGTTTGAAACGCCTCAGCAATGGACTTTCTTTGGGAGAACGGAGTGGCCCACCTTCCATTAACTGCTCCGAAAGACATTTCCCGACCTAGAACGTGTCATCCAACTTTGATGGCTCCATGTGGACAAGTGAGTGACAGCCGAGAAAAGCAGAGTCCAGACCATGGCTTGATGTCGGTCATGAGTGGTTTATTCGGCGCCAGGACCGACCGACGAAGTTTCCACTTCCACCTCGGTGGTATCCCTGTGTCTGCACGATTCCGCCTCTTGGTGGCAGGGGAGCCATGTTGTCCCTCGAAATGTGGATCTGTAGACATGTTTGTGCCGAGTTCGCAGCTGTCAGCCGCAAGCGCTGTGGTTACTTTGCACTTGGATGACGGGGAGAGCGGACATGAAGGACCTGATAAAGGCAGTCGAGGCCGAACAAGGAGCTGCAAGAATGAGCACCATGGTGTTGATGGCACTGTCAACAAAGCCGCAGTAGCTCATCCATGAGGCATGGTTCCAAGGAAGTCGCTGACACCGTTTCAAGAGAGATGTACTCCGTGCTCAGTTTTGTGTGAGATTGGATCATGTAAGTCCGCTGAGGGGGAAGTAAGTCCTTGTGATGGACAGTCGCAGGGACCATGTCCTGAGACTCATATTCCCCTGATTGTCTGGTTGATACTTGTGATGTTAACAGGTGCAGATTCCTCAATTCATCTATCTTCTTTGGACCTTTGTCCGGGAGCGACGTCTCGTGGCGCTGACGTCACACTGGCCAGCGTGGCACTTGGAAGCTTCTGGAAGCTTCTCTGCTACTTGTACCTCTCTTGTGGCCAGGACCACAGCGCTCGTACGATGGGCGGATACGGAGAACAGATCGTCCCCTTTGCGTGGCTCTTGGGGTTACTTGACTTGAAGAGAGACACTGACGCTGAGAAGAAAAACGGTAAGGAGAAGAAAAGCAAGATCCAATTCCTGAATCTGTGTTCATTGACCAAGGTGAGGTCTCACTAAAACTGTCTCTTTCCTGAGGGCTAGTCAAGTGCCCCTTCTACTATGTTATCTGACCGACATCTGCCTCAGTTACATGCAAGACGACCATCCCAATGTCGACGGCGATCAAGTCTAGATCGACCGACCATTGCAACTGCCTCCCCCATTCTGCAGGTCTTTTCTCCTTCTCCTTCTCCAAAGCTGCGTCGAGACGTCCACGCCTCTTCGTCTCTTGCTCAATACGCATGAAGAGCTGTGGGAGAACAGCATCAAGTCAGAAGTCTCTGGCTGTGGTTGTGGAGCCGGTAAGAAGTGAGTGATGATACCCATGAAAGCAAAGTGACACTCATGAAAGTGGTTCTGAAACTGACGCTGAAGGATCCCATCGTCATCGACTTGTCAGGCACGCACTGGAGTCTGGATGAAAGACCTGTCCCGCAGATTAGGCCAGCCTGAGCCCACAGTGGCCTGCCTTCTCTTCGATGGCGATGCACCAAGGCGCAGAAGGGATTGGGCTCCTGACGATACCGGATTCCCAGAAGGTCGACTGGCCTCATCCTCAAAGCTCTGAGGGGAAAGCTCTGTGCCAACCTCGATGTCTTTCTTCTCTTCCTCCTCTCCCTTCTCTCCCTGCTCTTCCTTCTTCTCCCGTACAACGAATCATCTTCTGCGCCCTAGTTCTCTCTCGGGCAGCTCTTCGACAAGGCCGGCTATGTCTCTATGGACGACGTGGCTTGTACGACTTGTATCGATAACAAAAGGACTAACGCCACCGGACCGTGCTTAGAGTTCGCCCTAGTTTAGAGGGATCGAGATGACGTTCCCCAGTTTCCCAAAACTCGGGATCGACAGGACCAAACAAACTCTCAACTCCACCAGGCCCTCTGGTACCGGGGGATCGAAACGACAGAGTTATCACGTGCACCACGCTGGGTTGATTCACACTCGTACTGTTGTATGTACATTGCAGTCCATCCACGAACAAAGCCTTGCTATCCCTACGAGCACAGGGTGGAGGGGCAGGCTCCTATTGCTGACGGTGCTCCGGTCAGGTGGCCACCCAGAATGCACTTTTCCAACCGTCCAGACCAGTGACGTCAGCTGGATTGCCCCGAGACAAGATTCTCAGACCATCAGATCCTTGCAGTGTTCAAAGGATGGACTGGCTGCGGAACCGATGGGTGTTGCCCTGTGCAGTGGGTGGGATTGGGGATGACAGCGAGGGTGTGGGAGGGCGAGGGAGCTGTGCGTGCGCGTGGGTTGCGGGTTGGAATGTGACCAGTTGGCGAGTCGCGTGCAGATGCGTCCAGGGCTGAGGGAGTGTGAGAGAGTGTGACAGCGTCAGAGAGTCAGAGAAGTGTCAGAGACTCACAGAGTGTCGGGGCTGTGAGAGTCCAGTCGACGCCACCGACGGCGGAAACGACAGTTCTGGGAACGAGAAATTGGGGGGATGGAAGTTGCAGGCGCCAGGCGACAGTTGTGGCCGCGGCCTCGACCCCCGATTGGCTTCCACATCTGCTCGCCACCTTCCCAAAGCTGCTCGCCACCTTCCCAAAGCTGCTCGACGCAGGCAACCGCCGACCGAGCAAGCATTGGCGGGCACTGATTGAACACACCTTCGCTTGTCCAAAACTCACCATTCCTGTCTCGTCGCGCTTCTCGACGCAACTATTGGAATGCATCCATGCACTCGCAGCCGCTGCTTCCTCCTTCCCCGGGAGCCGCGATTGGACCATTCCTCGCTTCCAGCCTCGTCACCCCGACACCATTGGGCCATCCCCAGGGACCCTGGTCTCTCACGCTCGATAGTCTGCCGCATCCCAAGCGACAGAATCACCCATCTTAGCCGTCTTCTCGCTTGCTGCAGACGAGAAGCGCGAAGGGGCTTGCATAGGTCTCGGGGTTGGAAGTCTTGATCTATTAGATGGCTCAGCTGAGAGATGATCGCCCGCCGTTGCCGGTCCGTCAGGCTCAGCCGAGACAGAAACTTCGGATCGCCCACCTCGTTTTCGCTTTCTCGCCGTCTCGATCACACCAAAGAAGCCTCCGTCGGTGAGATGGCTCGGAAGGGCGCTTCGTATCGTGCTTCTCCCCTCGATTCCAACGGCCGTGGATCGCACACAGACGAACAGATGGTATGTATATATGAACCTTCTCTCGAGAACTCGACACGTCCGTCCTCCCTCTTCCTTTTCCATCACTCCCATGTCCAACCATCCCTTCTGACCTCGAGCTCTTCCTTCGTAGACACAATCCCCTTTCTTTTGCACAACATCTCATCCACTCGACCTGTCGCCTCGGTCCCTTGACCAGACATCATCTTGATCCGGCAGCTTCTGTCTACTACAACCGCAGCCCGCGCCAGACATGGGCGATTCCGCACCTCCTCCCCGGAATGAGAAGCCTTTTTGCATCCTCAGGGAGACAAACCCCCAAGAGTCGCGCGTGAACCCCCTCGGTCAGTACCCGCCAAGCCAATTCTCATCTGGCCCGGCCCAACAGAGCCCCCCTCGAGGATACCACTTTGTCGACGCCCCTCAAGAAGAACTTCGACCCCATGATCTACTTCAATCAGCAATCAACAACCATGTCAACCCAGCTTCCGAACTGCAGAGCCACCTGCACCTCCGCGACGACGATCAAGACAGCGTTGGCCGTGGCCGCGGCCGTAGCCGTACCCGTGGGCCTGGGTTTCGGCAGTACATCAGACAATCATACGGAGTCCGGAGTGCAGTCGACGATGAGGCAGTCAGTGCACGCGTGACAGAGTACTTGGCCGGCCTTCAGAGAACACAAGTTCCAAGTGAGGACCTGATCTCTCGCCACGAGACCCCGGAGCAAGCCCGGGAGGAATCACAGCAGCAAGAATCATCATCGCTACCCGTCTTCGGACCATTGACTCTATGGCAGACGATTGAAGATCATGCGGGACAAATACAATCCCGGACCGAGGAACTCCGGAGGCGGCGCTACGACGCAGAGCGTGAGCGAATCGACCAACGAGGAGACCTGTCCGCGCGCTACAGGCCGATCTGGGAGGCGCTGAGAGGCGATCCGAGGCGAGTCCGTGGACATGCTTGGACGTGGGAGCAGAGTCCGTCTCGGCTGCCACCGTACACCGACCACACTGCTGGTGAGCACGATGTTACCCGGCTTCTTCATGAAGTCGATGTCAAACAGGGTGACGACGAGGAAGACGACATTGCCAAGCGGGGTGGCGAGGGAGACAGTGATGAGGATGAAAACGATGACAATTCCATGCGAAATACTACACATGGTGGCGAGGACAGCGACGACAAAGATGATGGCGACAACAACGACGACGCCGACGATGATGATGATCATCATCATCATCCTATGGGCCCCGCCGCCGACAATGGTCATGGTTCAGGCCATGATCAACAGCACGACGATGACAGTCACGATCATGCTTCAGAGGATGATCACCAAGACGACCAAGACGACCACGGTATGGGACCTGTCAATCATGACCACCGTGAACTCAACCATGATCATCATCACAACCATGACAGATCTGATAGCGACGACAGGGCTGTGACGGACCATGACTTTCTACGTCATGAGAGCGTGGGATGGTCCCAATTTCCCGGGCCCAATGCTCCGGACGGATCCAGGATGACCACATCTCAATACTTCTTGCACCTCTACGACGCCCTGACGAGTGTCGAAGTACGACAGACGGACCTCTCGGCGGCAGAAGACAAGGAAAGATTCGATATGGTCCTCGTCGAGTACCGGGCGATGCTCCGTATGTTCCTCCGGGAGTTCGACAGGCCAGAATGGTCAGCCATCGAGCACCGTAGGCGCCACGGGCCGTGGGACCTCGAGTACTGCGTCATGGTCATGGGCATGCAAGACAAAATCAAGGCCATTCAGGATGACTACCTGGGCCGCGTCGACTCCATCAACCGGTACTGGGTGCAGTTGGACAATGACGAAGACGACGACGAGCTGGATCGAGAGGGCTCTATGGACATCAACAGCGTCTTCTTCGATGAGTATGGGCATATTGTGATTTGCCATGAAGGCCCCAGCGGCACGATGCAACATGTGAGAGCCTGTTCAATTCTTCCATCTCCTGAGCCCGAGCCTTATCATCCTCACCGTCACCACAATCACCATCACCCACCCCCACCACTACCACTACCACCACCATCACCACCGATAGCACCTCTGTTTCCTCTCCCAGGTTACAGTGATGGATCTGAAATGCCCTTGCCAACTCCTTTACCAGAACCAGAGACATCTCGAGGGTCAGCAACACCCGAGCGGCAGTACACCTTCTACAACGACTACGACGATGCCAGCAATGATGGGGACGCATACACCGACACGGACGCGCACCCCGACACCACCAACACCGACACGCATACTGTCGAGCACGTCACAAGACAGCATCCTCTACGACGACTACTTGAACCCGTGCCGTCACCCTACAGCGCCGACAACTACGGCAATGACTGAGGCCATTACGACCAAGACGACGATGACGGAGGCGGCAACAGCACCAGCAACAAGGAGACCATCAACAAGATTCTTCCCTCCATCTAGGTACTGGGGATTGGATCCAGAAGGTAGCTGTGCGTTGATGATGTTTGCCACCGGGACTCTGGTGTGTGTGATGGTTTTCGTTTTTGTGCACACAGCTGGATTGTGGGATGTGTATGTTCCTCCTCCTGGGGCTGGGCCTTGGCGTTGATACTTGCCTCGAGGAGAGAGAGAGAGACTGAAGCCGAGTTGAGCGGGGGGAAACTGCCCCCGGGCATTCTTGGGCACCAGCAACACCGGAAGCGGGGGTGCTCAGCTGTACGCTGGGCAAAAAGTCGGTGTGAGAGGGTTGACAGGTTGTGCTAATGCAGCGTGGATGCAGCGGTTGTGAAACCAACGCAGTGTCGATGCAAGCTGAGTGTGTGCGGGCGTGGGTGTGCGCCCTTGTGGCCTTGATTCGCTCTGACATTCTCCCCCTGCCCCGGCGCCTGCAAAGGGAGGTTTCCGAGTCACGGCTGAAACTGAGAATCGTTACTCCGTAGTGCCCCTCTTGTTTTGGAAAGCCCACGCCAACTTACCGCAGTGGACACACGTTCACTGGATCGTACGCCTCGGTGATTGTGGATGGATCAGATACTGTAGTTTAGTACGCGGAGTTAGCTTTTCGACGGCGTCGGTCTGGCCCGCTCGCTTGCCGTTTACCAGGCAGTGTAAACCTTGTGGCTCGGAGGACCCCTGCAAAATAAGAGAACAATTCATCTCTTATTTTACAGGGGTAGGTACCTAAGCGGTAGGATTGAGGAGCCATCTGGAGTCTGGACAAAGTGGCCAACGTCTTTTTGATTGATTGATTATTTGTTCTTTTTGGGGGGTCAAGCACTGTGCTGAAAATATCTACTTTTCATTCCCAACTGGAATGATAGGATACTCGTTTATCAACCGAACGTCGACCAACTGAAAGTGCCTGTGTGTCCGTGTTTGTGTCTGTCGGTCCCTCCGTCGGTCCGTCCAGTTCGGTCCCACTCACTCACTCACTCATATTGGTGTTGAAGTCGATGAGACCGCTAAAGTCCAAGTCGAACGGGTCAAAGTCGTCCTGCACGACGCGGGGGTCGAATCCGAGAATGGGCGGCTCGATGCCCGGCTGGAAGTGGAGCACGAGGTCGTTGTCTTCAAAAGCTGCCTGCTGGTCGGCCGTGATGGCGGCGATGGTGAGGTAGGTGTTGCTGGTCATGATCGCCTCGTGGATCGGGACCTCTTCTTCTTGTTGTTTGTCTTCTTCTCCTTCAACTCCAGCTTCAGCTTCAGCATCGGCCTCAGCATCGGCCTGCTCACCGGCGTGACCACTTGCGGCGTTGTCCGTCGTGTTCGTCGCAGTCATGGTGTACAGCATTCCTCCTTCAACCGCGGCCGCTTCGAGTACCTCAGGTTCAACGACGATGGCCTCCTCCTCCTCCGAGTCACTGGTAAGTTCTGGAGTTGTGGTGGTCTGCTCGGTGCCGTTGTTGCTGCCGTTGGTGGTGGAGGTCTCGCCGACGTCCATGGTGGTTGACTGCTGGAGAACAGAAAAAAGGCAAAAGGTCAGCTTCTGGACGGAAAACAAAGGACGTGCGCAGGCTCTGAGGAACCATGGACAAGGCCGGACCGCCGCCGCATGGCGCTGGTGGGTGCGGATGCAGAGTTCCCGGGGTGCCAGTGCCAGCAGCAGGGCCAGCCGGATGTCGAGCTTTGGGGAATATGTACTGGCGTCGGTTGCGGCCAAGGTCCTTGCGATCTCTCTGGGCAGGAGACCTTGGGTGTAGGAGAACTTAACAATTTTAGCGACGGTCAATTATCACTTTGAGGGAAGGGCTGAGACATTGGCTTCTCCAAACCTGCCACTGGGCCTACATTCTTTGTGTAAATCAGGAACATCACATTCCAGATCCGGAACATGTGGCGCCCCTGTTTTCGGACGGAAAACTTACACTGTGAACCCATCGAAGAATCTTTGGTGAAAGCGGCATCATTACCTTCACGCGCAGGCCTCAGCACAAGTCTGGTCGCCAATTTCAGAAATATTGCCTGAAAAGATTCCCGAGGTCCATATTGACTGCACCAAAGACTGACGCAGTGGGTTTTCCTGGTTTGCAACTTTTGTTCCCGTGGCTGACCAAAACAATCAAAGAGGTGTGATGAACGTGCACCCTGTCCTCCTCTAAAAACATCTGTCGAGCCTGCTTTCGTGATATCGAAAGTTTGGTGTGTGCCTGCGAAATCAGCTGGAGGTAAAACCTGACTCCGAGAGTCAGGCGGTGTGGAACGAGAGACGAGTGGCTCGATAGGCTCTGAAGAAGGAAATCTGCTCAGTGTGGAAGAATTCTGGAAGTTGTAAACGTCAAACATGATCTTATGAGACCGGCAGGTCGTTGCATCCTGCTTCATCACACCCTACCGATGTGCATATTCGAAATTGGTAACTCGTTTCTTTGGGACTTCTGTGCGCCTGGATCATCATCAATAGAGCGCAGCCTGTCGGCAAGGAAAGGGAATTGGTAGGCTCCGCGTTGTCCAAGAGAAAGCCTTTGCCAAACGCCGGGCATTGCTCTGCTGCGACCTCGTAACAGATCATCACCCACCGCATTGAGATCTTAATCCATCTGGCAGTGATACTTCATGACTTCGCTGCTGTCAAGCCTCGATCTCCGGAGTCGTATGTGAGAGGATTCTGCACATCACAGGTGGCGAAGCTCCCCGGCAACCCGATTTGCTTCACTTATTCACAACTTCCTGCCCACTCAGTGACACCAACATGAAGTGAATCGGATGCGGCAGAAAACTCGACTTGTATTGAATGCTCGATGAAAATTTTCATGCTGCCAGCACACCGCCTGCACAAAACTATTAATTCGTCTTCTCCTCTTCCAAAACCTTTGCACCATCTCATCTCATATCACACTCCAATTGTCCAACATTCTTCTCGCGCAATTACCTTGCTCCGACACAAGCTACCTCTCGACTTGTAAGTGCTCCTCTCAAGTTGATCGGCCCATGCTAACCTCGACTTCAAGTGTTCCGCGATGGAAAACAGCGATCCCTTCACCGTCGACCCCAGTGGTCAGTCGAAGCACGACCTCGATTCCATCTGGTTGATGGCCAAGGCCACTTTTGCATCCAACAACAACCAGATCACCATTCCAACTGTCGTGGCTGAAGAACTCTCTGGAAAAGACCTACAGGAGTTGAAGAAACGCTTCAGGTAAACAGAAGCCAGCTCGGGATGTTTTCTGGCTAATTCATACAGTGCTCACTTCGGAAATGTCGACACCATTGTTTTCATCGACGATACTGCCAAAGTTTTCCGTATCTGCAGTGTCTCTGATGTCGCAATGAGTACTCCACCAGCTGGTGCACCTGCGTCACTCGAATCGGTCTCAAGCTCCACTCGTCAACCTGGCTCTGCGCAAGTTGACCACACCAAAACATCAGCAATCGCTCCCAAACTTCGGCTTCCACGCAGAAATGCACGAGTTCCTCGTCCACCGAACGCCTTCATACTGTATCGCAAGAAGCATCACGCTCTTCTCAAGGCTGTACAACCAGACCTACCAAACAATGACATCTCTATCATCCTGGGCAAACAATGGAAGCAGGAGAGTGAGGGAGTCAAGAATTACTTCAAGACTATGGCTGAGATCATCAAGGTCCAGCATGCGAAAGCAAATCCTGGTTACCAGTACACACCTCGCAAGCCTTCGGAGAAGAAGCGTCGCATGACCGCTCGGAAGCGTGCTCGTCTCAATGCAGCAAACACCGACTCTGATTCTGTTTCTATCTCCGATCATGAGATGACAGATGTTCCTGACAGCCCCGAAAACGGCGTCTCTGCTACTGAGCCAACTGTCGTTCTCAACTTTCTGACCGACGAAACTGACAACCTTCATGCGCCTGTCACTCACGACCAGTCTGCTGAGTCCAGTCAGTACAATTCGCTCGGCTTGGTGGAACATGACGAGTACTCTGACGACATGACACTCAAGGTTCCCAGTGGTCACAAATTTGCTGAGATGGACTACGACTCCCTCATTCACAGTCTTTACAAATCTATGAAGAGCATGGAGCGAGGTGGTTTGAGGCATGAAATCACCTGCTCGACCCCTGACGAGGCTTCCTACGTCATCCGTGATGCGAACACTGTCGTTGACTGGGCAGGCTTCGAAGCTGACCGCAAGCTTATCGAAGACACCATCGCAGCAAATGCCGATGAGTCGGCTGAGCGACTCGGAACTGAGACGTTTGCGAATGCAGCCGAACATGAGGCGTTCAAGGAAGAATTTGACCAGCTTCTCTGGATGTGGGAATAAGCACAATGGTCTCTGGGCATTCCACTGCATTGTACAAACCAGCAAACCATCATGACAACAACGTTCATCGGCATTGACATCGCCTGCAATCTTTGCATGACGATTGGGCTCTGCCTCATACCCCACCACTCCTGTGATTTCAACAGCACTCATCGGCATTGACAATCATCAGCAATCTTGTTTGCATGGTGATTGGGCTCTGCCTTCTGGCCCCCAGATTCCACGTTTCGGTGTTCATCAACAACATTTATTCATCGGCGTTGACATGATCATCAGCAGCAATCTTGCTCGCTGAAGACTTGGGCTCTGCCTGCCTCGGATTCCGTGGCCTAGTCTCCACCTGTGACAGGTTGGAAGACAACAACACCGGACGTGCGACATTGCACCATTGCGCAACAACTACTGCGTAATCTCTCCCCCGTTCTGCATGCGTTCTTGGAATTTCGACACACAAAAATCGGAGAAATGAAATGGCTGGCATTGGCATCCTAAACCGAAAACCCTCGAAAAAAAATACTTGTCCTTTATGCTTTTCGCACATACACCAAAAACAACAGCACACACACATCGCGAACTGCACAGTGCACCGGCAATCACAAATCAGCATCGACCACCCCCCTCATCGAGCACATCACACTCATCATGGCAAAGGAAGGAAGGAAGCCAGGAAGGATCATTCTGGGATGGATGGAGTTCATTGGTTTCTACGGTAATTCAAGGCTTGACGGTATGGATGGCATTGGTAGCAACATGGTTCTCGGAGTCTCGGAGTTCTGGATGGACGTTCTTTGGAGCCTTTTGGCATGGACATGGGCATGGACTCTGCCTGGCAAATTGAAATGGATGGGATGGAAGTCGATCATCGTGGATCCTGCAGATGAATGCAGCCACTCATCGTCACTGATTAGAAGTGTGTAACTAATTAATCAATCAATCACAATGCAAAATGGCAAGATCGTTCCGCCAAATGCTTGCTGCGCACTCCAGTTCTTGTGATGCTCCTTGTAGGAGTATACTCGTCTTTGTATGTCATCGCTGTAGTATACCAGAGCCATGAGCTACCTAGGTCCTAGTATACAACCCCACCCCTGCTGCTCCTGCTCCTGCTTCGACTTCTGCTCCTGCTTCTACTCCTACTCCATCACTTGCAAGGGCTGATGCTTATTCCGCCTGCCAATACCGTGTATCTTGATTGTCTCTGTGGAGAAGGTCTCGGCTCGTCAGAGCCATGGAATGGTAGGTCGGTCTCCTTCTTCGCTTTGTGCGTAGTGCCTGTGGTAATTGAGGAACGCAGGAGAGAGAAAAACTCGTGAAAATGTCAGTTCCCTTTTTGTTTCTCACAGACTCAGGGTCGGGCTCAATCTTCAAGAGCAAGAGGAATCAATTGATGGAGTACGAGCAAGCCACAGTGATCAGCTCAGGCTGGCTGGCTTACCGAAAACGGCCCTCAATGTTCGAACCCACCACTGGAATCAGTCCTCTCCTCCGCTCACTCTCAAAACTCTGTTGTTGTCATGCAGATATATTCCCCCCGCACTTTGGGCACCATTAGAAACTCGACGGATCTGGCTATTGAGGACAGAAAAAGGACCGGTGATGTTGTTGTCATGGAGGTTGTAAGTGTCCCTGTCGGACTGCACAAGAAAGTGTTGCTACAGATCACGTGATGAGGAAGATATGTGCCCGTCGCGCAAACCCGCAACCCCGCAATAGAAAAAACCCACTACGGCAGCCTGTGGATCTCACCGACACTAATTTGGAGGGCTTGTCAAAAGAAACGTACTAATTGGCTACTTGGCTCTTGGCGAGATGGAACAGGAATATAGATCCGCGAGATCAAGGTTTGTTTGACTTTTGACTTGAGCATTTAGGCCATTTCCAAACGCATGGTTCGGAACCCGAAGACGTGTCCGCTCCTGAGGAAGATCTTAGTATCGACGTACACAAGACCCATCTCGTCCACCTACATGACCACGATGCCAGGGGGCGCGTCTGACCCTCAATGTCCTGTGGTATATGTGTCAGATGGAGTCGCTCACGTCGTCGTCGCATGTGGCCAGCGTCAACGCCCCGGTTAACCACCCCGCCGCGCTCAGGAGGTTCTCCCTGCTTCTGACCAGCGTTGCATTTACGACCGAGCCGCAGACGAGGAGGGTGTGCATGGGCATCTACAGTTCGACATTCACGGCCAAGTACGAAGTCCGGGGTCCGATCGTCCAGTACAAGCCACAAAAGACAGTAATCAAGGACGGCTTCAACTACAACAACATTAAGAGGTGGACGTCTAACTCCCTGGTGCAGTCCGAGGGCGAGTCGGTCTACCTCATGCAGAGGATAATCGGCGTTAGCAACAAGCTCGGGTTCTCGGTCAAGGCCACGATCAACAACAGTCTCGGCAGGAGGCTCGCCATCTCCAAGAACGGCAGAGCCCGGTCAGGGACAACGACGCCTTCCTCGGGTGCATCTTCCATTTCTAGGTCACCAATGAGGCGTAGCTGTCCGGGATCCTGTGGAACTGGATGACATTGGTGTACGACAACGCGGCTAGATTCGTAAACCCGGCCGACGTACGCTACCTCCGTGGCCAAGCCCTGGAACGATGGGTGTGAAGGTGTTGCCTTCGGAACCAATGATTCCTCTCAACTGCCTTCTCTTTTGAAAGCCAAACTTCCTGTAGGTTCCATACCCAACTCTCGTATGACGGCATCCAACTCGGGGTCCTCTATCGCCATTTCTCAACCCCTTCGACGGTGTCGCCATTCCCGAGCTCCCTGCCACATCAGCAGTACTTAGGCAAACGACGAAACGGCAAACGGATACTGTCTTGCAACACCTTGGTCTTCAGCCTGCTCATGGTGCAAGTTTGGCAGCGAAGGAGAAAATGTTGAGAGCTCACATCGGCTTGAGGGAGATTGTCGCTCAATCACCTGCGTGAAGAGTACATGTCTAGTAGCGAAGAGGAGACGCTTAAGTTGATCAAAAAAACCACAAACAGGATCACAACATACCCATCCACACAAACAGACAATGTTACCACCACAGAGACTTCAATGGTGTGTTAGACGAGCGCCCTCATTCCAAGTGGAATGAAAGTGGTTTTCCAGTACTGAAACAACAAATCATCCAGTCCACAATGTCGACGGCGTTCATCAAACGCCGGAACCGGGGTGTGCACAATCATCTCCAAGCTGATCTAAGAAACCATCATCCCGGACGCGTACTTTGTGAGTCTGGCCAGCGCCAGTGACACCGTTATGCTTTGCAGCGGCAACATCAACCTCGTCCACAATGAGTTCGCGAACAACTCCGCAGACACGTGCTTGGGTCCCAGGAGCTCCATGCTGAAGAAAGTAACCCTCGTACAGGGTCCCTCGAACCGATGCCGTCGAGGGTATTATTAGCGTCCCGAGACGATACCCTCAGACAGGCGTAGGCACTAGCCAAAAATATTCTGTCTGGGAAATATTTTTGAAGTTGAGCAAAAAAGTAAACCCTGGAGACTCTTTTCTTGCGTTAACATCGCCTTCTGATTGATTTCGTGCGCTTCCTATCTACTCAAGTTCGGCCTTTGGCTCGAGTAGAGACATTCAGATTCAGACCCCGAGGCAGAAACTTTCGCCGTCGACAATCCAAATTTCGAGTCATGATGGGCTTGTGCTTGTATCTTCGTTTCACGCCATATGAGAAGCCACCATCCCCAACTCCCCCGCCACATATTCTTCCCCCACTAACTAACTATTTGGTCCGTGACATGGGGTGAGGATTCATAAGGCTTATTAGTCAACTAGTGTAGCATCCTTTCTGCCACTGCGCCAAAGTGTGCAAACAGCCAGTGTCCCTCACGCCGGTCGCACAGTGTCATTCAAGAAACAAAAAAAACTCCGAGGAAGCAGACAAAAGAAACGCTACTCTCTGTCCATATCCATGTCCATGTCCATGTGCATGTTCATGTCGCCCTTCTCTCCTCCGCGTCCGCTTTCTGCGCAGGCGACGACGGCGCTCCCCTTGGGGGTATCAGCCTTTGTCTCCCACTGGAACCAATCCCATCTCAGCTCATCGAGCTGCTTTTGGTAGCCAATACGGTCGACCTCTTCTCCCCAGTCGGCCGCCGTCTCGATGCCCTGGTTCATGGCCCCGAACAGGCGGTGCCAGGCCTGCGGGTCGTCTGCGAGGGCGGGAATCTTCTCCTGCAGGTAGTACATACAAAGACGCTCCAACTCGCGCGCCTCATGGCTGTAGGTCCCAAACAGGGAAGGATTGGCTTTGGAAATTGGGTTGCCATCCTCTGGGCCTCCCTCCAGCAGGAACAGGAGGCCGCAGAGGGAAGCACCGAAGGGAAGAGTCATGGAAGGCGGTGCCCCCCAGAGCAGTACGCAGGCGATTCCCGACCAGTCGGGCCGGACAATGATGTTGAACACGTCGAGGAGATGGTTGTGCAGCACCTGGGGCCAGTCCTTTTCGTCGTGGAGGCGGCCACCACCGCCTGCCAGCCGTAGCGGTTGACATACCAAGTCAACGAATTGCTTCAGGATGCCGACGTACTTGTCCTGATTGACCCGCAGACCGAGCCGGTAGCGGTTGGCGGCGATGGGGCGCCCAGCGGGGGATACGATCCGCCACACAAACAGCTCCGCCGGGTGTTCGGGCACCATACCCATGTGGCCAACGTAGGTGTACTGCGGGACAAAGTCGCCGTATGCCTCTTTGGCCTGGGCCAGTTGGTCCTCATCCAGGCTCTCAGGAGTTATGTAGAACTGGGTCATAAGGTCGGGGTTGGTGACGGTGGTGTCTATGATCTCGACCGTGTAGCTGTTGCGGAATTGGCTCTCGGAGGGGTACGCGTGCACGTTGAGCTGCCGCTCCCGGGCCTCGGATGGGCCGTCACCCTCCATCATCAGGTACGTCTTGAGGCAGTACTCTTCGCACTCGGCACGGTTCAGGTGCGGGCGTTCTTTGAAGAACTCAAGTATGGACTCGATTGCCTCTGGCAGAAGTCGCGAGCCATCCGCGGCCGATTCCCACCCTACCGCGTCGGGCTTCGACAAGTCCTTGCAAGCACTCTTGGAATTGTTCTCGGAATCGCTCTCGGAATCGCCCTCGTCGTCGCTCTCGGTAATCTCTTCATTTCGAGAGACATTCATCTTTCCATCGACTCCAGCCAAGGTCAACTTGTCCATCTTCTCCAGGCCCGGGACAGACGCGGTGGCATTCAACTCCTTGAGCAACTTTCTTCTCTTCGCTTGAACGTCTCGTTCTAATTCGGCCAATTCGTGCATAGCCTCGTCATCCAGCTCCTTCTCTTCCTCTTCTTGCATGTCGCTCGCACCCATCTCGCTCCAACAATCCTCGGGGGGAATGTACTCCTTATCGAAAGGCAGGATCGGGATCGTCTCCTGTGCATTCATCGACTCCGGGCTTTCAGCCTCATCCGGCGAGTCCGAACGGAAGCTCATCTGCGAGTTCGAGCCCCATGAGCGTCGATCACATGACATCCAATCTTCGGCGCTGTCCTCTTCATTGCTCATATTGTCATCCTCAATCTCATCAGGTGCATTCACGTTGGCGTCAGAGCTCGGACCAGGGTACGCCATGCTGTCCTTCGCCTTGAGTCTCTTGACTGAAGGGACGAGGGTGGTGACGTTAGCTTCTGTGTGGGGTCTCTTGGGCTGAAGATAGGAGGGGAGGAACGACCGACAATTTTGTTCCGTGGTCAAGATTTGAGTACTTTGGTGGAGAAGAGGGAGTCCCTTGGTCGAGACTTAAATACTTGGTAGAACAGAGGAATTGTGCATAGAACAAAGAATCAGAGACTCATGCCAGAACAAGGACTTGTGCCAGAACAAAGCATGAAGAAAGGCGATAAAGAAAACTTCCAGAAAACAAAGACAAGGCTTTGACGCAGTAGTATAATATATTTCACGACGACGCGGTGTTAGTTTTTGGCTTGCTCCCTGGAATAACATTGAACGGCGTTGTTGCATGACACTCGACCGGCGGCGTCCTCGTGCTGTCCTCGTGCTGTAGGTTCTTCAAGAACCTATTCCATTCCTTTCCATTCCGCAGGCGATCCAGAGTTTGATCCTCTGCCTTTGATGCGCTGATGCGAACTTCTGCTGTTCCCATCCCTTCCACCCGTTCTTCCTCCGAGATTTACATTCGGATTGGTACTTAGGGTTATCCTCCCAGCAGTCCTGAAACACCATCAACGCTTTGGGCTCCATAAAAGCCGGTCAAACCCCCGGGTATTGACCTACATCAATCATTCTTGCCGCTCGGCCATGGTGGTTGCTGTCGCTATAATGGTTCGTCAGTGGGGTGTCTTAGCACATTGTCCTTGTAGAACTCGGTTCAAACAGAAAGTCTCGCAATGACCCAGCACCGTTGTTGACCCCACGCCTGTTTCTCACGTTACACGGGCGCAGCGAGATGCGAGAGTAGATCACGTGATGAGGAAAGCATGTGCCCGTCGCGCAACCCCGCAAAACTCCGCAATCCTGCGTGTACTGTAGATCTCGCCAAACACTGCATAATTTTCCGTGCCGCCAATGCCGCATCACAGCGTTTTCCGGCCTTGCTCGTCACGTCGCTAGCTGATCCCGAAGTTGATCGAATCGTGGACCACGGCTTGTGTCCGACATGTGGATTGCCTCCGAACACAGCCGTCAACACGGATGATCTTCAAGTTCGGCAATTGCAGCAGACCAGGATGCGGTGCATGATTACATCATCAACTTTCTCCGAGTACAACGCACCCGTGCTCAGGGCCGGCTTCGACACGTGCACCACGAACACGAGCGTGGAGAGCGTCGTGAACAGAGTCCCGGAACGGTGATGAACGACAACACGACCGTGATCTCGATCGCGGCGGGTTCTAACCCTAACCCGACTGCCTGCCCTGCAACATCTACTCGTTCGTAGACAACATCCCTGCATATTTGTGCGGTGGAACCTGCGCATCGACGGCGCCTCCGGCTGTGGGTTGGATCTCGTTCTCTCCATCGCGCCAGTGTACCTCTCTATGACGGCGGCGGGGCATGGCCGCGACGGTGGACGTGGCATTTTCCCAGCTACTCAAGCATGGTCGGGTAACTCTCCTTGACGACGGTCAGCAGCACCTCCTCCAGTTCCTCGTCGTCGTCGATCAAGCACCTGTCCATGAAGCAGTGATATCTTGTTGTCCAGCTTGGTTGGTCAGCTCCGCACTCCTGCTTCTGAAAGGCTACTGGATGTTAAGATCCAAGGAGACCGCGGAGTCAGTCGAGCAGAAGGTTTCGCATTGCCATCATTCCCCTCAACCCGAACGAGTCGTGGATCTTTATGGCCATCGTTGTATGTAATGTCTGAAACATGCTTGATGATTTGTATATAACTTATAAAGAATCATCAACAGCGAAAGATCTAGTATACACACTTTACAAAAATATTTTTAGCAGACATGAAACGCTAGTGAAGATAACGCTTGAATCGAGACAAACTATTTATACTATAGTTTTGGTAATCTCTTATAAATCTTATCGGAACACTTCAGATTTCGAAACGATTGATAATGTTCTATTCACAGAGCGATAAATAAAGGAAAAAAAATTAAAAAATTCGAACACTAATGTTACGTTTCGCTCCACCAAGGGTGTCACTGCACATATGGGTTTCTTGACAAGTGGGAGGTATAGGGTAAGTCTGAGCGCGCGGGTAGTTGAGCGATGCTAGAAGCGAAGTGATTCAGAGTCCAAAACGTATGGGTATGATCGTGAACGAAGTGACTACGTAGTAAAGCTATGAAATGACCGTGTATATATAGTTGTTGTGGACCAGTGTGGCCCAGTATGGCCCAGCTGGGCCCCACTGGGCCACCTGGTCAAGGTCAGGATTCCCAGCCTTGCGAGCTGCTTCCTCTTTTCTAACACAACGTCCCGATCAAATGGTACCAATCCTGTGGCCGCAAAGGCACTCCTGATCTTCGATTCTTTGATTGCAATTGGCCTAGCAACATGGTAATGTCGTAGAAAACGATCCTTTGTAACGTGGTGAACACCGAGACGGTCTCCTTCAGGAGTTGGTTTCTGTACGCCGCTTTTACAGACGAAAAGCAAGCAACATCTAGTGGCTGTAAGGTATGAGATGAATGAGCTTGCATATATAGCAAAACGATGTTGTTTCGCTTTACGAAGTCATAGAACTCGATGGTATAGTGGCTTGTCTGGCCATTGAGAATGAGAAGGCAATGGGTTCCAATTGTCTGTCGTCAAGAGGACGGCTCGAAGATTTCGGTCAACCACTGGTACGTCGTCAGATCGCTCGTCCAACCTGACTCTGTTACGGCTAGATACCAATCCGTGCCTTTGATTTGCCTAATCCAAGCTTGTTGGTGGATTTTACCAGAGAAGATAACCAGCGGCGGTAGTGTAGTTCCACTTGCACCAATGCATTCGATAACTGTCGTCCATTTACGATTTCCAGGCTGTATAGCCAGTGGTTTAAGCCTCCTTTCGCTCCTTGTGACCACTCTATGGTTTGCGATGACACCCAGGATACATGTCTCATTGAAGTTGTATATGTCGTCCTCGCAAATGCCGTATTTGGAATGGTGTTGCGGACCAAAACGAACCACTTTCGAACCATTTCAGGATCCTCACACTTCTGCCGATTATAGTCTATCGTTCTAGTAGACTTAGAGCCTAGCGATAACGTCCGTTCGATGAATTCGCTTGTCCAATTCTTGCCGATGGTCTTCAGCGTTGGAATAGACGCGTCGTGCGTTGACCAAGCAAGAACTCGGCGACCTGGGTCGCGGAGGATTGGTTTGGTAGATAATCCTTTGTATCAAGATCCAATATCCACTCTACGAGGGTCTGTTCTTCCTCTAGAGTCAGGGTGTGGTTTGCAGTACGCGTTTCATTGCGCGGTTTGATGCCATTCATTCTGTTGAGGAACGTGCTCTCATCAACGTCGTACGCCTCGGCCGCTGCTCTTTTCGATTTAAATCAACCCTCTTTGTATGCTTTAACAGCTAGCTGAACCCTACCCTCGCAGCTAGGATCGTTGAGAGGCATGATGGTTGTTAAAGTTACGATAGACGTGGAGGCATGTGGCGGAGGAGTCGAAATATCTAGCCATGCCGGGCGTCTAGCGAAGGTGAGAAGTACGTTACTACCTTTCTACGTGCCAGGCCAGATCGTTTCCACTTTGCAGCTCATATTCCAAGAATCCGTTGCCTAAGAATCGGAAACGGTTCTTGTCTCTAGGCACGATTTCAAAGTCTTCCGGTCGCAGGTCTTGGATGAGACGCTTGAACAACAATGCGCTACCGGCAAAGGTAGCGGTCACGCGGCCGTCGACGGTGTTGTTTTTGTACCAGCTCCTACAGGCCCCAGTCCATGTCAATGTCTTGTGGATCTGGTCCGAATAGACAATAAACTCGTTCACGGCACTCTGCTTGGGCACGACAGCTTTGATGTCCTCCGAGGCAATCTTTCGGATCCACTTGATCATGTACTCGGCACTCCATCCTAGACTCTCCATCAAAGAGCCGTGGCCGATCAATGCGTTCGGCCCGGTGAACATGAAGTAGTTGGGCATGTCAGCCGATGCGAGTGAAAAGTAGGACGAAGGCTCCTCCGCCCATTTGTCCTGGAGATTCACCGAGTTGCGACCCACGACGGGGTACTGAGGACGATAGGAGACGTCGAATCCAGTGGCACAAACAACTGGATTTCGGGCGCTGAATTAGCTTTACCGGACCTCTTAAAAAAGGTTGTCTGTTAGAATAGGTAGATAAGCTTACCAACATCCACCTTGTACATCTTCCCATCGGCGGTGACGACGCTGTCGGCGTCAATATGTGTGATAGGGCTTTGAGTTAGCTGAACGTTGTCGCGCAAGAAGGATTCGAGATAGCCTTCGCCAGGTGTGATCCTCCGACAGCCCACCTCCCATTTCGGAATGAGTAACTCGCATAATCTCGGGTTGTTTTGTAATTTGCTCGTCATCTGTGTACGAGCAAGGTGATAGATCTGCTGATTGAGCTCCGAGCCCTTTACAAACTGTGGTATCTGTCAGCGTTGCTTTGAGTTTCCAAGGACATGACATGCGTACCATTTTGAAACTGTCGTTGATGCCGTGTATTATCTTTTTGCGATATTCATGGTGTCTCCGGGGATTGTCCAAAAACTCTTGCTTCTCTTCCTCGGTGTACACCGGGTTATATGCCGGATCGTCTTTTCCCAACAGGGACGCCGGGTTCATGGTGCTGACCACCCATGTCGGCCCTCGTTGGAAGCTCGCCACCTTCGTGCCCTGCAGCTTGGCCAATTGAGGCAGAATTTGGATTCCCGATGACCCGTTACCTATCACGGCAATTCTTTTGTTGCTGTAGTCGTAGTCGTGGTCCCAACTGGCCGAATGGACCTTCTTGCCCGTAAACTGCGACAACCCCGGAATCGAGGGCCACCTCCAGGTGCTGTATATAGCCCACGAGTCAGCTCTTCAGGATTTCAAATACTATCAATATGCCTCAAGACAGGGAACGCGAGAAGCAGCTCACTTCAGGAAACCTTGGGCTGATATGAAGATATCTGCATAGTCCTCTATAATCGTGCCGTTATGCTCGACCATTATCTGCCATTGACCGCGATCTTCTTGCCAATAGGCGCCGGTGACACGGTGATTGTACTTGACGTCCCGTTCGAGATTCCACTTCTGAGCCGTTTTCTTCATGTATTCCCAGATTTCCGGGCCGGTTGAGAAGAACCGGGTCCAGCTAGGGTTAGGGTCGAACGGAAATGCCTCCGTCGGTCAGTATCCAAAGCAATCCGCCACCATTATTGAGGCAATGGAGAACATACATAAATGTGCGACGGAACATCGCAGACAACGCCCGGGTAGGTGTTCACCAACCAAGTGCCGCCCAGCTCGGGCCTCACTTCGTAGATGGTGTGGTTGATCAGGTCGGCAAGGTCGGGGTGTTGGTGCTGGAACTTGTGGGCCAAGGTGAGGCCCGAATAGCCGGCACCAATGGTGACGACACGAAGCCTTCTGGGTGTGTATGCTGGCAGGGGTTTCAATGTTGTGCTCGCGTCTTTCAGACTTTGGGCATCGCCCACATGTGCAGTTGGCTCAGGGACCGTGACACCGACGCCCTTGATGGGGCCATTGGGCGTGCCTTTGGTTGCGCTCGTTGCAACGCCATTGGTCTCACTATGGTATGCCATTGTCATGTATTAAATGAACAAGAAGCTTTTACTACTGAAAGTGCATGGCAAGCGGTAGAGACATCAGGTCCTAGGTCCCAGGCCCAGGAATAAATCCAATCCCTCAGGCTGTTGACCGAGACTGAGGTTAGTGCAATGGACGACAGCCTTGCCGGCGGAATGAGTTGGTGGCCTGCTCCAATGCGGAAGCCAGCCTCTGGTTTTGGAGTCTCATGTGAGTGCGCACGGAGGACGGGTACCGGAGGCGAGGCGGGTAAATCCAGGTGGTGTGAGCTCCATTCCTCGAGGCAATCATCTCCCCTCGGGTAGCCTTTCGCCGAAAAAGACTCACCAATGATCTAGAGGTGTTCGACCATTTGGCCGGGGTTAAGGACGAGGAATACAGTCTGGCAGATCATTGATGATCTTGAGATGGACCAATGCAAAATCGCTCCATCGCCGAAAACTTGTCCGCACGGTCCAGGCTCGAGGCACGCGCTATGATCCCTCTACGCGCCATCGTAATAGTTTGAATCACCCGATATATGCTTCAGTTTCGAGCAGATATCGGTCTTGCGAGCCACAGTTTAGATTTGCTTATTCACCAGTTCTCTTCCACTCGTTCGTGGTCAAATACCGTTCATTCAAGTGCTCCGCCTAGGTTCAACAGCAGCACTCACCACGCAAATTGCTCCCCGCCACCAGACCATATTCCGACAGGACATGGGTTCCCTAGGGGAGAACCGCGAGTATGATGCCATACTCGTCGGTGCCGGTTTCGGAGGCTACACGATGCTTCCTAAGCTGCGTAAATTAGGGCTTCGAGCCAAGATATATGAACGCGGGTCAGGCTCTGGAGGTGTTTGGTTCGTGTTTCCACCCTTTGTTTGAGCGTTTGAAGGGTCTGACTGAAGTTTGCTATTGCTGAGCTGCAGGCATTGGAATCAGTGTAGGTGAAGCATTCCTCCTAGCTGGCAAGGAGCAAAGCTTATCCCGTCATTCAGACCCCGGTGCTCGCGTCGACAGCGACTCGCCCACTTACCAGTTCTTCGATCGGGAGATTTGGGAGGATTTCACCTTCTCTGAACGATTCCCCGGGTTCCGCGAATTGCAAAAGTATTTTCAGCATGTGGGGAGGAAATGGGATCTTCGAAAAGATATCGAGTATCACAAGAACGTTACTTCCGCCCACTGGGATGTCGAGAGTCGACGCTGGATAGTCGGCTGTTCTGACGGTACAACGACGCGATGCAAATGGCTGTTCGCGAACGTGGGCTTTGCAGCCAAAGAGTAAGGGCGTCGAGACCCCCCATACCCACAATCCTTTGGTGGAATTGACTGAGCGGACGGAAACAGGTACAAACCGTATCTCAAAGGCTCTGCCGACTTTCAAGGCGATATGTTCCACACCGCTCATTGGCCACACCACGATGTCGACCTCCAAGACAAACGCATTGCCGTCATCGGGACCGGGGCCAGTGGGATTCAGGTGATTCAAGAAGCCGGTAAACTCTGCAAGCACCTCACGGTGTATCAACGCACCCCTAATTTCTGGTGAGTTGCTTCGTATTTCAAAGTTGAACGTATTCTGAACCGCCATAGTCTACCTATGCAGCAGCGTAAACTGGATCCAGTGGAAGAACAGAGAAAGAAGGATAGTGGCGTCTACGAGGCGGCTTTCAAAGCGTGCGAGAAGACCTCTGCTGGTGTACCGTACGACACGAATGGCCGTAAGACCTTCGATGACACCAGAGAAGAGCGAGAAGCGTATTGGAATCGCCTCATACAAGACGGTGGCTTTAAATTTTGGGTCGCAGGCTACATCGACCTGAACTCGGACCAAAAAGCCAACGACGCCGCCTACGACTTTTGGCGTCGCATGGTCCTTAAACGCATCAAGGATCCCCATAAAGCCCAATTGTTGGCGCCAGAGGTTCCGCCGCATCCCTTTGGCGCGAAACGTCCGTCTCTAGAACAAAACTACTTTGAAGTTCTCAGCCAGCCGAATGTCGACATTGTGGATCTGAACGAGTTTCCTATCCAGGAAGTCAACGCAATGGGGATTCGGACCGCGGCGGGGCAAGTCGACGTGGACTTGATTGTTCTTGCGACCGGCTTCGACGGCTTAACTGGTGGTTTCATGGACATCGATCTCCAAGGAGTTGATGGAAAGACCCTGAAACAATACTGGAGTGACGGCGTCAAAACTTCCATGGGCGTCGCAATCCCCGGCTTTCCCAACCTGTTCTTCCTGTTTGGACCACAAGCACCATCAACATTCTCGTAGGCTGCATCTCCTTCTTTTGCACTTCACTAGCCGCTCTTGGTGGAGCTAACATTTATATCTTCTCAGGAACGGCCCGACGTGTATTCAATTTCAGGGCCGATGGTTCGAAAAACTCGTCCAGAAAATGCTCGCTGAGGGCATAGAGACATTGGAACCCACGGAGGACGCTGCAGACAGCTGGGGGGAGAAGATTTGGGAGCGATGGGAAGCTACTTTGCTCCCTCGAGGCAAGATGCGTACCATCTCTGTTGCTCCAAAGGTGTCTTTGACTAACATTTCACACAGCTGGTGGACCGGTGCAAACATCCCGGGCAAGAAGGTGCAGCCCCTCAGCTGGGCAGGGGGCCTCCCTTCATATATGCAGATGCTGGATGAGACTTTGGAGAAGGATTATCAGGGCTGGATCATTGGAAGACAGTCACGCGAGGTTTCTGGGTCGTAAGCCGTCCAAGTGGCTTAACACGGGTGGAGAGGAGCTTGCGTGCTTTAATTACAAAACATTACAAGAAAGGTTCTGGTCATTTCTGCATGTGATGCTTGTCTATACAACAGTTCAGCCTTGCGTAGTCTTGGGGACCACCAGTCATGTATGGTGCCTGGGCTCATTCTTATTTTTCCGGCCAAGCGATCAGTGGTCATATTCTCCGCGATCTTCCCCACTGGAAGCGAAAGAAGACGTGCTCGTGGAACACCACGCGATCTTGGCTCAATTCCAACTTCTTGCTCGGGGAACCATAGCTCAGTCTAAATCTTGCCGAGACCATACCGTGCACGTCGGCCGAATGGCCGTCATCCACCACTAGCATCTCTACATCAAGGCCGAAATTTCCCCATTGTCCAACTATCCCTTCGCTCATTCGGCCATACTCTTCGCTGGTCATCGACGGCTGTGCATTGTAAATCACGCGGTCATTGACAACTCTGATAGTTGTGAGGTCCTGCGCTCGCTCATGCAAGCCGCCTAACTGGAGCAAATGGTGCGAAGCTCCATTGATGCTGGCGGATTCGATGATTGGTGATTAGGACCTTGTGTGTCAAGGGAGGAAGGGCGGCCTGAACACTAGTATTTGGTCCCAGAATATCATGCTGAAGAGCACAACGAGATCAGGTTCTATAGCGGCTAGAGCTTTTCTCCTCGCGAGTCCTAGCTTGAACCATCGTAATTCGTCCAAGAAAGATTTTGGCCAAAAATCTTCCCTAAGGTTGAAGGGCTGATTGATGCTACATTCAATATACTAACCATGACGAAGTCATATAGCATCTCCTCCACAAATCATGCGGTCATCTCGACATAAGCACGTGCTTTTCTTATTTATGGAAGGTTGAAGTCTACCACTATGCGCCTACAGAAATCAGTATCAGCAACTCCTGTAAGGTCTGTACATGCGCATTAGAACTCACCCTGCAACTTGTCCATTTTTCAACCTTTGGACGGCTTCATTGAACTTGCTCACTCCAACCACGACAGGCTCAAGGTTGATCTTTCCTAGAATCAACAGTAGTGAATATCATTCCTTGACCTGTCAGCATTGTGGGCGCCTCACCTCGTTTCGCAAAGTCCATTGTCGCAGCTATATCCTTCCGACTGCTCGACAGCGTACCCTTGATGGATTGGTTGTTCAAGCAAAGCTGGGTAGGATCGGCATCAATGTGATATCTACCCTTGGGCGGGAGTCCGACACTGTTTCCAACTCAATTATCTTGCTTCACTCATCAATCAGATGATTCAGGGTGTTCTGGCATACCACATCACTATTCCACCGATACGTGAACCAAGGTAGTTAAGCGAGACGGGATAAGCCTGTACAGCTAGTAGGTCCCTCCAGATCAGATCCAACTGCGAACGGTCATCTCGGCTTCAAGTAGTAGCACACTTACCACAGACAAACACGCCGTGAGCACCTCCATTAGTGACTTCCAAGACCTTTTTGACCGGGTCTGGCTCGGTCACAAAATCAACAAAACACTCGGCACCATGGCTGAGAGAGAGAGACTGGCGACTTTTGCCCGTGTCAACCACAACGGGTCGTATACCCATGGCGCAAGCCAGCTGTACACCTTGAATGCCGGTCCCACCACCTCCACCCGGAAAGACGGCCCAGTCACCGGCTCTGAGTCCGGATTCTCTCAGCGAAGCGTACATGGTACCTGCAGAGCACATGGCAGGCCCTGCAACGTAGTCAGAAACTCCCTGGCCATTGCTTTAGCTGGAGAACATGAGACAGCGGTTGGTCAAGACAGGTCAAGCTACCTCAGGAATCAGCTAGGTCCACGACATTGTATCAGTGATCTGCTCGTTCGGTCATTTATTGAGGATTTACTCTCTCTGCGACGCACATGGACAAACTGTTCAGGTACAGCACAATACTGCTTGTAAGTCCCTTGCGAGAAATCAATCCACAGTGCCACAGCCACTTCACGCAGAGGGGGGAAAGGGGAACGGTACGTCCTTCCTTGGACACACGTACCGTCCACCGTCCCGCCTGTATAGACTGCTTGCGGGCAGTATGTCTCTCTTCCAGACTTGCAGGAGTCGCATAAGCTGCATGTGCTGTGGATCGGACCATATGCCGCTCGTTCGCCGACTTTGCAACTCTTCACACTTTCACCAATCTTCACGATAACTCCGGCACCTTCATGGCCTGCACAAGAAACACCCATGTCCGACATCTTCGGGAAGGCCCAATCATTCATCATGAAGTGTACATCGGTCAGACACAGTCCGGTTACATTGAGCTTGATAAGAACTTCCGTAGACCCTGTGAACATAGATCATGTCCGTCAGCATCAGCAACTAGATTGAATTTGATGACAGGCGTGAGTGATTCGAACCGATGAAGGGCACTGGAACTTTCTCAGTCGCCACGAAGAAGTCTGCCCCTTCATTTTTCTGCCCGAATTTTGTAAGTTGACATCCAAGTGTCTTCACATTGTAGCCGTTTACGCACGACAACCGCTGCCCAACCTTCCTTTGGGATCTCCATTTCTATGACCGCTTCTTCCTCCTTTGGCATGGCTTTGAGTATTTGAACAAGTATTTGTAACGTAGGTCACAAGTCGACGTCTTGTCTTTGCAAAGGCTACAGTACGAATCGCAGAGCTGACGACTACCCTTGCAACAAGACCATCAAGACCAACACCGTCGAACAATCCCGCCTCCTCTTCGTTCGCCGAAATGCCTTCTTCTTGTATCTCCCCAGCCATGGTGCATTGTAAAAGCCACCTTCGGATCCTTTCCTCACAGGCACCAACACCGACGCATTTCTCCCAACTCCATGCCATTTGTACCCCAGCGTACGTTTGGTCAATGGTGATAAGTTACTAGGACTAGTATTCTAATAGCATGCGGCAGCCGGTTTCTACACCTCAGGGCACTTACTTTGTAAAAGCAAAGCCAATCTGCTTTCAAGTTCCCCCGCTCCAGTTTCGGCGAAATGCTGCCGCCAAACCAGGGGAGTAGGTGGGTATTTTCTCCGCGACGAGCCTTTCTTCCCCGCCATCTCTTCTCCCATAGGCATCTATACCCCAGAATCCTGTGCGCAAGGTTTGAGGGGGCCCCACTCTGGCAACTACTATATTATACATTTGTCCTGACCATTTTCCACATGTCTTGGGTCTTTCTCTATCACTATCAGCACAGTACCTATTCTGTCTCACTCATTTCCAAACCCGAAGCCTTCCTCGTTTCAACTTCCAGTCAAGAATCCGTCTCATCTCACAGCCATGGGCGATGACAAGGTGGAGTCTGAGAACTGGGAGAACCCCAACGTGGTCGGCACGGAGCAATACATAGATGGTCTGTCAAGATCCTTATTCAGTTTTGGTGATCGACAGAGCATAATTGACGTTCGTGTATGACTTCTTGCAGCCGAACCCACCTGGGCCAAATATATCCCCGGAGGCTACTCAAGGTCGAGATGCTTGAAACTATCGGGAATGCCCATGGTGTCATGTATCCTTGGCCTCGCAGGGACGTGTCTGCTGTTCTTTGGCTACGACGCCGCGGTTATGAGTCTGGTCAATATCAACCCGGACTATCTGCAACACATGGACTCTGCTGAAGGTACGGACCGTGATGCCGCTCGCGTTGGAGGCATCGTGAGCTTCTGGTTCCTGGGTTTCCTCGTCGGTAAGTATTTCCGCCAGCACCGCAAGACCCTTCTCTACGGAGATAAAACTGTAGCCTCCTTGCTGAGATGGGATGTTAGGCGGAATTATGGCCGGCAGCTATGCCGACAAGATTGGACGACTCAAGTCCATCCAGCTGGGCTGCGTCTGGGGAATAGTGGGAGCCTGTCTTTTGGCATCCGCTCAGAACTTCTCTTGGATGGTGTGCGCGCGTATCATCAGCGGTATAGGCTGCGGCCACCTCAATACCATCGCCCCCATTTATACCTCGGAACTTGCAGACTACAACCTACGGGGCGCATATGTCTCGGTGCAGTTTACGATGTGCGTCGCCGGGGCGACCATGTAAGCTGGACTACTTGCCTAAAAAGGTTTTCCAAACTGACGATATTGGCTTAGGACGTATTGGATGGAATACGCCGCCCTCAAGACCAGGTCTCCTCCGTTCGCTTGGCGGTTTCCCCAAGCCTTCCAAATGCTGTTTTTGCTCTTGATTCTCCTGGTGGCCAATTTCTTTCCCGAGACACCGCGCCATCTGGCCAAAAAAGGTCGTTTCAAGGAGGCTCGAGAGATCCTCCACCGTTGTCGCCTTCGACCTTCGGAGCAAGCGATTGAGCAGGAACTGGCGGAGATTCGAGAAGCCATTCGCATCGAGGCCACATCCTCGGCTCGCGGCTTTCTTTCCATGATCTGGAAAAAGGATGCTCTACATACCCGCCGTCGTGTCGCTCTGGCCATGGGGATCCAAGCAATGGAAAAGCTCTGTGGTCCCGATGCCATTGCAGCCTACGGACCCATCGTCTTCGGTCTCAGTGGATGTGAGTATTAAATGCCCCAATGGATCCTGCCTCGTGCCCAATTTGATGATATGAGAGAAGAGAAGAAGTTTGTTTGGCTGATCCCCTGACTTGATGCCGCCTAGTTACCGGTAACTTGCCTGCCATGCTTGCCGGCTTCAACTTTATATCCTACACACTCAGTGTCCCTATCGGCATGTACTTTGTCGAGCGAGCCGGGAGACGAAAGCTGATGCTGATCGGTTTGGTGGTCATGGGATCTTCACTGCTCATTACCGGTCCACTCGCGAGAGAAGCCATCAACACACCCGAAACCCAATTGACCAAGAAAAGAGCCTACGGCGCCGCGGTGGTTGCGTTCGTGTTTTTGTATACCTGCGGATTCGGCAGTACCTGGATCACATGCTGGTTGGTCGCTCTATGCCCAGTCTGCCCGAATCCCCCTTGCGTTCCTGTTGTTCTCGACAACTTGTCCTTGTGTGACTCATGCGACGCTAACATACGTCACATTTACAGCTGGGTCTATCCCACCGAGGTCTTTCCCCTCGCCACACGAGCAAAAGGCGTCTCCCTGTCCATGGTGTCGTTTGCCATCTGGGGTGCCGTCATCAACGAAGTCATCCCGTATGTCATCAGTGCCGTGGGTTGGTGGGTTTTCATCATATTCGCCGTCATGAACTTCATCCAAATTATCCCCGTGTGGTTTTTCTATGTTGAAACCGCCCATCGTCACCTGGAGGAGCTTGACATTCTCTTCGCCAGCGACAGTCCTCTGGCGTACAAGATGGAACGTGAGTTTGCCGAAAAGAAACGTGCCCTCGGCTTTCACACTGGAAATGTGCAACTGGTGCAGACTGCCTAAGATGATATAGACCACGAAGGCTTCTCTGATCTCCCCGATGGCGAGCTCGAAAAGCAAAGATGCTAGTAATTCTCGATGCTGGCACCGGAGGTCTTGATCAACCGATTCCGACGCAGTGTCTCGGACTTAACGACAGGCTGAGCACTCAACATCAGGTCATCGATAACCTCTGTAGAGGGTTGGAGTGGAACAATTAAAAGGACTCGATAAATTTCCGATTTTGAAGTCACATAGTATCCGTAAGTACATATGTATTTCCTAGGAGTAGTGCCGACAGATGACGATAGTGATTATGAGAGACAATACTAAAGGCTTCTGGGGATGCATGAGAGACTTGTGCAATCAAAGCAGAGAATTTCAGATGCTACACTGACTAACTACTAATGGTAGATGGACTTTGTTGGCAGGATGATTACTTATCTCAACTCTTGGCACTATGGGAGAGGGATTTGTTTTACGCAGTTAGAGTCTCGGGAGCTCATTGTAGATACTTTTGTAGCGAGTTCACCGTGTCCGTGACGGTGTCGGCCAGATTCCTCCATGTAACGCCCAGCGTCTTTCTCACTTTACTGCTGTCGACCTTGTACAGCCCGGCCTCCGGATACCTACCACCGGGACTATTCTCGGTGGGTAGCTGGTCCCGGAGTTGATCATGTTTCTTTCTAATGATATCCACAAGCTCCCTGTTGCAAAAGTAGCCGGCAGCGACCAGGAACCGTTGGTCTGCCGCTCCAGGCTTCTCCAGTGCCAGAACGTGGCAGAGGGCGAGATCACGCACGTCCACCCATGTGAAGGTGGCGTTTTCGGGAATCTTCGTGCGCTTGTGTTTACCCAGAATCAGATCACGGATGATTTGGTTGCTAGTGTTAAGATTGTCCAGGCTGCCGAGGTGGCTTATCACGGGTCCCAATACCATCGGTGGACAAAAGGTGGTGAGAGAGAACGGAGGCGGGTCTTGTTGCTGCAAAAACTCCCACGCTGCTCTCTCAGCAAACGTTTTACTGGCCCGGTAGCCATTAGCGATGCTTTCCAACGCCTGTTGCAAAGTGACCGGATTCCAGTCTTCTTCGGTATACGTGTACTCGGGCCATGATCCTTTAAAAGGATTCACGATCGAGGCGAAAGAGGAAGTGATCACGACTTGTTTAACCGTGGGGGCCTTCCTGACGATCGACCTCAAAAGACCCGTCGTACCTATGATGGCAGGATCGAGGAGGTCTCGCTGAACATCCGTGACGTTGAAATGGAATGGACTTGCCGTATGAATGACCGCTTCGAATGGCGGAGTAGAAGTGAGGGCATCGTCAAAAGCGTCGTCTTGGGCAATGTCTTCCACAATTGTAAAATCCAGTCGATCTGTACCGACGCTTGGGTATGCAGCTCTGATCTGCTCGGCTTTGGCTGGAGAGCGCACCGTCGTCACCACACTATACCCTCGCTGGATGAGAAGGTGCAACACATGTGCTGCGATGAAACCAGAGCCACCGGTTAGGAGCACACGCGTCATGATTGTCTGATTCCAGGTCCTGTTGATACTGTGGTTCCTAGCTGCGTGGCCTTGCGGATGGGACGAGTTTCAACGCCGTCAGAATGATAGATCTTTGAGATCTCTCGTAGAAGTTTCTTATAATCTTAGTGAGCTACAACGTCGACGAGCCTCGGCGATGGTGGTGCGAGTTCCTACAAAATCCGGCTGTCAGGGCGTTTACACATCATTTGCCCGAGTTCTTAAGGTGCTGATGCTCCACGATTCGGCGAAGCCATAATGTACGTTCCCGGCGAAATCGGCTGATGTTATCAGCAATGGCTTCGACGTAGATACTAGGATTTAATGAAAAGGATAGTCGGGTAATACCTAGAGCGAGCAAAAGCCTCGAAGCAATGGGTAAATCTCTTGTTCTAGTATTCTTCTAGCTATGACTTCCCATACAGAATGGTGGAAGCATTTTCATCTCGGTGAATTTTTGGTATACCGCATGAATAGATTCGATGGAATCTGCAGAGCCATACCAACCAAACTTTCGGGTTTTATCCATGCTAGAATCACTGTTAGTATGGCTTTGGTTTCGACATGTCATTGACTGAGCACTTCTCACCTTGTTTGCCAGGACCATGTCAGCTCGAGCGCGAACTGTAAGAAAGCAAATGTCTTGTCGGGATCCTGTAAAGGCTCGGTGGTGAGTTCGTATTCTTGCTTCAGCTCAGCCCAGGCTTGCCGCGTTGCTGGCTCCTTTGCCCAATCGATGAAGCTAAACGTCGACCGGAGCTTTCCTTTCGGCCCGTATCTAGGATTAACGACATTAACATTAGCAAGTAGTTCAACCTGACGAGTCACCAAGACGAAAGGACTCTAACACAGCATACCCTCTCGGAACAAATGGCAGCTCTACCTCGTGGTAGATGGCGTCCTCCCGTGGTGGAAGCCACTTTACGCCAAACCAGGACGCCAGAATTGGCCATAACTTGGAGAAAGTGAACTCAGAGCCATCGGTGATGTTAAAAGACTCCCCAGCCGTGCCTTCGGTCAAGACCAACCATTCGTAAAATGTACCGAGAACGAAACCCGAGGATATAGGATGATTGTTGTCCCAAGATACCAGATCACCCGGATACCTCAGGGGCTGGTTGAGCTTTCGTTGAATGGCAGCATAGACCGCCAGCGGATAGAAGATGGTCATATCTGTACCCGCGACGGCGGCCAGAACCCACTGCGGCATGGTCACGTTGTAGCTGACCCCCGGGTGGGTTTTGGCATACTTCACTAATAAATCCTCTTGGGTGTAATAAAAGTTGGGCTCTAACTCGACCCGAGGAGCTCCTTCAGTGAGAGGAACATTGACGGGGCCTTGATGAACACCGTAATTCTTTCCTCCCGTCTGAAGCACGATTCGCCTGGGGTGAACATCTGTTTGGTCCAAGGCGAACAGAAAGTTCTCAAAAAGCCGGCCTGCATGGAACTGGCTGTTACAACGAGCTCATCTGCGTGCGTGTCGCGTAGAAGAAGTTTATGTCTCTCACCGTTCGTTTCGGCCAAGTGATTTGCATCGCCAAACACCTTCGAATCGGCACCTTTTCTTGCAACCTGTACATAGCCGAAGTAGAAGATGTAGTCACTGAGTAGGGAGCAACGTCAATTCCTTCCCCATTACGCTCGCAAACAGGAACTGGGGAGGGTACGCCTTACGCGTGGACTTTGTGCTTCCGTAAAGCACTGGCAATTCGATCGGGCTCCCAGAGCAAATCCACGGCTACATGCTCGACATTCTTCGCCTCGGTGGTTGGCGGCCTCCTTGACAGGGCATATATCTTCTCCCATCGGTCCGGACTGGAGCTGAGCACATCAACCACGGGTTGGCCAGATTGGCCGCTGGCGCCAACAACAATGGCTCGAAGATTCTTCCGAGCAGGATCAATGACGGGCAATCCGCGAAAGACGCCTTCGGAGCGGACCTGGTACGTCTTGCTTGTCGGGTGAGCCATGATACTATTGGTCATCTCAGAACAGGAGATGGACTTGCGATCATGCATATTATAACTTCAAAATATACTCATCCTCATGGTCGAAGGACCAGAACCAAGACTGGAAAACACTCGGCCAGATGATGTCAATGCCGGGTTGAGGTGACGTTGATGCCCATTTCTCTGTGACAACTATTCGGCGAATTCGACAGACGCCATGTTTTATTTAGGAGATGCTACCGACTCCCGACTGTGCCCAAGGCTTAATTCGGCGAAACTAAAGGTGATTGCTAATCCCTACTTGAGTTGATGATCAAGACAAACATCAGGAAATGCATTATTGGAGCAATAGCCCCGCTATCCTTGCCCGTAGTTTTTTGCTGGTAATTGTCACCACAGGTGACATCTCTTTGGCAATTGTTGTGGACCCCTGCTCAGGCTTCGCCAATGTACTTTGGCCAATTTGGACTTGGGTTACGAGCAATCCATCCACCGTCGACGAGAAACGCTGTGTTCAGTCAGTGAGTGATCCACAGACACCCAAGTTGGTACGGGGACCTCACGATGGCCTGTGATATAGGATGCTTCGTCTGAAGCCAGAAAAAGTACCAGCTGAGCCACCTCGTTCGGATGGCCTCCACGGTTCATGGGTATGCTCTCGAATAAATCCTCTCTGAGCTTTTCATTTTTCAGGGTTTCTTCCGTCATGGGAGTGCTCATAAACCCGGGACAGACCGTGACCGCACGAATTCCGTCCCTTGCATGGTCCATGGCGATGGTCCTCGTCAGGTTGATCAATCCGCCTTTTGCGGCATTGTAGGAAGAAAGACCATAATCTCCACCAATGCCAGAGATACTCGCGGTATTCACAATCACTCCTTTTCCCACCTTTTTCATGTGCGGAATAACGGCTTTGGCGAGGTAAAACGCGCCACAGAGGTTGGTCATGATGACTTTGTTGAAAACGTCCACATCATGTTCGACCACGGGCACTATGGGGCTCAACATTGCTGCGTTGTGGAAGAGGACATCGATTTTCTTGAATTTTGCAATGCAAGCATCGACGGCGGCAAAGCAGGACTTTGGGTCTGATGTGTCCTCAATGTCAGTGCAATCGTACGATCCGTATCAAGGTGGACAAATTATGAAGAGTGAGGTGAGACGAATATATACCTGAGACATTGCATGGATGAAAGTGAGCGTTCGGACCAAAGCGCTGCATTGCATCTCGTTCTTTCAGATCGGTAACAAAGACAGTGGCACCTTCACCCAGGAACCGTTCGCAAGTCTGTGCTCCCAGTCCAGAGGTACCCCCGGTGATAAATACCACGGTCTCGTTGAAACGTCCGCCCATGATATCAGCGATACAACCGACGACTAAGCAGCGTTGTTGTCCTATTGTAGTGGAACTTCCAGAGACGTTGCATTTGAGGTGATCGAGAGTGTGTGTATGTCTTCGACGAGGCCTAATGATCAGGCCCGGTCCAGGCTCACAAATGGTTTGGAAGCTTCGGCGAAACAACCATCGTTGAGTACGCCATCTCATGTACCCCAAGATGTTTCGTGGAGCTCGATAGTAAGACTCTAGCCTACCAGCTGGAGATTTCTCTCTCCGCAAGCGCCTAATGGGGTTTCGACGCCGTTGGCTTAACCAATGCTGTTTGGGACCTGGCCCAGAGTTCGCCGAAAAGGATGACCAGGAGCCAAGAAGATATCTGCAATCTCACAAACATCAATGGTACTGTAATCAGACGTGGACTCTGTGTTCAAACAGACCTCCACGAAGCAACTCGAGAAAGGACGATCGCTTTAAAAAACTCTGCCCCAACCACTGGTCTGTTTCAATAATGGCACCCCTTTTGATGACAGGGTAAGAAACTATTTCCAACGGAGAGGTGCTGCTATTCTAACCACAGCATAAGGGTCGGCCTGATCACCGGAGCAGCCTCTGGAATCGGACGAGCATGTGCCAAGGTCCTGGTCGAGGAAGGATGTACGAGGCTCGTGCTCTCGGATTTGACTGGAAGTGGCCTTGAGGAGGTCTCCGATGAGCTCAAGAGCATCGAACCTTCCGTGGAGACGGTTCTCTTCATCGGTGATATGAGCAAAGAGGTCGATGTCAACCAAATGGTCGAGGCTGGCGTCGCCCGATTCGGCGCGATTCACTATTGCATCAACAGTGCCGGCGTAACTAGTAGACCCAGACTACGGACACATGAACTGGAAACGAGAGCATTCGATCAAGTCATCAACATCAACCTCCGAGGCTTGTGGCTTTGCGAAAGGGCGCAGATCCGCCAATTCCTGAAGCAAGAGCCCACGCTGAAAACTCGCAATCGTGTCGAGGGAATAGCGACCCAGCGAGGGGCTATTGTCAACATAAGCAGTATCTTTGGTCTCACCGCGCACGCAACGGCGGGGGCTTATCCCGCTTCGAAAGCCGGAGTGTTGGGTCTAACCAGGACGGATGCGGTGGCGTACGCGACTGACGGGATCAGAGTCAACGCCATCTGCCCTGGTTTTATCAACACGCCGTTGGTGGGAAAGGCAAGCGCAGCAGGCGCCGACTACAACAAGCTCGTCAGCCTGATCCCATTCCGACGAATGGGTACTGCTGAAGAGGTGGCCGAAGCGGCAGTGTGGCTAGCAAGTGAGCGAGCAAGTTATGTGAGCGGTGTTGAGTTGCCGGTGGATGGTGCTTGGGTTAGAGCGTGCAACACATGATTTAAACGGCAACCTGGAGTACGGTATAGTAGAACATTGCCTGGGTCTTTTATTTACACCTCATGGCTCTTATCTGCTCTGAAACCCATTGAATTCGTTCGACTTTGGAGATCGGAATATAATATTTCTAACGGAATACCTGATTAGCCGAAAGAAGTTCGAGGACCAGTACTAAGTAGGACGCGGCAGGAGACTCCAAGCGGACAAGAAAGCAAGAAAAGAGCAAAAAGGAAATTTGAAGTGATGGTCACTACGACGGGTCGAATCGCGACCTTGGCGTTCATCAGTTTGAACTAATATTAGCACCACCTGTTACCGAGTTATTTGGCGCGCTGAGAAGAGTCGCTCAGTGGGAAGCGTAAATATTGATTCCAAACGAGGAAACATCTGACGAGTTTGTGAGAGTCGATATTCAAGACAAAGCATTAATTGACCTCATACTGACCAACTAATCTTGATTGTGGACTATGCTTATGTTGTCCTAGGAAGCTGGATTAGGTACTTCCTAGAGCTTCTACTTCTTAGATGTGGGACAGATCAAACAAACCTTCCACAATCCCCAGAAGGCTGTGTGTATCTTAAGCACAAAGGAGCATAATCTCTAATCAACATTTACAGGTGTAGGCCAGTTGAGGCCAAAAACGTGCGTGGAGCTATGCATTTGTTGTACCTGATATTGAAAGTGGATTAACTAAGTCTAACGGTGAGTCACCTGCATTTTTAACCTCCCTTGAGAAGTCGTTACCACTTTCCGGCCTTGCCAATGAGTGGATGGCCCTTTGTCGACACCTGCTTGTTGCTCCAGACTTCGTTTAAATTCTTCCCTCGAAAACTCTTGGGTGCCAGGGTTAATCGTGAACGCGGGTCACGAAATACCCATTCCTTGTATAGCAAGATGTCGAGGGCATACACGGGCGATCGAGCCGGACCTGAATCCATGGAAGATGATTCTTGCGGATCGTCCGCTGGTAGTGTCCAAACGCACTCTAATATTGCTATGACCCGTTGAACATCACCCACGCGCGAAGTGCTCCATGCTTTGTCGAGTTTGGTGCGAACAAACTCATTGTCCTCTTTGTGCTTGACCGCATAGCCGATCACCAAGAGCGGCCAGCATAAATATTGGTCTAGGAGGCCGATAGATGGCCAAGATCAAAGCTGATCCACCCTTTCGCAACGGGCTGCTGAACGCCTGGGTCGACTCTCTGAGGCTCCAGGGAGATTGTCTTGCAGAGCAAAAAACCTTGCCGGGGTTGGAATCAACCTTAGATCTGCAAGCTGGTACTGTACTGACTATCCTCGCACAAGAAACAGTCAGCAGGATGACATTTCGCCGAAATGTGTTGTGTTGGCTCGGTCAGTTCGGCGAAATTGATGAGAAGGTCATGACTGTGGATATAATTCGGTCTAATAATTCGGTCTAACTCCCCTCCATCAGCAAGAGTTTTGATATTTTCGTACTTGGAAGTCCAGCTGCCCTCGAGACCAAGAAGTTACCACGGGCAAGTTTTATGGTTCTCGATAGAACGACAGACGATTATATCAAACTACTACAAGTACAAAGCTGGAATTGATCATATGGAAAGAAGGAGTTACTCAGAGAGGCTTCTGACTGAATTGACCTTCGCAATTGTTCCATGTAGTAGAACAATCGGGACCCGACGTCTGAATGTGCGGTGACCGAATAGGAATTCTTATGTTGATGCGTAGTGATCCATGATCTAATCTCCTTGATGCTGAAGCGGCGTTTTGGAAGGGTGAGCATGAGCATCCTCCCTCAATTGTCCTCCGGGCCCAAGATCTCTGTCCCCAGATCGGTGTCAGCCTCCAAGCCTACGAAATAGGTTTTCGCACTCGGGGGTCCAATAGGCTCAGGCGACCCCGTTAAATGAGAGTGCGGGGTTCCGGTTTCCAGACATTAGTAATAGCAGTGGCCACCGCACCTGCAACTTTTGTCTCCCTCAGCAGTACAACTTTAACTCGCCACCTTATGTATTGTGATCATCAGTTCGCCAGAGCTTGGAAAAGAAAATCATCGTCCCCTGCTCTGAATACCAGCTGTTCATTGTTCACTGCTCAGGAATGGAGCAAAGCTCGAGTCGTGCGTACCGTCGGCGAAAGCGCAAGTTGGCGTGTAAATACTGTAATTCTCGCCACATACGATGCAAGATGCCAGAGACATCCGCCAGCCCAGGAAATTCCGGTCAATATCAATGTCAAGCTTGTTTGGACGCCAATAAAGAGTGCAATCTCGGAACACTTATTAATACAACGACAAGTACAATGGATCAAGAATTCCTCCCTCAGTCTCGACAACCAACACCGCGTGAAAGAGTTAAAGCCCGCCTGCAGAGGAGGGGCACCTCCGACCACCCGCAACAACAATCACCCACACAGCCATCAGAGCACTACAATCACCAAAGCACGCAGAACAGCGCCGCACTCAGTCTATCAGCAGTGGACGAAGAGATTTCATTTTCGCCTCGCTCCAAGTGCATGCCGCCTCAGGAAGGGTCGGAGATGATCCTCGTACGGTTGACTGATACGCCTCAGGAGGACAACAATGACCTTGGTCAGGATCAACCTACCAAACCGACCGACCGAGTCCTATATTTTGGAGACGAGTCGATCTGGTCTGATAGCCTTCGAAGAGCTCGGAGCAGCAAATCCCGATATCCTGCAAGCCCACAGCTTCTAAGCACCCGATTATTGGTGGACAGTAACAACATCCATTATGCGGTGCCTCCAACAGTCAAGGATCAGCCGCAGGACATTCCTCAGGATGATCTCGATGTTCGGCAGGAAGAAATGAAGTTGCTCCAGAGGAAAGGAGCCTTTTCTCTACCACCTCCCAACATCCAACGGAAACTTCTCGATGTGTATTTCACCTGGCTATATCCCTTACAGCCCATACTCGATAAAGAACAGTTTCTCGACGACTTTGACAGGGGTCAAGCACCCATAATTCTTCTCCAAGCATTGCTATTTGCCGGCACGACCTGCTGTGACGAAAGTGTCGTCGTCCAATTTTGGCCCAGTCGCCGAGCTGCTCAATCCACCCTGTACAAGCGGGTCAGGGCGCTGTATGATGCGGATCACGAACAGAATCGGGTCACGATCGTGCAAGCTCTCTTCCTCATGTGTTTGTGGTGGGGGAGTCCCATGGACAAAAAGGACTTTAGACACTGGTTGGCGGCATCTATCCATCTGGCACAAGTGACTGGCATGCATCGGTCGTATGATCAAATTCCCCCACGCTACCATAACCATAGACATGGTAAGAGCACGAGTATTGACTGACTATTAATTACCCCTCAGGACCAAAGACTCCCATCTGCCCACCAAAGACAGAAGGCTCTGGAAACGTATCTGGTGGACGTTATATGTAAGCCATACCCATTCGATCGCGAAAGCCTTGCCCTGTCTACACACCGAGACGGTTCTCTAAGTTTATGCTTAGGTCCGGGATCATTTCGATGCTGCGTCCGTAGGCCGGCCCATGATCATCCATGACGACGATTGCGACGTCGAGCCTTTGTGCCTGACTGATTTTGAATGCGACGAGAATGGAATGCCACCGGTGGGAGCTATGTATTGTATCGAAATGACGAAACTGGCGACTCTAAGTACTACACACACCCTCTTTGATAAAGTCTCATGAAAGCAGAGAATCCAAGCTGATATGCAAAGTCGGCCGAGCCATTCGAACCGTCCGATCCAGTCAAAGTGACAGAGATCCTCCCACGGACTCCAAAGGAGCCATTGATTACGATCTTTCGGCTTGGGAAAAGCAGCTGCCCGAGCAGTTACGATACCACGAAGAGGAGTGTAGCCCACAGGCCAAGCTGTTTGCAGCCATGCTAATGCTGGCCCTCCAGTATGTCATCTACTAGTACTCTGGCAAAGAAAGTTTTGCAGGGTGGGAAGGCGTGTGCTGATGAAACATGATCAGTTTCTGCCGGATTGTCCTGCATCGAAAAGGCTTCCTGGACTCGACGAAACACGAGAACGAGACCAATTCGATGGCCCCAGCGTCTGCGAATGTTGTAACTCGGATTGTCGAAGAACTCCTGAGCGAGGGTCTTCTGCCGCGGACACAAGTACATTTGTAAGCTGTCATGTGGTTGACTTGCGTTGGTCGATTTTACCCACATTGGCACGCAAAGCTAACCTTGATTTGTCTCTTCTGCCGGACACAGAATCGCGGTGATTTTTGCCTCGTTCACGATCCATATTGTTTCGATGGAGCAAAGCCAGGGCGCACGCCGGCGAGTCCTGCAACACAAGGCCAAGATGTGCCTATTAGGTCTTGCCGAGTTTCGTGACTATTGGCCCTTTGTGGACTGGATGTATCGACTATTCAGTGGTCTCTTGCACTGGCTCGAGGTCGGGGACAGTAACACCTTGAACTCCCCCTTTTTCTCCTTCGAGGGCCACCACAACCAGCCACTGTGTACAACCACCCAGCTTCGTCCAGAGCACATGCCTCTACAAGCTGCCGCCGCCGCCGCTGCGGTTGAACTGACGGATAACAGCATCACAGACGTTACCACCACTACCCATGGTGATAACAGCACGGCCGTGTCTCTGCCGCTCTCGTATGAGCAAGATGCATGTTCCATGACCGATGCTCCGCCCGATCATTCCGGCATGCTCCAGCAATTCATGTCCGGCATGTTGACATCAGACAACTTTCTGGACCCGTTTATGCCACTGGAAAATCTCGATTGGGGTGATATGATCCCAACGTGGCCAACTTAGCCAGCATAGCCAACCTGGCAGGAAATCTCATGCTCCGGACTTCATGCTCTTACGTAGGGATGCTGGAAAAAGATCTCCATCCCGAGAACCTTTCATCTTGCCCCAATGACCGGGTGAGGTGGGGTGAGCTAGGGCTGCATCACCCTGTTCCCCGATCGGGGGTTTACAGACAAAATGCCGAGGATGCCACATGTCTTCCGTCACAATCTCAAACTGGAAAAACCTCTCGGGTGTGTCTGTTTTCCCATCCTTCCATTGCCTCGCCAGCTATAATCCCATGCATATAGCAATCACCGACCAAGGCATACGGACCGGTATTCTTTGAGATCTCAGGGTATGGCCGCAACATAAACGGCACACTGCCTCCCATACAGAATCCAGATCCCATTGTCCAGCTGAGGCAAGTCGCCTAGTCCTATGTAGTCCTTGCCCGTGGTGAAGAAATGCTGGTACTGCGTTGCAATGAAGACCGATTTGCGGAAGTTTCGAGTCAGAATCTGTCGCCGCGTCCATGTCTGTGTCCGTGTCTAGTGGCTGAGTAATCCATCTCCGGAAGCGCAAATACGTTGTTTCATCTGTACGCTTAGCCTTACGGATTCTTTCGCCGTCCTGATGATCTCTGATCGTGTCGCGAATCATAGTGCGCCAATATGCATCGACTCGTGTGCATCCCGTTGGGTAAGCCGAGGCTTGAGACTCGCTATTGCTGCCGGATAGAAGTTGCCACCCCCCGAAGATGTCAGCCTCGGAACCTTCTCCCATGGCAGTCGCGATGTCCTCGACCTTGTCGATGGCAAATCCGTATAGACTCAACTTGCCTAGGTTAAATGAATATCGCAGGGGGTGCATTCGACTGGCATTGAAAGCACCTGAAGAAGTAATACGTTTCAAGTTGCTCTGGAAGAAGAGGAATCTTCCAGCTTGTTCATTAGGGAAAAAATCCATCGCCCACGTTAGCAGACCACGCTGGTATAACCTCGGCCCCGTCAAGGCACGGAGGCTAGTGTCAGACCTGATGAGAGCCTCTGTACACCTCGAGAATGTTTCCGTGATGCTCATCAAAGAGCCGGGTAGCAGAAATGGATGCTGCTGGCCCCGGAGTAGCCCGAGAAGCTCACACATTTTGTCCCGAGCATCTGTAGCTGCTTTATGCCAGAAAAGCAACAGATTTCCCCATAATGCCATATGGGGATGCACGGTGCGCGCTTTGAGCAGCCTATGCATTGGGTAGGAGGAGAGGAAGAGGTTCGTCTCACTGCGGGAATATATCCGCGGAGTGTTTGTATCTCTTCTTTAATCTCGGCATTTTGTGTCCAGAGTCCTTGTTGCTATTCCTTAATCGCTCCTAAATTCAGTCTGAGTGTGCTTAATGATAATACCTTGATGCTTAGTCGTTTCCTTTAAGTCGTCAACCGGTTTGACCAGTTTCTGCAGCATTGCTTCTCTTTCTTCGTCATCTTCCTCGTCATCTTCGGATTCGATATTACGAAAGGAGAACCCGGGGTGAGGCGTGTCGATCAGCATCGTGATCGCTGAGCGGGTGCTCGTTGTCTTCAATTTCTCTCGGACCTTCGCACTTGAGATGATCTTGTGTCTTCCTCTTGGGGGCGAGTTGGGGCTGCGCTGGAGTCGAGATGTGAGACGCAAGGCCAGAAGTTATAGTGATGATTGGCATTGGTGTCGGACATTTCCGGCGCCAACGCGTGCGCCCCGCGCGCTCGGGTCCTGCGGGAACTCTCTTTCTTATGGGATGCGACGTGTGTCCGTCTCTCAAAGTGCACACGCCTTTTCAACCCATGGTTCCGATGTATATAGGGTTTTTTATTGTTGTCCCGCCTCCTCCTCTAGTTCTTACCCAGTACTGTGCAGAGATGTGCAGCACCGCCGAGGGCCCTTCAGGCCGGGTACATCAAGATTCGTCACATTCATTGACAACTCCTTGACGGCTGACGGTGGCCGCACGGAGGTTCGTCTTCAGCAGAATTCGCAAGATGACACTTTTCGGTCTCTGCAAACGGGCTTGCTTGCAGTGCACCAATGCGCAAGGTCCCCGTTGCACATTGCATTTCTGTTGACAATGAACTTTTCGCTCCTTCCTCGGCATTGTTCTCTATCAATATCAAACCCAGTGTTCAATCATAGACACCAGACTTTCAGCTATTATCGACAAGAAGCAAAATTGTGTCACTTTCTCGGAGATGTTGTCAAGTCATTCCAGTGCAGCTACCGTTCCGACGGCCAGCGAGGCAAGTTTGAATTTTCACCCCCTCACTCACTCGAGCTCAACGTGAGGCCATCATCCAGGAGGATGATCCTAAACCCCCCTACGCAGTGGGTGAGTCTCGGCTGTTGCTCGCGTACACTGCCGAAGAACCCAGTTCACGACGCTGTTCAGCCCGCAGGGCAGTTTCCAAGGTCGATATTCTCGTCCTCCTTACCACCATTGGTATATCAAGCTTGTCGATGACGACGATGGGAAGGGCCCTTGTCAGCGACGTTTGCAGTCTCTGTGGAGTCACGCCGCGGGTCTACGCCTCCTGTGCGTTTATCTGACTCCCCGGGGGCTGCTCTCCCCAACAATCGCTCTTGTGTGTTCAGCCACCACCGCGACCCCGATGGCTGCAAGGAGGTATGTATACGCATGATTCCCGCATGCGAGTCTCATTGACTGCGTGTAGCCTCCCCCCGCCCTCCGCCGCGCCGCTGAACAATTGAGAGAGCTATAAATGCGTTGAGTGTGACAGACATGATTTCTGCAGATGCCAATCAACTATTGAATTCTGCAGGGGATCTCCTTATCTATCCTCATGATGACCACAACGCAGACGATGGAGAGCTTGGTGATGTGGAATCCCTGGGAGACGTTGACGTTGCGCCGCCCTCAATTGTCAAAATCACGAACCATGCTCAAAAGGATCCTCAGTATCGAGAAGAGCTGATGAAAGCACTTCTTGCTTTGCCAGAGGCATAGTGGAAATGAAGTGGCGCTGGCCCCCGTCATGATACCGGTCCAAATGGCTATGATTGTTCCTTAGTGCGGCTAGTTGGGAAAGGGTCGAGACTATTGAAGGAGCATGGCAGTACCAAGGTAATGCTGCGGCAAAGAGGGGTCAACGCTCGGCTCGGTCTGCAGAAGCCTCTACACGTGCACCGCGCAAGGATGGTTCTGAAACTTCACGAACAGATGATAGAGACAAGATTGTCAAGCCAGGCTTCAAGACTCGCGGGAACTTAATCAGGAATTTTGCGATCCCGTCGCAGAAAACGAAGCTGTGCAGGATGACGCCTCTGACCTCGACGTTGATGATAACCATGATCAAGCCAGTGAGGTTCTCAAGTCCACTGAGGTTCACTTCCCATACGCCGACTCTTGGAACGAGCGCCACCAGAATTTATCCGCGCTTCTACCAAAAAGAATGCGAACACCACGCCGAGATGATCTCTCGGTATTCCAGTTGAGACTGAAACATGGTTCGGAGGCTCTGGACGACACCATATGCCAGGTCTGCGCCTACGACTCATGCCGGATCCGGATTCTTGCCGCACGCATGTCCCAGCAGAATCGAATGCCCGGATGGAGGACGGAGATTTGGCAAAATCTTGAGACAGGTCTAGCGGTGCTAGACCTATCCATTTTCCACACCGACCAGAAGTTGAAGTGCTTCCGTTCGTTGATGAACCTCCTTAGCGACTCGTGGCGGTTCGACCTCCCTGAACACTTGGTAACATATCTGGGACTACTGAACCGTGGTTGGGACGATCACGATGCAGGGAAAGCCTTATAGCCATACCACCACAGTCACAAGACCATCTGCATCACCTGGCAGTATTCCGAGTAGCGTGGGAGGAGATCACCACGGCGCAAAGTTCTCGTGATAAGGACAACTCTTCTAGTCCAGCCTATTCGGCTTTATCTGCCTCTCGCTCATGTTCCTATTCCGCTGAGCCAATACAAGCCCCGTCAGGCCCAGTGCAGACACCGAGGGTGCCAGCATCGGTGACTAGCCCAATCGCTGCTGAGGGTAGCTCGATCTCTAGACCCGCTGGAGGATCAATGCTCGCGCATGTTCGTTCGAGCCCGACATCGGCCGCAACGGTGTGATACCATGATCGACCTGTTTGCGCCGTGGGAGTTCGATATACGTCCACTGCAAGGGTAGTTGGATTGGCTGGGAAAGTCTCACAAGGTGGGCGGATTAGAAGTTTGGAAGGTTGTCTGCAGCCCCGCCATGAATGTCTCGGAAGAATCGCGGGTCACTTACATGAGAAGTTGGAGCGTATCACGAGCCAGGGACAGGCGTCGCAGATGTGTCCAAGACAAGCAGTTTCTTGTGGAGTTCGAGCGGCACGCAAGGCTGACGCACTTTTGATCGGGAAAAAGTCATCCAGCCTGCAGAACTGGGAAACGCCTCCGTCGGGACCCCGTCGGCCCCTCACAACCTGCAGACTACGGGCCTGCCTAGCTCGATGGAGGCACATCAGGCTATATCCCATGCGGGGAAATGGGATTCCTCGAACGCCTTGACAAGGGTCGTCCGTGCCTGACTAGCCTGTGCGGACGTTTCCTCCTGCACCTCTGCCATCGCATGGATCCGACGGGGTCGGTGATCTGCACGGAACCACTGTGGCATGGTCTGGGGTAAATAATGGGGAAGTCGTCCTCCCCAGGCAGTTCTGCCACGCGACTTCGTCCACGGCGTGGAGGAGTCCGGGGCTATATATGAACCAGGGTTCTCGGAACAGCCGACATCTCTCCCAAAACCCTTGGAAAGATCTTCCTCAACGAAGCGTCAAGCCCTCAAGTGCCAAGACAGTGCCGACCATGGCGGACGCAGACCGCGAGAAAACCGTGCTCGACGCACACCTCGAGACAATGGTGACCTCCGCCTCCACCGATGAGAAACACGCCGACATCCTCAACCAAAACGCCCAAGAAGCCACACTCATCGAGCACGACCTGACCCTCCGCGAAGCGTTCCGCCGCTACCCAAAGGCCATCTTCTGGTCCGTGATGGTATCCACCTCGATCATCATGGAAGGCTACGACATCGTGCTGGTCACCTCCTTATTCGCCCAGCCGGCCTTCGCAAAGCGATATGGCCATTTAGTCGCCCACGGGTCGTATCAGGTCCCGGGGCCGTGGCAGTCCGCTCTGTCGTGCGCAGCGACCGTGGGCGCCATCTTCGGGGCGTTTGGGAACGGTTACTTCCAGCATCATTACGGCTATCGCAAGATTTTGCTGATTAGCTTGGTGGCCATCGCGGGGTTCATCTTCTTGCTCTTCTTCGCCACGAGCCTGGGCATGCTCGAGGCCGGCTTGATCCTGTGCGGCATACCCTGGGGCGTGTTCGCAACGCTTGCGCCCGCGTACGCGTCCGAGGTGTGCCCCTTGGCTCTGCGTGGCTATCTCACCGTCTACGTCAATCTGTGCTGGGCGTTTGGCCAGCTGATCGCCGCGGGCGTGCTGCGCGGATTCGTTAACGGCACGGACCAGTGGGCGTACCGTATCCCGTTCGCGATCCAATGGGTGTGGCCGATCCCGCTGTTCGTGATTCTGTGGTTTGCGCCCGAGTCGCCGTGGTGGTTGATACGCAGAGACCGCACCGACGACGCCATCCGCTCTATCAGACGCCTGTCCCAGGCGACACAGGAGTCGGCCCTACGCACCGTCGCGCTAATCGTGCACACCAACAAAATCGAGGACGAGGCCGAGACGGGCACCAGCTACTGGGACTGCTTCCGTGGGGTTGACCTGCGCCGCACGGAGATCGTCTGCATGACCTTTGCCGCGCAGATCTGGTGCGGCTCCTCCTTGGGCGGCACGCCGGCCTATTTCTTCGTCCAGGCCGGGCTCGATCCCTCAGTGTCCTTCGACTTCTCTGTGGGAGGCCTGGGCCTGGCCTCCATCGGCACCATCATCTCGTGGTTCCTGCTCGGCCACATCGGCCGCCGCGCGCTCTACGTTTGGGGCCTGGCCATCCTCGCCATCCTTTTGTTACTGGTCGGCATCATCGCGTCCGCATCCTCATCGTCAGCCAGCAGCTTCGGGCAAGCCGGGCTGGTCCTCGCCTGGCTGTGGACGTACTATCTGACCGTTGGACCCGTGTGCTATGCCATCATCTCCGAGATCCCTTCCTCGAGCCTGCGCAACAAGAGCATCTGCCTCTCCCGCGTCGCCTATTACCTGTCCCAGGTCGTCGGCAACGTCATCTACCCGTACATGGTCAACCCCACCGAGGGCAACTGGAAGGGCAAAGCTGGTTACTTCTGGGCTGGCACGTGCTTTGTGTTCTTCGTCTGGGCCTATTTCCGCCTCCCGGAGACGAGGAACCGGACGTTCGAGGAGATCGACATTTTGTTCCTGGAGGGTGTCAAGGCGCGAGAGTTCTCCAAGTACCATGTCGATGCCTATGCTAGCGGCAACGACTCACGCCTGAAGACAAGGTAGTGGCTAGTGGAGTACAAGCTTGGAGGGGTATTGCAGAGACTCGGGGCCCTGGGAATGATGGAAGGCGCGCGTTGGGCGTGGCACAGAAAGAAAAATTGCCAACAGAGGGGGATGAGCATAGGCCACACCCCAAATAATGATCCCACATAGATGAAATTTCGCCTAGAGCTTCAGGCAATGTTCACTCGCTTTTGCTTTCCAACCAGCTCAATGATTCCAGGTACTGCTTCTGCACGCCCCAGATCTCAGGTGAGAGCTCCTGCCGTGATGGTGAAAACTTGTTCCACCTGGCTTCCGGATTCCCCGTCGCGCTTCTCAGGAGACAGATGCCCTCCTGGAGAATTTTCTTGGGCGCCTCGGGTGCAGAGATGTCGGGAATTCCACGCATGCGAGCGGTCATTTTGTGACCCATGCGGGCAAAGTTCTGCACCATCTCGTCATCGCATGGCCGGTCGACGTATAGCATTGAGGGGTCAATCTCCGTCTCGTTTGTCGAGCTTGCTGTCTGCATTGGCATGCCACTGAGACGTTGGGAGCCCGGCATCGAGTCGGGGTTCGAGATGTTTCCTTGTCGATTATTGCTGATCTTTGTCGATACCAGGACAACACTGTACGCCCAGATTACCAATGTCGCCATGTACACGGCGAATGGCTCCAGCACGTTGTCGACGCTGTAGCGCCGGATATGCCAACAAAGGGCACCTGCATGTATTACCGCTAGCCGTGCCTTGTACTGGTCGTGTGTTGCCCAATTGATGAGATGCTTGCGTGACGCGTTGAACGGCGTCTCCGCGACGTCAGGATTACCCAGTAGCATAGGATTGGCGGCCAGTGTCTGTAGGTGCACGGTGGGGGTCAGGATCAGTAGCCGAGCGAGGTGCAGATGTAAAACAGTGGGGTGCTCCCAGCCTGCAGATTCGGCGATCCGACCATTAGCTTGCCAGTGCAGAATGTCGAGACAGTCGCACGCGCTATTCCGCCATTTCAGGGACATCTCGTTGGAAGGTGGACACGTGTCCCCGGTCGCTAGCGCCGGAATACGAGTCTGAACCGCTGCACTCGGTGTCCAGAACGATAGTCGGGACTGGGCTTGGCTGAAGACGTCCTTGGTCCTGCGGCATATCGCGTGAATGAGCAAGACATGCGCAAAATCACCCAGATTCTTGGGCAGTCTCTTTTCCATGTAGAGCATTTCAAGAGCATGGGAGAACAAGACTATTCGGCGCTGGTCAGTCTGAAGAGGTTGTTGGAGTGTTGGAACTTACGAGAATTGGATGTTTCCGAGGCAATTGACTCCTCTGAAGGCATTTCCCAAGTCCTCTCCGAGCAAGACAATGGTGTGTCTGGTGGGGGAAAGGCCATTCGCGGCTGGCTGTTGACCTCGTACGAGAAGATGGCATCCAGGAGCTATCGATTGAGGAACATGATTAATACGAAACAAGACTGTGAAAATTGTTGGGTCTCACCCATATCATCATGCCAGTCCGCAGTAGAGCCTGTCGCTCAAGCCAGTCCCTAATGTCTCTCCCGACATTACTCGTTGATCGTTTAGGCTCACAGGCAAGTCTGAACAAGTTCTTGGTGTCACACATCTCGACCAGTCGAGACTTTTCAAGTAGCGCGCTATTTATCTTCTCCTGGACGCCAGAATGGAGCAATAAGAGCGTATTCAGGATCGCAGCCTGGAGTACTTGCAGGTCAAGATAGGAAATCCGGCCGGAATGGCTGGGGAGATCGCTAGGCCCAGGAGTCACGTCATTGTGCCGATGAGCAGCATTCAAGTGTTGTTGTAATGCTTCATGTAGTACGTTGCGCATGGGTTTGGTAGATTCAGGAGCAGTATATTGTGCGCCTACTGTTGCCACGGCCAGGGTCAGGAGCCAATGTGGCTCAGCGCTCTGGAAGGTCGCCTTTCGAAGGAAAGGCATGGTGGAATGGAACCTATCAAAGTATGTCTGGACATGCCAACTCAGCTCATGAAGAGTCGGAAACCATGACAGAACACTCTCCCTGCTTCGAGGCGGCGTCTCTGACAACAGGTTTTCACGGACCGTACGGTAGCTAGTGGGCGACACGAAGCTGATTGATGCGGCCGACGGGGGATTCGCGGACGCCATCGACGCAGAGTTAATGGATTCGGAGCTCGGGCTTGCGATCGACGGTTGGGCATGGAAACGGCCTGGGAGCGCTGCTCTTGCCACCACCCCGTCCACGTAGTATCGTCCAACTGTGCTTCCAGAAGAAGATCCAGTTTTGTCACTTTGGGCCATAGAGCTCTGCAGTTCAGTGTGTGGAGACCCATGCATGTCTGTCTCTCGCATCACTGCTGAAGGTATCTCCATCAACTCATTTTCTTGGGCTGGCGGAATACCACCGGTTTGTGTTGTTGCGGAGTTGGGCATGTTAACCTCGGTGCAAAGAATTGAGGCATCGAAAGACGGGAAAATATTGGTCGATACCAATTCCTGCTGGATCTGCCAGTCTGCGACATCGTCTATGCTCGGCGACCACCAATTCATATAGAGCACCTGCTGGTTGAAGTCAACACTAAACCCAGGGTCGCGAAAATAGGAATCGCTGTAAGCGGCAGGGTTCTGTACGGATAGCGGAGGTGCGGGATCTGGCCAAGTGGGAGACCCGGCGACAGCGACAGGGACATTGGGCGTTACAGAATCAGCTAAGGAACCGTTTGGCGGACCATCTGCAAGGGGTTGCTCGCCAGGGTTCTCCACCCGCTCGTAGGAGACGTTTCCGCCGACTGCACTTTCATCTCGGACAGGGGGAAGAACATCGGGGCTGTTCGAGATAGCATATCGACATTCTAAGCCTCGCGTCGAACAGCGATGGCAGGGGTTTCCTCGTGAGCATCGAACGTGAGAAGAGGCGCACTGCTTGCAAACCCTCGTGCCCGAGCCATGTGGGCTCAGCGCTTCCTCTTCCTGATGGAAAGCAGCATGCCGAGCCAGAGTGTCCCTGTGCGAGTGATAAGTCACGAACGAGGCTTGCCATGAGGTTGCAACTTACGCGCGGGTGAAGTGCTTGCCGCATATCGGGCAGCAATGTGACTTCTCCCTTGTGTGAGTCGTCTGGTGTCGGCGCAGATGTTCCTTCCTTGTGAACTTTCGTCTACACACCGAGCACTCGTGTCGCGGAGGTCTTGCCTGCCCCGTGGCTTGCCGGTCGTCCTTTCCCATTGCCCAAGGCAGCAGAGGAAGCCGGGACAAGACAACGTGGCCCGTTCTTGCTCTCGCTTGGCCGGACGCGAAAAGGCGTGTCAGTCGATCGCGGAGGTGGACGTGGAGGCCCGACGGGGTTGAGCTGCCTGGGTTAGGCCGGTCACGTGCAGCGTCTGGCACGTCTCTGTGACTGAATGACACTATGGGGTCATACAAAGCAGATGGTAGAAAGGCACCTCAAATGACTCAATTCTAGAGCCATTTGCACCATAGTAGTACTTATGTCACACCTCTCGGAGACAACAACGGAATCAACAATCATGACAATTCCAGAGCTTTGGTTAATTGCATCCACAATTCATCGGAGCCAAGGGCCGTGAATTCTTCCACCGGTTGAATTCGTGAAGCTTCTTGGGAAAATCCCGACGGTCAATTCCTGTCCCACTACGGGCACTCCCGCCCCCATCGGAGTGTAATTGTCGTCCTTCTCCGGCGGGGGGATGCAACTGAGGCGCATCGGGGGATTCGCTAACCACTTGCGAGCTGACTCCCCACGGGGAAATTACTGCTAAAAACCATGCCTTCATGCTCCTGCAGAGCAGAATGAATGCCGGCTATTTCTCACCGCCCATGTATTTGGCACCTCAATTCAACCATGGTTGAGGGGCTTCCCTGTTCCCCTCGGCGGCGATCAGCAATGGAATCAATCTACATATATATTGGTCTTGAGGATCGACTCTGGAAGGCACGGAGCCAGTCCACTCTCTTGTCGGCCCCCAATACTCCTAAGGTTTCAGATTAGCAATAGCCATTCATGAAGTCGATAATCGCAAGGTGTGCGGCAGCGCTGTTGGCAACGAGCCTTCAAGTGCATGCCATGCCGACCGACCCATCACGGCCTTCTTCCGGGGCCAACAACACGACTGCTACCATCACTCTTTCCTCCAGCATGGGCGCACCAAGCCACCTTGCTTCTGGTTTCATCTACGGCATTCCCGACACTCCGGACCAGATCCCGCCCAAGTTCTATACCGGAATGGGATTTCGATACAACCGTGCTGGAGGAGCCCAAACTCCGTCGAAAGGCTGGCTTGCTGGGGTTTCCGAATATCATCCTCGCTTTCAATCGGCCCTGTCCAACTACAGGACTGCCCAACAGTATGGGGCGAGGTTCCAGCTCTTGCTTCACGATATGTGGGGAGCTGACGGTGGCGAGCATGCGAATGCGTCGTTTCCTGGCGACGATGGCGACTGGAGCAGTTTCGACGCATTCCTCGCACAGGTCGCTTCCGATCTCAACGCAAATGGAGTACGCGAGGGTCTCGATATTGACATCTGGAACGAACCCGACATCAGTGTGTTCTGGTACCGCCCCATGCAGCAGTGGATTGACCTGTGGGGCCGTGCGTACCATACCTTGAGGTACATTCTGCTTCCCACCTCTCCCTCTCTACCAGCCATCAATTAATCCACAATGTGCCAGGCAATCCCTCGGAACGGACGTGCCACTCGTGGGCCCCTCGCTCGCATATCAACCCCAGACCAACAACACATGGTGGACCAACTTCCTATCCTTCGTCGCCCAAAACTCCAGTATTCCCGATCAGTGGACGTGGCATGTCGAGGGCCAAGCTTGGAACTCCGTCGACGACCCGGAACAAAGCAGCGCCAATCTCAAAGACATGCTCGCGACCTACGGCCTGCCCGAGCACCAATTCAACATCAACGAATATGCCACTCGCCCTGAACAGCAACCCGCGGGAGCCGCGTGGTTCATCTCCCGCCTCGAGCGCAACAACATCGTCGGCCTGCGCGGCAATTGGGCCTCGGCCGGCGAATTGCACGACTATCTGGCAAATCTGTTAGGAAAGCCCGGCGCGAACACGACGGCGTACAGTATCAACGGGACAGGATACTGGCCCAATGGCGAGTGGCAGGTATACCGTTACTACGCCACCAACATGACCGGGGAGAGAGTGGCCACGACGGGCGCCGGCGACCGCAAGTTCGACTGCTACGCGACCATGGATGGCAATGGAGCGGTCAAAATCCTCTGTGGCACCCGACTCGTCGGCGACACGTACTCGGTTACCGCGGAAGGTCTCGCAGCGGCGGGTCTTCCCGACTCAGGCACCGTCAATATTTGTACCTATCGCTTCGACTTTGACGGGAGTGCCTACGCCGATGTCCAGGGACCGGTGGCTTTGGGAAGCTCCAGTCACAGTTATAGCGGTGGCGCTGTGACCTGGCAAGTGACTCCGGCGACGAATGAGACGGCGTATGCTTTTGAGTTTTGCTGAAAAACCAGTAACCCGTGGAAACGCGTCCCAGGGACGGCATATGTACATAGAGCCAACGCTATGATTCCGCGTTGAAAGCTCGGAATAACAACAATAGCAGAATGGTCGTTCGAAGAAAGTCGCACTCCACACGGGAAAGAAAAGCAGGTCACAATCAGGAATAGTGTCTCGGTCCGTCGAAAGCGGGCGTCAGTAAGAGAACGGTCGGTGCGTGGCCCGCTTTGGGACCTGGCTGGCGCTGCATATGGTGGAGCATGTCAGGATGAAGGGTACCTTAGGTAAGTGTGAAGATGTCACGAGACGCTCTGGTTGGCTAGAATAGCCTTTTCTCGAGCACCTCGGTGAACAAAGAACAAGATAAGGAAGTGTATCACTCAGCATAGCCGAGTGTCCACTTCCGAGGTAACGAGAGAGTACAAGAGGAGGTTCCCTCCCGAAATAGGTGCAAACGACTTCCTGGCTCTCCAAGCGATGAGTCGTTGTTACATAGGACTGTTCAATAGACTACGTTGCATCAACTACTCCCTCGCAGGGCTATTCATAGTGAAGGTTCTGACACTATGACAAGCGTCTTGGTTTTGCAGTTGAGTCCGTAAATGCTGCGTTTTCATTGGTTCACCTCCGAGTTTGGACATTCGGGCCGTCAGTCACCCTGGAATTGGGAAGGATGCAAAACAACTAGGAAGGCGTCCAAAATAATTTGCAGCGATCAAAGTCGGAGTGCAGAACGATTTGGCGCGGGCAGAGTCGGTTGCTAGCTGAGTATCTCCCGTAGCGAATGACGCGGTTGTCGCCAGGATAATCGGAATTTTCCCCAGTGCGGATTCCGTATAACGATCTCTTCGATAATCCTCAAGTTAACCCTTCCCGGTCGCCATGGATTCTGCCTCAATGGGTTCCAAAAGTGTATCAGTGGTGCAACCGCCTTCGTCGAGACCCAGGAGTCGATGTTGAGTACGCATTTGCACAGGTCGCAGTAGACAAGAACAAAATCAGAAGATTGCACATCGCAGCAGCAAGGTGGAGGAGCGTCGGCCGCAGGTGTTCAGGGCGTTCGACTATCAACCCGGCGATCGACGTCCGCACCGAGTTCAATCAACTTGCGAAGAAGAGGTGCATGCCCTTTTATAGCTGCCGAGGTGAGGGCGGTACCCTTTTGATGCCGCACATTACAGCAGAGGAGGAGATGCCCGTAAAAGCTAAAGTGAAGCTGCTGGTTCACTCGGATAGGTGAATATATGCCTGGAAGGATTTTACGTGCGAAGAAGCATCTTCGAAGCTCTCTTGATGCGGATCACCAAGTTCTTTTTACCCAGACGGTTGCAGCCGCTTTATGAACTTCGCTGATTACAGGCAATCTCCCAGATTTTTGGTATTCCTGTATCTCCTCAACCTCATCCAAGCATTGCACTCGACCATGGACCGTGGTGGTAGTCTGATGCCGCGCTCTCTCTCACGGCTCTTTTTCTCCATACGACCTCGCCACTACCTCTCATTTGGACTGCACCTCCTGCCGTTCAGTGTAACTGGCGCCGAGAGAGCAACACTTATCAGGAGTGCGCGCCAAGAGAACTCACCTCAATATAGTCTAGCGGACGCCTGAGCTCCGCACTTTTCACGCAAGCTATTCGCATAAGGAACTTCTCTTCCTTATGCTTAGAGTCTAGGACTAGAGCACATCTCTAGATAGGAATACTTGAACCCCCCATTGTGTTATCACTCTGCCTGTTACTCGAGGCGTTCCTAACAAGGACCGGCCCGTGCCTTGGGACGGTCCGTAGTCAACTTCGTTATCAATTCTACCCCTACCTTTGGGCTAGTATTATCTGATACAGATCCCTGTCTACTTTATCGCAGAGCGTGGCTCGCTATAGTTCTATCATTGTCACTACCCTTGCTCCACCTATCAGTAAACCCTAAGCTCCGGTTACCTCCGCCAGTATTAGGTTCTTAACAGTACCTTAACGCCCCCGTTCCTACCACCCTCTAATCCGTGCAATCCCTCGACCCCACCGACATCTCTAACTTTAGTCCTCTATTCCTCCTACCTAGTCGATTCACGCCGCATTTCGTCAGCCTCATGCCCCAGTAGTACCTAGTCGCAGTGTTGCTCCTAGGGTCCTATTGTGGAATCATGGAGCGTGTGCCGCGTTGGTGGTGCCATAAACGCAGGAAATAGGAGATGGAAGCGATCCTGGGGTTTCTCGAGAGGATCGTGGAGAAACGGGAAAGGGAAGGACACGAAGTGAAGGACTGGGTGAGGAGTGTAGACGGTGGAGGACAGTAGGGGTCGAAAGATGTTCATCAGTGAAAAGCATCCAATGTAGGAGCCCGATACGATTCGTCCCGCGACTCTTTCTCCCCTCGAAACAAGTATCGCCACGTTGGATCGCAAGAGCTCAGCTCATTCCGTCGGAAGTTCAGTAGAAGAAGTACAAGTACAACCGCTGATGGAAAGTGACTGCGCTAAGCTACTTTCGTCGTTCAACCAATCATAGACGACACAAGAAGTGTCTCAGCCACGATTGATGGCGGTGCCGCAGATCCATCGACGAATTAAATAGCGCTATTGGTCGAGCCTCAGCCTCAATTTTTCATCACGGATATCGCCGAGCCCGAGGTGACAAGCTGGGAAACCGTGAAGAGCTTCGCGATCGGCACTCAGGCCCAGTCCTTGGTTCCATGGCCGTAGGAAGGCCAAAGTGAGAATATAAACTGTCGCGAGGACATGATCTCCTTCTTCACCTGGGTCCTTCAATTAAAAAACCCCCCAATCTCGCTCTTTCTAACATGGCTAGGTTAGAGCCAGACTGCCCGACATATGAACCGAACGCAATTCCCATATATCGTACCTTCGAAGAATTCGCAAATGTAGGCGCCGCATTCACCGGCAAGGGAACGGATCCTCGAACACAACATTTCTCATTTCAACGACCGTCCGCTCGAGACACGGAGAGGTCGAAATCCTTCCGCGCGAACCTACAACAACTAGCGCGGCATGTGGAATTCGACTCCAGGCAACTCGTCTTGCCCAATGGTGCCTGGCCTCACTCCGGAAAGGCGATCAAGGACGAAGATTACTCGTGGGTCTCGAACGCAGCTACGGGTACCCTGGTGCCAATCGCCCGGAACAATGAACCCGTCACGTATGATGCGATCGCCAGCAGGTCATTGAGACACGTTCTAGCCGTGCAGGGCGCAGACTGTCAGGCCATCTTTCTCTATGATCCATGTTCTCTGGTCATCGGTCTCGCCCACGCGGGTTGGAAGCCACTTGTGCGCAACGTTGTGGGCAACGTGATCGACGCCATGGAAGACCTGGGTGCAACTCGGCACACCATTCGAGCATACATCTCTCCTGGAGCTGGGGACCTGTACAATGCTTTCAACTGGGACGATAATATGGAAGAATCTGTCAGGGAGGTATTCGTTCAAGCGGGCCGGGACGACCTGCTCGCTGAGCCAACCATTCGCCACCATTTGACGTCTGAGGATCGTGCCATCCTAAGATCTGCTTTAGGCCGCGAAGTTCCCGAGGGATCATCCTTGAAGCTCTTACATCTCGCGTTGACGGAGCTCAAGTTATGTGGCGTCCGCGAAGGTAATATCTCATTCAGCCACGACTCGACCATCGTGGAACGCCAACTTGCACCAGACCGCGAAGGGCCCCTCAAATACCATTCATACCGACGGGAACGACCGGACCACGGATTGAGTATCAGTGTTTTATTTTTAAGGTGCAGTGATTCGAAGGGAATCTAAAGCAAGGGTCTGAGGGTGTCGGAAAAACTCCACACATGCATTTTTCATGCACCTTCTTCTCGACTGTAGTCTGTGATGAAGCTAAAGTCTGTATACTTAGGCAGATTCTTTTACTTGTACGGCTTGGACTGACGGTGTCGCTTGGTAGCACACATTGATGGCTCCAACATTGCTTCCGTCCGGCTTCCTGTTGTGTCTGTTGGTAGACTCAGTCGAAAACACCACCTTTTTACCTCTCACTCTAATCGTAAGCTCGAATTGGGCCCCAGCGGATTGTCTCTCGTGATCTGAAATGCTGGGAAGGAGAGCATAGGCCGGACCAAAGACGATCAATGACCAGACGCTCGTAAACGTGCATAAATCCTTGATCCTAAGTGGCCTCGGGGTCACTGTTTTATGCGTAAATCCGAGAATTTTCTTGCGCGATGCCCGCTTTTGCACATGACCCGAAGCCTCTCCATTGAGCATGACTTCCTTTAGGAACAAAACGTTTCGGAAGGAATCCAACATCACGCTCAGATCGATCGCGCTGCTGAACATGGCCGCGGCTCCTATCGTCAGAGATGCTAGAAGCGCAAGAGAGCCAAGTTGAGAGCTAACCGTCCCACTGGTCGGCCTTGTTGTCCAGACGGAAAAGCCTGTGGTAATCACAATCCCAACCATGGTCATAACATTTGCGACGATTCCATCGAGTGCCGATCTCCCCGACTCGACCGTGCTTGTGATATCTCTTTTCTGCCAATCTCCCACAGTTCGAGCTTCGCTCATCTGAGAATCGGTCAAAGTTTCCTTGTCTGAGACTGGCACTACACCAACATCTTGGAGAAGAGTCGCTGGGCAAACTGAATATGTAGTACTTGCTGCCGCTTTGCCCAACTCTCTGAATAAAGGAGATGTTGGATCATCGTTTAGTCGAGCTTTGAACTGGGCGAATTCCACTGATGCAAACGATGCTTTGTTGAGAAGGCTCCAGCTTGATCCCGCAATCACAAGCGTAAAAAACCCCTGAAATGTTCTGTAGACATACCAGAAATGCAAAAAAAATGCCACTGCGTAGATCGCAACAACAACTAGTCGAGGATAGCTGTCCGGGCCTTTGTCACTGTTGAAAAATCCATTGAACGCCAAGGTTGAGATGGTCATCGACAGCGCTGCCCAAGCACATACCCACTCCCAGACAGCCAATTGAACGATGCTTTTGGTGAGTGACGATCCCGTTGTCAGCCACATTGGCGGCGTTGATATTCTCTCGTCGAGCGTAGCTTCGCATTGCTTAAGGCCTCGAGCAGCTCGTTGTTGTTCACCATCGATCTCCCCGGTGTACATGAGTCTGATGGCGTCTGACGAGCTGTTTGCTCCTGGAGGGTCCGTTGAGTCTGTTGAGTCGCTATTGTCAGGCCAGGACCTGGATAGCAGATTACCGAGATTCTCTTCAATGATGCTGAGCGGGAGCTTGCAGGTACTTAACAGCCGTGTACCGGGCCCTATTAGCACAGCGTATGTGGTTATCGTCAGCACCACGCAAGCTATCGCCAGGATCGTATCCAACGCTTGCACCTCGGGCTGATATCCTTCTTGAGAATTATCCGTGCTAGTAGTCCCATTGTCTGAAGGATCGCTGCCTGCTGGTATCGTCCCAGGAGGGTTTCCGGCTGGAGCACCTAAAGGGCCTCCTGTGGCGGCAGCAGCCAGCGAGCTTGATTGAGTGGATAGAATACTCAAAACAATACCAATTGACAATACAGCCCAAAATATTGACAACATCTTTCAGATTTCAACCTCTTGCCAGCCTTATTCAAATTCCGGTCGTAGTAGTTTGTTCAATGCACGGACGAGTTTCGTTAGAATGGCGAACGGTATTTTGCGCTGACGAAGACGGCCTCTCTTCACCGTCGTCCTTTTGCATTGGATCGTTATTGCAAGTGGAAGTAGAAAGGTGGGTTAGAAATCTGACCTGCAGGGTTGACCCGTAGTGAAGAGAACATTGATAGCTCTGGCGCCAGGCTGTAGCGCATTAAATGAAGCCCCTGAGTTAGCTCCGAAGGCTAGGCAGGATTGATCCTCGCTTCAGGCAGAGGGAAAACTAACTCAATTCGGACGAAGCAAAAAACGCGACACGAGTTCCATGACAGTTTCGAGGCAGTTGCGTATTGCAATTTGCCCTGAATTGCTGTCACCGACCGGGGTAGCAGGAGCGAGAGGGAGGCGATTCGCGAAAGGCGAGGCTCGGTAAGCCATCAGTAAGCGGGGTAGTTTGCTGGCATGAAGCGCCCCAACGAAGACGCCCGCCCCCGTCTTCAAATCAAGTCAGCCTTATTATCAGGCAAAGCGACGGACGGATCGGAGCGATTCAAATGTGCACACACCTTTGGGCGGTGAAGACCTTTTGCGCCTTGTCAATGTGGAGTGCTCAACACTGGGGGTCCTTGATGTCGTAGAGCGGCTGTGCTTGTCCGTCACACCATCCGAGTCGCAAGTGAGCTCCAAGCAGTGTTTCTACTTTGATGCCAAACCCAACACATAATACGTACTGTACACGCGTAGATATAACGATTATAAAGTCAGTGGCCTTTCTTCGGCATACCTGGCCCTGTCAACTGCTGTAATTGGTCATACGATGTCGAGCCATGCCCCATCACTGTCCAACAACTGCAAATTCTTGTAGATCGAGTCCGGCATGCTATTATCTGCCAAAAGCCACGGCACAATAAGGTCAATGTTGGTCATCTGGCCGGCCGGCATTGCTGTTGCACAATAAACAAACACATTAGCAACTGATTTTCAAATTGAGAGTTTGTAACTTGCCACGGGGGCAAAACCTACAGTGCTGTTCGACAAGCTCTCCCCCTTCGTCATGGCCACTCTCGACCATCATAAAGTGGTCGAAAATTGGTTGCATCATTGACGGCGACATCAGATGCAGCGATAGCGAGCCTTGTGGGACGAGAGCGCACTCACGCGCTGACAGGGAGGAGGTGTGCAAGCCCTTGCTGGCTCAGTATCTTGACCTTGTCCGTCACGTTGTTAAGAGCGTGCCGAAGGTCGCGGTTGAGGCTAGCGAACCGGGAGTCGTAGTCGTCCAGCTGAGCCTGGTGTTTCGCGAGCACCGATGCCAGGTGGTTGTAGAGTGCAACCAGGACGGATCTATGAGGTTTTGGTCAGCACAGTATCACTTGCAACCGAGTCTTGCCTCTGGAGGTTTATCCATACTAGTAGTGGAACAGCGTCATATCGGCAAACACTATCACCGAACGGTGTCGGGTTCGCTTCTCTTTGTCTGTGCCAACCTGGTTGGTTAGATGAGGCATAAACCTCCGGGTCCAGACCTTGAGTTCAGTCTTGCCTCGCTCGACTTCTGCGACAGAAGAGATCAATTGGGAAATGGTGGGAGCGTCGTGCGAAGACGGATCGTCGACTCGATATCGTCTACATCCACGACAGGGACGAAAAACATCGTCCAACCATGATGTGGGAATACCCGAAGCCTGCAACAAGGTCTGAAGGCGATTGGCCCCAGTTCCGGTCTGACGGTGTTGGGAAGTGCACGTTTGTGGTGGACCCAAACTTCGAGCAGGAGCAGAGAAGGGCTCAGAAGCGTGCCCAACAGCAGGAGCAACAGCGTTAACTGCATCAACGGCGCGACCAGCAGATACCTCGCACAAGGTCGCATGTTGTTGCGCCCTCTGCAGTAGTTGAAGTCCCCAGTCGCGTCAGTCCCCACAAGCACCAGGCCGCTGTCCAGGGGTCAGCAAAACAAGATATTGTCAAGGAGGAGAAAGAGCCGAAGAGCTACTCCTCCACCATGGATAGCCAGCCACTTTTTCCTCCCATGCCGAAGATGGCTCTTTGGGCCGCTCCTATCCATCGTCTTTGTACATCCCATATCATGGCAGACCCCTGCAGCTCGTCCCTCCATGCTTTCAACTCCTGAGCGGCAGTGAATGGCCCCTGACCAAAAATCCGACATGAGCCATCCTATCCAATTTCATTGGCTCTCTGTCAAGGATAGACGTCTGTACAGCTCCTGCCGGTTCCATGTCGATTGGCCGTAGGTGGACGTTGTTATCAGGTCGGCCAATCAATATCCACAAGGTCAGTACCGTTGACCTCGTTCCAATGTTCTCCATATTGTCGTGCTTACGTGAAACCGCCTCTATCCTAGTAGCGAAAGGACAATTACCATTCAGTGTCCTGCCCTCATGAGTCTGCCTTACCAACCCAATTTCTTGTCCGCATGACCATGTCCAACTAAGCAGAAACGCCCAACAATCAAGGCATGAAGCAGGCACGGTCGCAGAACCTGGTGGGAATCCAACTTCGGCAACGAAAATCACCTCCCGACGCTCCCCCTATCGTGCGTCTGAGTTATGGATGCCGCTGTATTGTTCTCAACCCAGGCAGAACCGTAATCACAATATTATGTCCTATTTTGCACAAGAAATAGCAATTCAGGTTTGGTTGGCAGGCTGGGACGGATCTTGCCGAGCATTTGCTTTGACGGGGGCTAATTCTACCTCCATGGGCCGACGCATCCCACAATGTAGTCTGAGTAGGACAGTGGCATCTACAAGTAGACGAAAACGAGTCAGTAGATGATCATCGACTTAGAGATAGGTATGCTCGGTACGAAGGCGCTACCTGCGATATCAATCGGTATCATGAATTTGGAAATACTAGCCATAGACGACTCGTTCATTGGCATGTCTGCACCTCGCAGATGATCGGGCAGTACTCTGCTAAATTGGTCAAAGAACTTTCAACATAGCTGTCCTCGTCCGGGTGCCTCCCATGCTCCATCACGTGCTGGATTAAAGCGGCCTGGCTCCGTTTCCTGAACGAAAATGGTAAGGGACGAAGCACAGTTTGGGGCATATATAATATATATATATATATATATATATATGCTCGATTAGTGTAGGCTACCAAGTCATGCACCTTGTGGTCGGACAATATGTGGGATGCCGTGTTTGTCCCCTACTCTTTTTTTTAACTCCTTGTGCGCTTGGCTATCAATATCATACTGAGTTAAGAAGCACGGGTTATTGCTCCCATCATCAGAGTTTTCCTTTGTCAAAAGATGGGGAAGCAACCTATGCGAGATCCGGGGCTTCAGAGATAGGCTTTTAAAGCTTTCTGCAGTGTCAACCCCCTTCTAGCCCCCGGGTAATTTACTAGCTCATTTATCGTTAAAAGTATGTAGCATCCAGTGTTTCACACTGGCTCCTTGGTACAGGATTTGGCTTCTGCGTCTTGGCCGGAACCAGGCTCTCAAGGCGCTCTTCAGCATGTTTGATGACCAGAAAGGCGCTAAGGTCATGAATACGATCAGCCAGTGGCAGTCCCTTTCTCTTAGCTGTCCTTTGCAATGAACGCTTGCGCCTTCGCCAAACCCAATGAATTCTTCAAAAATGCAAGCAGACACCGCGCCCAAGCGCGTTTCCCGTCGGCATCACACTTTTGAACGTCCTCGTTTCGTAAACACACCACGGCCGCGACAAGAGGCCACAGCATCAGTAGACCTCTGAGGCTGTACACCTCCTCGATCGATTGGGGGTCGTCCGTGCCGCCCGTTGCCGTCAGTTGCAACATGGACGGCACGCCCATACACAGGTCCGTGATGAGCTCCATGATTAGTGCAGCTGTTGACGCAGCAATGGACTCATTGTACAAGACTAGCTGGGCGTCTAGGATCGGCGAATCGACATTGCCGCGAGCCCGTTCAAGGATTGAGAGATTTAGCAGCAGGCGAGTGCCACGGTACAGGTCTATGGTTAAGGCCGCGAGGATGGTGTGGTAAATGAGCATTTGCTCAGGGGCGCCTGGGTGACTGAAAAGCTCTCGAGCCCATCGTGGTCGGCTCTCAGGGTTGACAGGAATGGAGTGAGTGACGTTCCATCCATCGCGGCCGTTTGTACGTTGATACCATTCCTCCAGCGCTGTGTCGAGATCCATGGCTTCCCGGAGTAACTGATCTAGTCTCTGCTCCTTCTCGTCCAGATTTGTATCGTCCAACACCGAGGATTGCTGTTGTAGCTCAAGCTGCACGAGTCTATATCGGAGTTCGCAGGTTCTGTAAATGAGAACGGCCAGCTCGGAGCTAGGATTGTCCGTGGTATGCAGTTCCATATCTGCAAGAAATGGAGGAGGAGGCTCTGCGTTAGAGAGACAATGCATGAGCTGACGCATAAGTCAGCAAAACTTTCCGCTATCCAGGCATCTAAGCCTGCACGCAAGGAGGTAGAGGAATGAATTTGGGTGATGGTTGGCCATACAACTTGCATGTTGATGACGGACGCGTAGCGGGGTTTGTCGACTCTATTCTTCCGCGCACGGCCGTCCCATAGAAATTTCAGGATAGAAATTGCGCCCTTCTGGTGGGTGGCGTAAGTGCCGTCAAAACTGGTTGAAGTCATGGCCTATCAGCCGTTGGTTACTTGAGATCTAGGTTCCAGAACATGCGAACAACAAACCTCGTAGATACCCAGAAGGAAAATACCGGGCAGAACTTGATCTGTTTGTATTTTCGCGCCGCCAGAATCAGACATGACTCTGGCAAGTCGGCCTAGCGCATTGTTATAGAACACAACACCAGCGTCCTTGGCCTCTTGGGACTTGAGCCTGCCGCCAAAGTTTGCGAACGAAAGAGCCGAAATTGCAGAATGAAACCAGGTGTTCGATGGGCAGGTCGTCACCATTTGAGGGATCCGGCCAAGCGCGCCTCCTCTCGTCATACCGTTGTCCTGGGCGCTTGCAAAGTCGTAGAAGAATCGTAGATGGACCATATGCTGAAATGATGGGCGCAAGGAGACGCCCGTAGGAATTGTCGGGCCGCTACGGCGAATTAATTCTCGAGATGAAGGGGGTCCGGTACCAGCGGCAGAAACTGAGTGGCTCCTCGATAGCGAGGGAGAAGGATTGGAAGGAGGCTTAGTCATTCGCTGTCGCCATTTCGTTTTGACAGTCCGTTCTACATGGTGATTCTGGTTCCGCAGAATTAAGTCGAATTGATCCTTATACTCGCATGCTTGGCCAGCCTTTCGACAACGCAGGCAGGATGGCTTGTTTTCATCACACTAGCAGAATTAGCGCGGACCAATTTGTATGAGACAGACAACTTCAAACTGCGCGGTACAAGCGGTGATGCGCAGATGTAGTCAGCGGGACGAGGGAACAAGACGCCAATACAATGGGGACTCGCTCCAGATGTGGTTCTATCGGCTTCTTAGAACGTGGTTCGGTTCGTGTAAGCACGTGGCTCATGACCAGGGATTCGTAATGGGCTTCTCGGAATGCCGTGAAAACTTCGAGGGATGTTTACCTTGACCTTTTTAGAGACACATCTCCGACAACCTTTGCTGGGCCCCTTATACGGCATTCTCGCGTTCGAGGCGTTCCAGTGACCAATTGGGGAACGAGAGGGTAAAATAGGCGCCGGCTTGAAGAGGGTTAGAAGTAACACAGTGTCTAATCGTAGAAAGAGGTAATGGAGAGTACCTTGCGGCGTGCCGGGATCTGTGGTGGTGGTGTAGGATTGAGTTGTGGATGGGTTCGAGATTTGGGTCTAGTTAGAATCGATTCCCTGTCAGCCCCGCGGTGAATTATTTATTATCCGCCGCGACGCCGACGGCGGGACGTAAGGCGCGGTAATTTTCGGTAACTCCATCATACTGGCTGCCTGATGATTGTGTTTTGGCTCTTGTCATCTGCCATTTTGAAGTGATTGGTGTGTATTGATATACCTGGCGGCTACAATAAAAGCGGCTGTAATGAACGGCAGTGATTGATCCGGCAGTTTCTTCTAAAGACAACGTGATTCTACCATATACCTTGTTCCATATTTCATTACACGAAGACAGCCTCAAGTGAAGACAACCAACCTGTGCCATTCTTCCGCCAGCTGTGCCGGTAGCACGCTCAGCCAAGCAGCCTCTTCTGTCTCAGCTGATCTTCGGTCCAGTTCCACAGCTTGCTCGCGAGTGTTCCATCCATTGCCGCTGCACTTGGCTTTCCGATCTTCATGTACGGGACAATATAAGCTCCCGAACTGCTCTCCTCAAAATCTTTGCTAGCTATCGCCCACAACGATGACGAGGCACCCCTTTCCGGCTCGTCCAGAATTCTCAAAAGGCGAGTCATGAATCTCATTATTCGAAGAACGTATGTGGGTGCCACCCCTGTCGCTTGCTTGCCGAGATCCGTGTCAATGTGGCCCGGATGGACAGCAGCGACCCATATCTTGCCATCACGACCTGGTGATTCTGGCCCGAACATTCTGTTCAGCTCCTTGGCATGAAGGATGTTTGCGAGCTTCGACTGTCCGTATCTTTTCATTGTGGACACAGACTTGAGCTCGATATCGTCGAAACAGATGCCGCCTTTGTTTTCGAATATTTGGTGCCCATCCGACGTGACGTTGACAATACGAACACTCCCAGGACTTGAAGATTTTGCAGTAGATAAGAGAAGAGGAAGGAGGAGTTTTGTGAGGAGGAAATGAGAAAGATAATTTGTCTGAACGGCCGTGGTTGTCAGTACTCGAAAAGCTCTTGCCTTCCATGACCTTGCACCGACCTGAAACTGTATCTCATAGCCATCCTTGGTCTTTGAAAACGGTACCCCCATAATTCCAGCATTGTTGACGAGTCCATGAAGTGCAGTCTCTCGCCTGCCAAACGGTCAGCTAATAGAGCCCGAATAACAACGCGAAACATCTTGTACACAGACACTGCAAACGTACTTCAAAAGAGTTTGAGTAGCTTCGGTGACGCTCTCCAAGTTTGACAAATCCAAGTGAAGGTACTGAATGTCTGCACTGGGGAGCTTCTCCTTAATCTCTACTATTGCATCCATGGCTTTCTGCTTGCTCCTCCCGCCCATATACACTCGCGCGCCATGAGATGCAAGACCCATCACCGTTTCCCTGCCACTGAATCCTGATCAACGAACTCTCCTCTTGGCCATGGCAGGAATTCTGCCGGTAGCTATGGAAACTTACATGCCCGCATTACCTCCTGTAACGATGAAGACCTTTCCTGCCAGATCAGGCACAGTGCAAGAAGAAGAGTCTGGGCTCATGGCGAATTGAATGAGCCAAACGAGTTCCAGAAGTCAAGTAGGGTGAATGGATGCGACACAATACGAGGAGGGAGGAAAATGTATGTGCGAAAGATTCGGTGGAATCCCTTCTCTTGAGGTTAGTTCTTCAACTTTTCGACATCGCTGGCTGTGCCAGCCCTCGGTAAGTTCTCCCTATAATTCATCTAGAGACAACATTCTCGCATTACGATTACCCTGATACCAAGGTCCACTCTAATGTATCGTAAAGTTACAATACGCAACTTGAATTGTAGCCTTGCTTTCGCAAAAGCTATGAACACAGAAGTGTGGGAAACTAGGTAATCATGGGGAAAAGGCTCATCTGGTGACTCTTAGGCCAATGTAACCAGATGAATAGGTGCTAGTTAAACTCGCAACGCCATCCACAAAACGAATAGTCGGTTGGGGAAACGCAACCATGACCACAAACGGAATAGCTGCTTAACGCAACCATAACCACAAAACGTATTGGTCCACCAAAGGCGCTCAAATTCATCCGTGAAGCTTTGCGTCGATCCTATCTCTGTGGATGTCGCGTCGCGTCTACGTGGCAGATCCGGAGGCGTAGTATCGTTGAAACAAGAAAGCTCCCTGTTACGTTGATCTAAATAGTATTTCCCAAACGGATAATGGCCGGACAGCCTGCGCAAGGTTGAGTCCCAGCAGGAAACCGCAGGCAACCGCAGGCTAGGAGCCACCATCTCTCGGGACTAACGCACGTTCCGATTGAAGTCTCTCATGCGGCGCTGACAGAATCATGAGCCACCTTGATATCCACCAGCATCTCCTCGGTCAATATGCTAACGGAAACGTGGTATTTAAGAGAGTGCAGGGACCTTCAAAATTGATGATTCTGAACAGTTCCTGTGAAAGAAGGCCAAAGCTGATCAAGCAGAATTTGATAACGGTCACACCATGGTGAAATTCTATCTTTACTCTTTATCTCTCGCCCTCTCTCTCCTCAACGCTACTTCTAGCTCTTTCGCTCAGCAGGTATCCCAAAATCCTCCTTCAGCCACGATCGATTCAGGAGTTGTTGTTGGTCTGGCGACGTCATTGTCCGAAGGTGGATTTCCAATCAACAAATTCCTAGGAGTTCCCTTTGCTGCGTCTCCGGTACGCTTCCAGCCTCCAGCAAAACCAACTCCATGGACTAAGCCTCTGGAAGCGTCCAAATACCGCCCAGCCTGCATCCAGCAGCTTGCCACTCAGGATGGCATTCCGCCAGCGCAAGTAGCTTCGTGGTCCAATACTCCACCTCCACCAGCCGGGGAAAGCGAGGATTGTCTCAATGTCAACATATACGCACCCAATTCGACTGGAATGAAGCCTGTTATGGTCTGGATCTATGGCGGCGGTTTTGCTCTTGGCTTCAACAGCGATCCGCGTTGGGACGGGTCTTTCATGGCGGCGAACCAAGACGTTGTCGTGGTGTCGGTGAACTACAGGACCAATGTTTTTGGATTCCCAATGTCTCCTCAACTGCCTCTTTCGCAGCAGAACCTAGGGTGGGTTTTATCCAAAGATACCAAGTCGCGAACGGGCTGACTTCTGTAGATTTCTCGATCAACATTTTGCGCTGGATTGGGTGCAACGTAATATCCATTCATTCGGTGGAGACCCAAAGCGGGTAACGATATTCGGAGAATCAGCTGGAGCAGCTAGGTGTGTAACTATCCTCCCCCTTTCCACCCTCACAGCACTTGCTAATATCTCCAAGTGTGGACGCGTTGGTAACTTCGTATGACGAAAACCCACCGTTTGTCGCAGCCATCATGGAGTCTGGTCAAATAACCTTCTATCCCAACACCCCAAATGCGACTGCTCCTTGGAAAAACATGGTTGCAAGGCTGAACTGCTCATCTGCGCCCGACGTGCTCGCCTGCGTCCGAGCCATTCCTGCCACCGAAATTAAGTCAACCATTGAAGGGCCTGGTAATTTTGCATTTGGTCCTGTCAGAGACAATATCACATTTATTTCCCATTCGGGGGTCGCTAGACAGCAACGGAAAATCGCCCAGGTACCGATCCTGATCGGCAACAATTTTCAAGAGGGCCGTCTTTTTGTGACTGCATACAATTCAACCCAACAGTATTTGGAGAGAACTCTGCCGAACATGAACCAGTCTTTTTACAACAGAGTGCTCACTGCATATCCTCTTGGATCTCCTGGTATCTCCAACGAATTCGAGCGTGCAGCGGCGATTGACACCGACTTCCGCTTCTTATGCCCCACGGCCCAGGTTGCCAACTACTCATCGATGGCTGGCCTTCAAACCTGGCGGTATCTATTCAACGCTTCCTTCCCAAACACACAGTTATTTCCGGACGCCGGCGTATATCACTCTAGCGAGATATCGGAGGTTTTCGGAACTTACCCGAGGGGCGACGTTACCACCAAGCAAGAATCGCTAAGCCGATACATGCAAAAGGCTTGGGCAGACTTTGCAAAGAACCCAACAGGTGGGCCGGGCTGGAAAGCGGTGCCGAATGTTGCCGTGCTGGGACAGTCGGAGCAGGAGATTGAGCAGAATATGCCAGGTACCACCATAGACAATATTTGCGCGTTGTACATGCCACTCTATAGCGCGCTTGCTTGAGAGATTAGGTAGGAATGGGATGGAAGCCCAGCAATACTAGGAAAGCTCTCTGGCTGGTTGACCCTCCTTGATTATTGCACCTCGATTTTGAATCAATGTTGGATGGAAATGCACAAATTGTGCGTGTAGGATTATTGAGGATGGTGGGATACTATCAGTCGAACACCACGGACCCGCGAATTCCCGAAAGAACTGAATTGCGCCGGTACTTGGGAAGAAGGGGAAGTATGTGTACTATACTCTCACGAAGAAGGAGTTCAACGCTCCGCATAATGGCCGGCCGACGATCCACGAGGTACAAGTCGAGCACAGGAACAATTTCAGTGCCTCACAGCACAACCCGATCCCATATTTCTTGGCGCAATCGATACATACCCAAAAATTCGCCTAAACAGTTGGTTACGCTAAATGTGTACACTTGATGTATTATGCCTTTCAAATTTTGGTCAACAATGGGGCCCGTGTCCCATCCGTGTTGCTCCTTCAAAAAACAGGTCTCCTGGTTTTCTAAACCCATCATCCCTCCGGGTTCCTCCGGGGCCCCGGGGGATTGTGGGTTGAGTTTTTGTTGTTCGCCAAAAAAGGAAAGGACGGTGTACGCTATGTTCATCAGACTGGAGCACGCATGTCTTTTTTTTCAATTCAAACATTACCTACCTTGTGATTTACCGGCGCAGCAAGCTTCTGGACAATCACAGTCAGGCAGTGAACGCGTTGCGCCGCTTCCCACTTGGCAAAACTGACCTCGGGATGCAGAGCGCAGAGGCCGGGTCAATGAAAGGGCCGTCCGGCCATGATGGCGTTGGCAGACGGCGAGCAGCAGGCTGAGTTGCACGCGAGCGGAACACCCCCAAGATCTCACTCATTTCACCCGCCGCCCTCACCGAACGGCATCCATGACCATCCCCTGATATTGTATCCGTACTTTTGGATGGGTATGGCGCCCCAGCTCCATCCTCGAGTGCCGCTCACCGGGCGCCATGGGTCTTGCTGCTGCTGCTGCTGCTGTTTTGTTTTTCAAGGCTCCAACCCCTTTATCAATACTGCACCGGCAACCAAGGCGACAAAGCTTGTACCACGCTTCGAGGGAGCACGAAATTCCTCGGTAGATCTTGTCAAGTTCACTTAGTGTCACCTTTCACTGACATGACTCGCTGGCACACTTCCACAGTTATGGGGCTCAGCTGGAGTCGAGCGCTAGGAGGAAGGATCGATGTGAACTTCCATAGAAGACTCGGATGCTACCCAGGCATGTTCGCCCCAGATGATCTCTGCTCCCGGTCCACTACCACAATAAACCGGTAATCCACTCTCCTCTATGTCTTTGACCTGATATTTTTGTTCCCGCCTTCACCCTGTTCCCCAGTGTTGTGACGCCAACCGTTAAAATACAAAGACACAGGAACCTTGGTAGTGGTATTCCATACTTGCTAGGAAGAACAACAGTCATGAAACCAAGGGTGTTCCACAAGTTTTAACATCAATGAAAAAGCATCGCCAACGCTGACTGAAAAGATTCACGTTCTTGAGGCGGTTACGGGAAACACACGTGGGCGAGCCGGGGATGCCGGTTGGCTGGCTGTTCTGGTGTTTGGGATTGTCCGCGTGACACATGTCGGTTGCTGCCAACGATTCTCGGCGTCTCATTGGCCAGTCTGCTCAAGATGTGTGTGTGACCTTCACTTCCTTTGCTCTGATTGGCCAGAGGGTGTGAAGGTGCGAAGTGGCACTTGGTGGTTGAACATCAACAAGAAGAACAGCATCATCACGGCCGTCGAGGATGAGGATGAAGATGAAGGGGAGGAGGAGGATGAGGACGAGAAACTGCTGAAGGACAAAGTCAAGCGATTGATTGGGACTTCTTCCGCACTCGTCGCCCGGGCAGGTTTACTGGGCGAGAACAGTGCAGGCAGAGTCGGCGCCATCCATTCTGCCGTCTACGGAAGAATCTCTCCTCGCCGAGTCTCTGACGATCCACGATCATGCAGGGGAAAAGCCAGTGGATCTTGAGGCGCTGGAAGAAGCCACTTTGTGTCCCGAGTCGATCGAGACATCCGAGATCTCCGGAAAATCTCCCGGAAAATCCCCTCGGGAACACCCCCGCTGGAGTGACCAATCACATTCTGGGAAAATGAACAACCACAGAGTTGGAATCCAGCTACACATTATGGTTGAGACCCGCCTCTTCAAGGGTATTAAAGACGAAGCGTCCGCGGTGAACGAGTAGATTGAGATACGGCTCGCGGAAACCCCCAGGCCGTCGCTGCTGGGCAATACTCGGGGGTTGTAAGGGTGAGAACGAACAACCGCTTCGACCACGTCGATCTCGAACTTGAGCAGTTTGACTTCGAGAGAACGACCTCTGCAAAGCGAATCTCGTGCCAGATTGAGAAGTATGTCGTCTTTCCCGGTTTGGTTCTCTTCTGACAATTGTCTCCCGTTCTGACAATGTCGGCTTCGGGCACTCTTGCTGCCAGGACGAATCGAGGTGGAGCCATGCCGAGACCATTGGCATGTGCTTTTCAGTCAATGGCAAGAGCATCATCTGAATCTGTCGAGCACAATCCAGTGCATTGTTGACACACAAGTTCACCGTACCCAGCTGGGACCAATCTGTGCGCACTCACAAGAGACAAAGGGAAAACAATGGGCTGGCGCAGCTGCGGACGCGGATCAGGAAGCTGTAGCGAGGGCGCAGTCAACTGCGGGCGGGCAGCAGCTGGAAAGGAAAAGCAGCCCGACTCTGGCAGACCTGATGGAAAGCCAACCCCTGAAGACCATGGCTCCTATCCCTTTCTGCCTTGGTTGGTTTTGGACGACCCATACGTGACCTCTGTCCTCATCAACACGGCCAGCCAGCTACAGCTACTCGTTGGCTTGTCACTACTTCAGTCGGGGAAGAACAGCGAGACACCCATCTCAGTCTGGCAACGGGAACGGCCTTACGCCCAACAGTGTTACCAGGGTTGCAGTTCGACTTGGAACTTACTGACAGACGATGAGGCCTCGACGCTCCAGATCCTTCTCTGAGCCGCAGCCTTCCTTCATAGAAGCGGCGCAGCTTTGCCGTTGAAGGGACAGCAAAACAACTTACTGCGAGGCGTCTCAGGTGGCAGAAGAATGGTGTTTCGAGCAATCGAAACCATAATCCCTCCCTCGCGTTGCCGATATCCAGCTGCGAACACCTTGAACTTCCGTGGATGCATATCCAGAGACGTCCGTACGTAACAGGGCAACGGGTATACCGTTCTAAACGAATTTAGTGACAAGAGGTTCTTCTCCAAGGGCGATATATGAGGCAGATAAGAGGAACAGTGGCTCCTTTTGATGCCCCAGTGGGAAGAGCTGCGTCTTGTCAAGGTGAGTGAAGCGGAGCCGTCCGTGGGTCACAAGAGAGCTGCATGACCTGAACGGCGCCGCGACTAGCACCGTCAACAGTTGCATTGTGCGAGGTCATGCTTTGTCTTGATAGAGCAATGAACGACCAACTTCACAGAGAGGCAACAAGATGATCTGACTTTGTCCAACCCTGACAGACAAACCCTGTCACTCTGTCTCGACCCATCAAAGGATGGCACCTACACCTCCTCCCAAGACCCTTCCACGGCATGCGAGCCTCCCTCCTCCTCCTCCTCCTCCTCTTCCGACGACACTGACACCGTAGGCCTCAGACCCACCACGCCAAACGGCCAAAAGACACAGGGCTGCCCCGCCCCAACACCTGACGATCTCCGCGCGTGGGGCACCAGCCCATTGTTTGGCTTCCCGAAAACCGCCATTCCAAACAAAAGTACCTCCCCGGACGTAATGAATAATGAAGCATCGTGCCTCCAGAAACACACAGCCTGAATCGGAAAAAGAGACACGCTCGGTTGAGAATGTTCCGGCATCGATGATTGCTGCTTCAACACTGGATGGCAATGTTTCCTGCATAATCTCGGGATAACCATGTTACTGGTCCCTAGGTACCTAGGTATCTACTCGGACATCTACCCTTAACTCAGGCCGTTAGTGGCCTACATCCCTACTGTACTCCTGAGTAAGCATAGCTTACTGCACTTCTGCTTGGGGGGTCCAGAGTGATCAAGCCACCCTTGCACGAAGGCCTGGTGTTTGTGCCCAAAAGTCAGTGCAGCCTATTGTAGTGAGCCACCAGACACCAGCCACCCCAGCCACAGAACAGGCTACTGTAGTTTCGGTGATTGGGATCCTGCATCGTTGGTGCATTGCTCCCCAACGTGAGGCAGAGTGAGCCTCTCCAACGTACGCCTGGAGTCCACACCCCGCGCCCTGCGCCCTGCGCCCTGGACTTTGCCTGCCAGCACACTCTAACTACCAGTCCTGGCTGCATTGCTACCCAACGTGATGCACTCCGGGCCCTCTGATTCCCCCCTGCAATTGCTCCTAACGCGAGACAAACACTATTCCCAAGATCTTGAATTCACATTGGACGGTGCCTTGTCTTTCTGTGCGCATGGCTGCCCAATATGAGGCCCGACTCGTCCCGCTCCGTGTTGAATCTGGCTCTAGTCGGATACCCGAGCCAGTAATATATAGGAACGTACAAGACATTGACAGCTGGCAGGCGACCAGGGACTCCCCAGTAGCCACTGCGTACAGCAAAGGAGAGGAGAAATACCAAAAATACAGAGCAGAAATCCCATGTCTCTTTCAACCCTGTACGGAGCCCAGACATCTCTTTTCTAACCGACGTTGCACAACATTAGACTACGGACGCCCGAACGAAGCTAACCAGTAAGGCAGACAGATTTCGTACTCGTTCCTTGCCGGGCATCAATGTGAAATCACAATCGAACGTATCACATTCGCCCTGTCACACGGCCCATCACCTTCCCAACCTTCGGCACGCCTTTCCATCCTATACGAGAGATGGGACACGTTTGCTCGCTTCTTTCTAACCCCTAGAGTTTCAAGTCCGTTGTCGTCTCCTGGGCTTGCATGGATACGAGAATGAGACTTGGCTCGCTAATTGAATGGCCAGTCCCAATGACCAGACTGAAAGGCAGCAATGCGGACGGCGGATGGCAACATGCCACAACAATCCGTGGCCACAGCTACGGCTACGACCAGGATGTGACTACTTTGGCCGGATCCCCTTCACATGCCTACGGCTGCACGGGCTCCGGGGTCCCCGATTGAATGACCACCGCGAAGTAGGTGATACCGTCCTATTTGTCGCCACTGACGGCTTGGAAGAGTGACAGAACCGCGTCATCGAATCAAAAGACAACTCAATTCGAATTACCGACGCTCTCACAATCTCCAACGCTTCAAAACCGTCGAAAGCAAACACCACTGGAGCGGCATTGGGATAGCCACGGCGATAAGCTTCGTCTACCCGCCATCCCGTACCGGAGTATGCCCAATCCCACCCAGGATCTCCATCTCATGGCTTGTTGCCGACAAGTCAGCACTGTCTAGCACCGGCAGAAGCTCTATCGTTCCATGCTACTGTCGCTAGTACATCGAGAGATCGACTCGCGCGTGAACCGAGATCTACCCAGCTCCAGACCACGATCCTACTAGTCATCCACACTCCGGGGTAACTAGACGTCCTTCATCTTTTACTTGTCATCCATTCTAGGGGCACATGCTCATTCCTTTCAACTCTATCCTCCTGGGTGCTGCCTTCCCAGGGCGATCATTCAACTCGCCTCCAGATGTTCGAGCCTACAAAACATGGCAACCCCGTTACACACTAAAGGACTACGAATTGTCACCTGGAATGTTAATGGCATTCGCACTCCATTCGCCACGAGACCAGGAACTGACACACCACCTTTTGGAACGATTGAAGACCTTCTCAAGGAACTCAAAGCTGACGTTGTCGTCCTCACACAAACGGAGTGGCAAAGGCAGGATGTCACTCCAGACATGGCCACCATCGACGGCTGGGATAGTTTCTGGACCTTTCCCGTGTGTCCACGAGGTACAGTCGGCCACGTCAAATCTCTCCACGCACTAACAAGCCTCAGGCCATTGTGGAGTGGTGGTATACACCAGGATAGCGACGTGCTGCCCGATCAGGGTGGAAGAAGGTCTCACTGGTGTCCTTCCTTCCCGCAACAGCAGAGTCTCCTACCGCGATCTGCCCGAACCTCAGCCTATCGGGGGCTATCTTACCGATCAAGACCCCCAAGCCCTGGGCCTCTCTCATGACCTCGCGACCCTCGACGCCGAAGGGAGATGTGTCGTACTCGAATTCCCAGCCTGTATCTTGGTCGCCGTCTACTGTCCCGGGCGCGCATCACGGACCCTCCGAAGGTTGTACCGGAGCGACTTCATGTGGGCACTCCGGAAGAGAATCGACAACCTGATTAGCATGGGCAAGAGTGTGGTCTTGGCCGGCAACTTCAACGTTGCGCGACAACCTATCGACACGTCCGAATACGAAGAGAGTCTGGTGCGTCTGCGACTCACTCCGCAGGCGTGGATGAACCTTCCACACCGAAGGGCCTTGAACGAGATGGTGCTGCCGGAACCCCAGAGGGGAACGCATATGGGTCCCATCCCGACCATGGTCGACCTGTGTCGTCATTTCAACGTGCGTCGTCGAGGCATGTTTACGTGCTGGGACTCGCGCATCGACGGTCGTTCGAAGAAGCTCGGCGCCAGGACCGACTATATTTTCTCGTCCACCAACTTCTGCCAGTGGTTTTACAATGCCGACATCGTGTCATGGCTCTCGGGCTCGGATCATTGCCCGGTATATGCCGATCTCCTGGCCGAGTTGGAGGTCGACGGTCCCGGAATCAAGCCAAATCTTCGGGATATCATGAACCCCCCTGCCATGTTCCAAGGCGGACAACGCAGATTCTTATGGGCCGAGACATGCCTGCTGGCCATGTCTGCCTGGACGTACCCCGAACTCGGTCGACAACCGACCATTGCCAAGATGCTGTCCTCGTCTCCCGCGTCTACTGCGTCTAAAGGACTTCCTCCGCCAACCGCAGTCAATGCGGAGGACTCATATTTCCAGTTCATGCCGCCATCACGACCACTCCGGCGCGAACCAGACCCAGGGCATCCGCCGCTGTCACAGCAAGCAGCGGCGTCATCTTCGTCTTTGCCCTCGACTCGAGTTACAGCCGGCCCGTCAGGTTTACCAAGAAAAGCGCCGGCACCGGCCCCATCATCGGCTTCCTCTTCTTCTCTGCCTTCAAGTCGAGTTGTAGCCGGCCCGTCAGGTTCATCCAAACGAGGGCTGCAGCCGGGCGCAAAGTTCTCAGATCCTTGGGCCACTCCATTTGAATATCAGAAGGCTGGACCTCCACAAATGAGTCTGCCACCGTTCAATCCGCCGTCTGCCTCTTCTTCTTCCTTTACTCCGGCTGTGTCGAACAAGTCGGAATCATCGTCCTCCTTGCCCTCTAACACGGGCCTCGCAGGGCCATCGTCTTCACAGAGACCACCTGTGCATCCATCATCGATCGGATCCTCGTACTCTACAGAGTTTTCGCATGGCCAGTCGTCATCATCATCATCAACGGGACAGTTGATGCCTCCTCCTCCACCACCTCCGCAGGGACCGCGAGACGACATACTACCACCACTATCAGAGCTGCTAAGAGTACCACAGCAGCCACAATCCAACACTCTGCCTCCGCTGTCAGTATTGCAGGGAGTACCGACACAGTCATCCTACAACCTACCGCCCCAGGTGGCGTCACAGTTGATGCCTCCTCCGCCTCCGCCAAGACGACTCGAGAACACACTACCGCCACTTCTCTCGCCGCAAAAAGTATCGCGACAGTCACAATCTGACACTTTGCCTCCGCCGGCATCACCGCATGGAGCACCGCTGCAGCCACCAAATAACACTCTGCCTCCACCATCAACAACTCAGGGAATACCGCAGCAGTCATATAACACCTTGCCACCCCAGTTGCCGTCACAGATGATGCCACCTCCACCACGGCCTGTCACTCTACCACTAAGGCCTGACACTCTCCCGTCTCAGGCATCGTCACAGATGATGCCACCTCCACCGCGGCCCGGCACTCTACCACCTCAACCATCCTCACAAATGATGCCGCCTCCGTCACGTTCCCGCACTATACCACCCCCACCGTCGTCAGGCAAAATTTCGGAGCAGCCATCATCCTCGCAAAGAATTCCGTCGCAACAGTCATCATCATCGTCACAGAGAATCCCGCCGCAACCATCAGAGTCGCCATTTATACATCAACCACCGCGATCTTCTCCTCCAGCGGTCTGGCAGAGACCTGACTGGGCCCCAGCACCTATGGCTCCATTCAACTATCTCAGGCGGACTTCACAAAATCTACCACCTCCTGCTCCACCTGATTACCTCCGGTCATGGTCTGACGACGCAAAGACGCTGCCCCGTGCTCCATTTACATTCTGCCAACCAGTTCATCGTATGGTTCAAATGAAGGAAAGCCTTTCTCGAATAATGAAATATTACAGATTGAGAAAAGAAGCCGAAGAACTTGCCGCCAAATTCAATGCCAAGTTTGGCAGACCATCCACGGCTCCAGGTGTAAAGCACGGAAAGATTATTGATGTTGATGAGATACTCGGAGATGCTTTTGATTTTACTGTTCCAGTTCCCAACCCATATCCAGCAGAACAATCACCATCATCCTCACGAGCAGGGCCATCATCATCCCACCCATCATCGTCCCAACCAGGACCATCATCATCCCAACCAGGACCCTCATCATCCCAACCGGGACCATCATCATCCTCAGGAGCAGGACCATCATCATCCTCAGGAGCAGGACCATCATCATCCTCAGGAGCAGGCCCATCATCATCCTCATCATCACAAGCAGGAACATCCTCGTCCCAGTCAGGACCAACAGGCCCGTCACTCCATCGCTCACAATCACATCCAAATCTCACAACACCTCCATCTCAAGCGACATACGGACCCTGGGACGATGAGATGGTGTGGGAGCTCCAGGCCAATATCGCAGCACTGGCGGATTCCACCAAGCGCAAGCATTCCCCACAAACTGAAAGTTCACGTGGAACCAAGAAATCCAAACGAATCCCTACAGCAGCAGAGGGTGACGAGCCGATGGATCAGGGCCAATCAGCTCGTGCACCAGCCCAACCCACCACGATCGGGATAACACCAAGACCAGATAAGGGCAAGGGCAAGGAAAGAGCTGATCCTCCTCCAATATTGGCACCTAGACCTCAACGCGGCCCGTCATCCCTTTCCGACATGGTATTCAACCCGGACACATGGTCATCCACACCATCGGAGCCACCCATGCAATGGGAGACAACAAGGCCAGACAAGGGCAAAGGGAAGGCACGAGCTGATCCACCTTCAATGCTCGCGCCTGCGCCGACACGTGGCCGGTCATCCATATTCGATATACTCAACCCTGGTACATCGTCACCTCCCCCGTCGCAGCTACCTGTGCTAGGGAATACAACAAGATCAGAGAAGAGCAAGGGCAAGGCACGAGCTGATCCCCCGCAACTATTCGCACCTAGACCTCAACGCGGCCTTTCATCGTTGTTCAGCATACTGTTCAACCCTGAGACATCGTCATCTACGCCATCGGAGCCACCCATGACAGAAAAGGCAACAGGACCAGACAAAGGAAAAAGAAGGGAGTTTATCGATCCATTTTCGGGGGCCAAACTCGGGCCTCCTCCTGACATGTTGACCCTTCTCGCAAAGTCAGTAGCTAGGCTACTCGACGATGACCCCACCAAGTGGCCACCATTACCAAAGCAGAGGGGTCCCCCTCCGCCTCCAGGCTTTTATACCAACTGTATGCCAGGCCTATCATAATGCCAGACTTGTGGGTGCGTATCGAGTTCCCCGAGTGTCAGTGCAGTACTAACTACTCCGTTACTCTGCAGGGTCACTATATCCATCAATCTACCAACATACCTGCCTATCTCCGAACCTGTGTCGCTGCCTGCTTGCCAGCCTACCTACCTACTTACCTATATACACGCCTATGGAGAGTTTCACGAAAGAACATCGGACACGACTCTGGTCAAGAGAAGGATCAAGAGAAGCATTGCGAACACATCGGACTAGATTGTTGCTAAGAGAAGGATCAAGTACTCGTACACGGACTCTATCATCCAAGTCCAGTGCTGTCGAAGAGTGGGAGTGATGGTCCTAGCCCCAGCGAGTCCGGAGTGGACAACGCACGGAGGATTTGACACGATAGTTTGGATCTCTTGTCTTCTCCGTCCGGTCTGGTCAATGACATTACAATTGATCTACAGCTCGCCGATTTCCGGCATCTCCGTCGTGTTGCTGGCAAGGTTTGGGCTACTCGGGAAGCCAAAGTGTCGATCATTCTCGATTTGCAGCACAAAAGCCAAGCAAAGCTATCGACTGCCTACGCTATCTGGCCCTCCGCCATCCTTACAACGATCAAACACGTCTTGCATATCTTATTGCTCCTCTCCACGCCCAACAAGACGTCCCAGTGACTCGTCACTCACACTAACCACGCTAAATGACATGGTAGGTGTAGCTGTTATGCCCAGGTCGTGGGCCGAGTTATCTTCATGTTTCGTCGCATAGTCGTTCGGGGCTGGCCCGGACAAGCACTGGCAAACATCCAATTTCTCCTAGGTACAAGTTCCAACGAAAGTACACCTCATCAAACGCGAGCATACTGCCTGTTTTGGCACTCAGTCACCGGGGTCCGATCGAAGAACGTAGCCTACCATGATGTCTGCGTTTCTCCCTACAAACAAGTCTAACAATGTGATCCGAGGTACGCTGTACCTACTGCGCCGTACGTTCTGCTGTGTGACTCGTTAGGCTGGGCATCATCTATGCTATGGAGTACGACGGTGCTTCTGGAGCTTGTCAATCTTCGTCGCCGCGTGGATCGGCGTATCACGTTCCTTCATACCTGGTCATCTTTGGGCGATGTGAGGAATTCGTAGAACTTCCCAGACGCAATCAAGAAGCACTCCAAAGATATAGGTGTTTCCGAACAAAGTCTTCGCGAAGTTAAGACGCTCAAGGACGAAGACAAATGTGATACTTGGCGGACGTTTGGAGGCTCTCTGTTATTAATCGCTCCCTTCATGCCGATCGAAGGCCTCGGCATCGTTAAATACCAGCCGCCAATTCCAGAGGAATGGATCTCCTCTAGCCTCTTCGTTCGTGAGGGACGGATTATACTGCACCAACGCCTCAACGAAATGCTGCCTTTCTTGAAGGAATCATCCAGCTCTTTGACAACGCTTCCTTTCCGCACTGAAAGCTCTGCACAATCTCAACTCCACTGGGTTTACCTTTGCGCTCAATTTCTTCGAGACAAAATATCGCGACTGTTTTTCACAATGAACGCAGAGGCTTTGTACCTATAATCTAATGGTGAAAATGCACACAATGCGAGAGCCCATGGATTCCTCCGAGAAATCCGAGATCTGCCTCCTGACGCGGCGGATGGCTATCTGGCGACCTTGTTCGACCGATAGCATTCCAGTTTTTTTTTGGACGTAAGATAAACTTGGTATCTGCTCACCGGGAGATGGCCATGACGCTACACGTAGAGGTCAATCAGCAAATTCACGAAAATGAGGAGAACAAAGGCGAGCGCAACGAAGCCCAGAGGACAGCGCCAAGATTCAGAGCCGCCTTGGATTCTCCCGGTCGTGGGCTACACAAGGGACTGATGGAGGCCGTAGACCGCTATGTCGACTGTGCCATTGAGCGCCAGACCATTGTCGAATCTTACCAGGAGAAAATCAGAGAGTTGAAAGACTCACAAGGCCGGCAGCCTGCAACGCTGAGCGAAGAACAGATCAGGACAGGTTGGTGCACCATGATGTTAAGAGGCTGTTTGTGGAGCATGGTGCACTTTCCGATTTGGCTTCCCAACCTTCCTTATCCGAGTCGATACTGGAAGAATAACACGTTGGTGCTGATGGCGTGAATACCGCAACACGAAGCCATTCTGTATAACAAACGACATGGTCCTCTAACAGTTGCGTTCAGCTAGTCAACCAAGAGCGCGTCTCGAGGCATCAAAGCCGTCGGCAGAACCATGAGGATATTCTAGGACAAACTCGTGCTATTCCCAACCACTGCATAATACGACTCGTCTGAACCTGAATCAAACAATCCTCCTCGCTACCGCGACATCAGGTACTCCCACACCTTCCACAACTTTGGCCTGCACGATTTCATAAACAGGGATTTCCTCCAGCCTGGAGATGACATGGTGCAAAGTCGGCAATGCATCCCAATCCAGAGCATCAATGTTGATGCTTGCCGCGGACGCCTTCCAGACCCTTCGCGTGACGGGCTGAGGCCTCTCTTCCGCGAAAGGCACAAAGACAGGATACTCAGCTTCGCTTTGGCCTTTGAAGTCTCGCCCCACCTTCGGCATGTATCGGTACACCAGGATGCCGTCGTCATCTTCTCCGCTGACCTTGCCCGTGGCAGCTGCGAGGTCGTCGTCGGGCTGTAAGCCGTCAAGTCTGAAATTTCCCCACAGGGAGCCTTGCCAGCTGGTCTTGATTCGATACGACTCTGCGCCCCGGTAGATATCGATCGCGGAATAGAGCTTCGGCATGCCGAGCTCCTCGCGACCGGAGACGATGGGATCCGTGAGAGATTCGAAGAGGATGGGCATGTAGGTTCCGCTGATCACCTCGCCATCTGGCTTCACGTATTCAACTCCATGGATGTAGAGGCCAATGTGGTTATATCCGGTTCCGCCGAGCCACTGCATCTTGTTCAGCGTCGTACAGCTGAAGGAGCAATAAGCCACCGTGCCAGGGGACTTGAATCGATAGCCATTGACCCCCGGAGGAAACAGATTCTGGAGAACCGTCCGGGAAGTCTTGAACTTGATCGACGCGGTGGTAAATGTCGACTCGACGGCATCACGGACAACGCCAGCATGGGATTGCCGTGGGCCTGGCATTGGACCGAACGCGACCGGCATGCGCCAGTAGATTTGTGGAGTCTGCGCCCATTTCCACTCCCGAAGTCTCTGTGTAGAATTGTCAAACTCATCATGCCCGAAGTTGTAGTTCGAGTACTCTATCACTGCATCGGGAACACGGTTAGCTGCATGAACACGCTGCGGGCTGATGTGATCTTACTGTTTATTTTGGAGTCCTTCTGGATGTCTTTCCCCACCTGCCGCGAGTATTCCTGGATCCTGTTCGCTCTCTCGTATCGGATTGTCTCATAAAGCTTGAGGCGAGCCGGGACTTCTTCCGGCTTGAGTCCCTTTTCCAGCACCACACTCAGAGCTGCGGCGTCCTCCATGGCCACCCCCGCGCCCTGCCCTTGGTGAGGCAGAAACGGGTGTGCTGCGTCGCCCAGCAGCGCGAGTCGGTCATTGACCCACGTGTCAAGGACTGGCATGTCAAGAAGCTTCCATGATTTCAGCGAGTCGGGGTCCGCCTTGCTCAGCAGTGCGAGACACTTTGGATCGAAGTCCTTGAAAACCCGCAGGAGTGCATCCTTGTTCGAGTCATTGGTCCAGTCTTCTCCCGCCTCCGACTCTTGTTCCGGGTGTATACAGACGAAATTGAGAAGGCTGTTGTTCGAGGTAGGATACATGACCACACGCCGGTCGGTCCCATACCAGGTGACGAGTTCGCCAGCAGAGCGGAAAAGTCCTTGGGTGATTGGGTCCTCCAATGCAGCTCTCCGATTGATCAAAAACCGAAAAGCACTTTTGCCCGAACTGAAAGGCTTAACAAGCTCACCGCCAACTTTTCGACGACAGACTGAATGGACGCCATCGGCGCCGAGAACGACGTCACCCCGAACAACATCTCCGTTCGTTAATATTAAACTTGCTTCTCGTGGATCAACCTCGGCCACGCCACTGTTGAGGTGGAGTACCGCGGGCGGTCCTTGCTCGTCTTTGCTGGTTGCCAGTTTTTTCAGAACTTCGTGGAGTCTTATACGGTGTGCCAGGCGCCAGTCCTGATTGCTAGTTAGTGGGCGGTTGTGGGACGCTCGAATGTGAAGCGCGAGCTCTTACATGCTGCCACAGCTTATTTGGCTCAACTAGGTCAATTGACCGCAGTTCATGGCCGGATGATGTGTACTCCGTGAACTAGCACGTCTGGTAAGCTACGGGCGGTCGCCTCGTGGAAGCAAAGAAGAAGAAATGGCGTACTCTCTCCATTTTATTCGCTTCGATATCTTCCGCGTGGAGTCCCAGTCTCTTCAGTATTCCATTGGCATTTGGAGCGATGTGAACGGCCGCCCCTGTTTCCGTAGCGAATCGACTTTGTTCAAACACCTGGAATTGCCTGGTCAGCGTGCTTCGCTCATTCTACCGTGTTTGTCAATCTCTGGTACCTGAACATGATGCCCTTGTTTTCTGAGGCCTATTGCGGCCGTTAGACCGGCGATCCCAGCACCAACGATCAATACGTCAAGACCATGAGAAGAATGTGTGCTGTTCCCATTAGGTGTTACGCCATTGGTGACGCCATTTGTTTGAATAGTGAAGGCAACCATGATGGATTTGGGGTTGTCTTGTCAAATTCCGATGAAAGGTGATGTGCAGCTGCTGCGCGTGAAAACGTTGGAGGGATTATTCACCTATTGAAGTAAACTCACCGATCTGGACCCTCAGATGTATCCGAGTGGGAGGCTGATCAGGTAGGTGGGTTGTTGATTCCGGACGAAGCCCCGGGTAGAATCCCATGAAGTCTCGGTATGTGGGGGGAGGCGAGACTCGTCCAACCAACAACGTCGTCCCGCGGCGATCTTCAACGGATTGACACCTTGACTGAAGCCCCAGGCCTGTTGGCACCATGGCTCGCCCGATGGAGGTATACTTCATGCGTGCTAGCATATTAGGCGATGTTGCACTGAAGTATGTGAACATGGGCCTGGTTATCATGGACAGGGAAGAGTGCGCTGATGACGCTCCTGCTTCGTCGCGTGTTCCAAGAGGACCGCACTCCCAGTGATCCAATCGGCAGGGAAAAATTGGTGCCGAGGTGACTGGCTAGAGAGGCTGAACGTAAGGGTCTTTCATCGGATGGACTGCCCCCCCTCCGCAGTCTATCCGAGTGGGTCAGACAAGAAGCCGGGGGAGTTGTGGAGATTGACCCCGCCCACGAGCCGATGGGCCCTCCATGTCCAGGTTATTTCATGCGCCCACATCCCGCAACAAAGCTCACCGCAGCCTCTGGGCAGTGTTTGCTGCTTCCATCGAAAGTTCCTGGTGGAGGAAGTCATGAACCAAGCCCGACCCCAAGTCTCGACGTCCGGGGGCACCGTGTCGAGTAGTCCATTCTCCTGCAATGTCTGCAAGAAGAGCTATACTCGAATTGACCACTTGGCCCGACACTTCCGCTCACGTGAGTTGGCGCCCTGTATGGTGTGCCTGATGAGTGCCCCAAGGCTGAGCTCAATTAGATTCGAGGGAACGCCCATATGTTTGCCAGTCCTGCGGCAGGTCATTTGCGCGCACGTGGGTTGTCTAGCCCCGTTGGCGAGCGGTATGCTAACCTGCTCACCTTTCAGCGATTTGCTCAGACGACATGAAATCAATCACCATTCCACCAAAGCAGACGACCCCGTAGGCTCTGGACCACCGACCAAACGCAGTCGAACAGCAACCAAGGGCAATCGACCAAGGGCTGTGCAAGCTTGCCGTGCCTGCGCCGAGGCCAAATTAAGATGTGATGGAACTCCGACTTGCCTGCGATGCCGCGACAAGGGCATCACGTGTGAATTCCCAGGATCTCGCCTGACTGTCGTTCACGAATCCGAACCTCCTGCCACACATGACGACTGCACCACATCCCCCACTGAGATCATGCAGCATCTCCTGGGTTCTACCTCTACCTCACACACCAACAATTCTGGGGAAAATGCGGAACTCTCGCTGTCGGATGGTGGCACTCGTTCCGTGTCCTCGCAGGTTCCGACTTTCCAGGCATTTGGGCCACGTGAGTGTTGATTTTGATTATGAAGAAAATGAAGACGTACTCATCACCATCGCAGCATCGACCCTCCCCGCTCCCATGCTTGAACAGGGAGTCATGTTGAACTTTGATGGCCTCACGCACCTTGACGCCTTCGATGCCTCGAGCGAGACCGCCGCATCATTACTTGACCTCCAACACCTCTTGGGCGATGACTCGCTCCCCAGGGACGTCCTAGATTTTGGAGTCGATCTCACCTTCGATACGCCCAATGTTTTCCACTCAGAGTTCCATTTACCGGTGGATCAATCGGTGTCGCGACCGGGACATGGTTTTGTCGATGAGGACTTCACGGCCAATCGCAGTGGGTTTGCCACTCCGGGCCTGCGAGGCAAGGTGAATATCATAGCAAGTGTTCAAGCCTTCAAAGAGTCATTGTGGCTTTGGACACCGGCTGCGCAGGACCGCCGAGCTCTTGAGCAGCGCAATCTTTCCCTCGCATGGGACAGCCCGTCGCCGGGGATCGAATTGCGCAACGACCTTCCTCTTCTTCAGCAAGACGTCAGTGGTCTGACGAGAGGCAAGATTCTTGCCATGGTGCTGCGCACGTGCGAGCCTACCATTCATCCTCACGTCATTTCGTATTTCCCTAGCACAACACTGCTGACGAACCTCATTCACAATTTCATCAGTTTCCATTCGCGGGAACAGATTATGTGGATCCATCCTGCGTCGATTGAGCTCAACAAAGAGCCTGAGTTGTTTCTCACGAGCATGGTGGCTTCGGGTGCCATTATTTCGCCGATTCAAGAGGTCAGAAAGCTAGGTTTTGCCATGCAGGAGGCGCTGCGAGAGGCTCTCCCTCACGAGGTTGACAATGCACCGCCCCTATTTGGTACTTACTCACCAGACTGCAGTTTGAGCACGATAATCGAGCTACGCGGGACTTGAGGAGCTTACAGAGTTTCGCATTGAGCTTGGATATTGGCTTGTGGAGTGGGGATCGACGAAAGATGGAGATCGCTGAATGCTTTGCGATGCCACTATTAACAGTAAGACTTTTCGCGTTGTCTCGGCTGCTACATGCTTACGTATCTGCAAAAGATGGTACGCAGGGCTGGTCACTACCAGTACAAGCGAACAATCGAGCTACCACCCAACGTTGAAGATGAGGGCGAGGCTCTCGAATCGAAGTGGCGCAGCTGGATCCGGCAGGAATCATTCAAGCGGTTAGCCTCGCATCAATCTGGACTCCTTATGTACAGGTCTGACCACTGACGCAGCCTCGCGTTGTATCTGTTTTACCGAGATGCGAGATCTTCAATGTCCCTACTGAGTCAGCCAATGGTATCTTATGCAGAAGTTGCCACAGCGCTCCCATGCCATAAGGCCTTGTGGCTCGCAAAGACATCGACAGAATGGAAGCAAGCCTACCTAGCGCAAAGTCACCACGGCCATCCTCGATTGCCGTCTTTACAAACCTGTGCGGATGATAGCACTACAATTTTCGAGCAGCGAGGCACAGTCGATTCCGAAATGTCTTTGTTACTAACCATCACAGCTATCTGGCCCCTGATATGGCAGTTCCGCGAGATGAAGAGCGCCGCCAAATTCCGCACCTCGCGAGACGCGAGACATAGCCTTTCAACCATGAATTCCAGGCAGCACGAGGTCACACAGATCCTGCAACATATTGACCTAACCTCTACTGAATGGCTGGGAAAAATGAATCCGAGTGCTTGTCTGCTACATCAGCAGTGTTTGATGCATCTCTATGTTTCGCTTGGAGATGTTCAGTCATTGGCGGGCAGAGAAGGCGAAGAAGAAGCTCGCCGCGTCTTCCCTACATTGACAGCTTGGGCAGAATCCACGGAAGCTCGGCAAGCACTTTTACATGCTGGACAAGTCGTCCGCGCAGCCAGAGAGCATCGACCACATATGCTCAGAGATGCTACTGCAGTGGCCGTTTACCACGCAAGTCTGGTCTTCTGGGCTTACGCTGTACTGTCAAGGAGTTGCAGCGCCGAAGTAAGCCATGATTCTTCCATGATGACCAACAATACCATTAGGACCTCCAACCTGATCAGACTCGATGGCGAAAATGGACCGGAAGTTCAACGGTTCGTGATGTTCGGCAAAGGGGTTCCTTGCATTGGTCAGCAAGTCGAGGTACAAGGCAAGACATCGTTCAAGGATGTGCCGCTCAAGGATGCAGCAGAGGTTATGATCGCAATCACGCATGTCTTGCAGGTGCAGTACGAAAACGAGGAGACAAGCTGCCCACCACTGCTGGAAAACCTAAGCAAGCTCATGCAGTCTCTCGGCAAGGCTACTGTGGGGAGAAGACAGCGCTGATTTGCCTTTCGCGGCTTTAGTTCCAGGATTGGGTCGTAGCCTCCCCCACGGAAACTGAGAGGGTCTCCTCCACATCCCGAGCTCCAGAGACAAGCATGCTCGGCCAGTGCATGTGCCCTGCACGACGCAAGGTTACTGTCGCAGTCCTGCGTACTGATGCATGGTCGAATCTTGCCACTGTGATCAACACAGCAGCTCTCAATCTTCATTCCGACATCAACTACTATGACTGTCAAGGTCGCGCTTGTGACAGCAAGCTCAGCAGGGCTGGGCGCAGCCGCCGCCAAGGGACTCGCGCGTGCCGGGTTCGACATTGTAGTCAACTACAACAGCAACAAAACAAAGGCTGACGCTATCGTGACAGACATTCTGAGGACGAACTCGAATGACAATTCGTGTGCTTGCGCAACAGAAGATCCCCCTCGCAAGGCCCTTGCAGTCCAAGCCGACATGTCTCGTCGAGAAGACATTGACCGACTTGTTGACACAGTGGTGACTACGTTCGGTCGCCTGGATTGCGTGGTGTCGAATCAAGGCTGGACCAGGATGCGGCAATTTGACAACCTTGACGACAACATTGACGAGGGAGACTGGGACATATGCTACAACATGAACGTCAAGTCGCACCTATATCTGTTTCACGCGGCACGGCCACACCTAGCCAAGGTCAAAGGGTCATTTACCAGTGTTGCATCACTGGCCGGCGTCATCCCCAGTGGCAGCTCCATCGTATATACAATCTTCACCTTTATTGCGTCATAGTCATCAGCGCTGACTTTGACCAGCCATACTCCGTCACGAAGGCCGCCCAGATCCATCTCATCAAGGCGCTATCCAAGGTTGCAGCACCGGAGGTTCGGGTAAATTCTGTCTCTCCAGGAATACTCCTCACGGTAAGTCCTTCACTTCGGACGCATGTACGGGCCAAATTTCTAACTCTGGCTGCTAAGGACTGGGGCAAGAAGTTCCCCGAAACGAAAGTCGAAGCCGCCATTCAGAAAAGCACGCTAAAACGATTGGCGGAGATTGATGTGAGCAGACACGTGTATAAGAATAGGCCTGGCGTCATATACTGACAGCGCGCTAGGACGTTGTGCAGCAGATTGTTCTGTTTGCCACTAAACAATCCTACACCGGGCAGAATGTAGTCATTGATGCAGGGTGGTCGTTGGGGTAGCAGCAACCTCATGCCTTGAGAATTTCATGTAGAGCAGCTTCTCACGAATGCATCACAAATTAGCTCCGTCGTCAAACCCCGTGAGCGTCGGAGTCATCGCATACACAGTGTCTCGTTCCAGGACTCGCCGGATATGGAGGATTCGCGGGGGACAATCCGATTCGGGACGGTATTTCTAGTGATATCGAGTTGCCCCGAGCGCACGCCGCCAAGAACATTGTGCGTCTGCCATGCAGTTGGCTGTGAGGAGCCGAAGGCGATCACTGGACCCTGGATCCGATGCATCCATCACATATAAGGAGATCTAAGGCGGTAAACCCCGAAGGACCGGATCAGACACGACAAGCAGCAGCGAAATTGCTGGGCGTTTGCCATCTCCCGTGACGAGTAAACAATAAGTTCACCGGCGACTGAAGAACATAACTCCAATCATGGCCGCTTCTAGACCCCTCCTCGACAACAACCTCCCAACGATCGACAGATTCGTCACGGATCATGGCGGCGATGGCAAGGCGGTCTTCTCCCAAGCCATCCCCGAAAACCTGCAGTTTCAAGAACTTGCAGACGGAGCCAGGTTTTGCCTTGGGTACACGACCCGAAAGACACCCGTGGACATGAGCGACGGCAAAGACCTTTCCGACTACCAGCGCGATCTGGACAACAAGCCTGGTATCATGATTCCCGGCGGCACGGTCCTGCGGATTGTGGATATGAGACCTGGAGCGCTCTCGCCTATGCACCGAACAGTCAGCCTGGACTACGGGGTCGTGCTCGAGGGTGAGGTCGAGCTCGTGTTAGATTCCGGGGAGAAGAGGTTGATGCGGAGGGGAGACGTCGCCGTGCAGCGGGGCACGAACCATGCGTGGAAAAACGCAAGCAGCACGGAATGGGCGAGGATGCTGTATGTGCTCCAGGAAGCCCAGCCCATCTCTGTCGGGTCAAAGGTGCTCGGCGAAGACTACGGGGGGATGCCGGGAGTTCGACCTTCGCACGCATGAATGAGCGTGGATGTGGTCTAGATGTGATTTGTAGGCTATTGAGTGAGGCTCAACGCGCCCACGCGGGTTCTGGGTTCCCTATAGAAGAGCGCCCAGTGCTATAACTACCTGTGCAGGCTTCCAATGCGATGGCCTTCCCAATCCCCGAACTTGACCCCCGACACGATCACGACGTTTTCACCGAGAAATTTCTGTGCTGGTTGCTGCAACGTGGCATCCGTGGTGACTACGGTCTGTGTGTGGGTTATGATAATCTCCACGATATTGCAAAGCCTTGCAAGACTCGACGCACGGGCCCTCAATTTCTCCCTCCACATCCCGCCCGCCGGGTCGGTCTCTCCACCTCTGGCGATGGTCGTTGAGCCGACCGCGCGTCTTCCTCGAATTCCTTGTCTGGGGTGACGGGATAGTCGCCTCGACATCTTCCTTCTGGGGGCGCTCACCACTTACAACTCACAATACCATACCGTCGCGCCTCACTCAACACTGTCTTTTCTCTGTTTCACGACCACGGACCCTCATAGTCCCCGCCGAGGTGTACCGACAACGGAGCCGATCCCCACGGGGGAAGCTTTTTCGGCACCAGTGACTTGACGACCCCCATGGCGTTGTGGTTTGGATAGGTACAACCCCCCTTCTATCCCGAGCCACATGCACCGTATATGAAGACACGAATTCCCTGTGACTGCAAATCTTCGACCCACCAGCCAACGTGGACGCCCTCCTGGATCCACGTTTTTGGAACGAAATTGTTTGGCAGTAATCAGTACCCTCAAAACAGGAAACGCCATGGTCAACGTTGCCAGAGAAAGAGACCCGGACGAGATCCAGACAGGGACCAGTTTGGGTCACGTTCGCCTCCGCCATGTCGAGACCAACGAGATCATCCTGATCCCGACGCCGTCTACAGATCCCAAAGATCCCCTCAACTGGTAAGGCCGCTGCTGTTGGTTTTTTTTTTTTTTTTTTTTTTTTTTTTTGAAGAAAAAAGACCCCCCTTCCTCCCTCGAGATTGGTGTCAGTACCCCGGTTGCTAAACATTACACACAGGTCCAAAGGGTACCGGATCTACCTTGCGCTGCTAGTATGCCTGGCCATGTTCTTCTGCAACTTCCTCGCCGCGGGGCCCTCGGTCGCCATCGTCGAGATCACCATCGACTTCACGGGTGTGGCGCCGCCCATGCCGGGTTTCTCGGGCGCCATCGCACGCATCGCATACTTCTTCACCACGACGGCTTTACTCCAGGGCATGGGCAATGTGATCTGGATGCCCTTCATCATCAAGTACGGCCGGCGGCCCGTCTATATCGTCTCGTTCGTGGGCTACACGGCCACGGCCATCTGGGCGGGCGTGTCCAAGAGCTACGGGAGCGAGTTGGCCTCGAGGATCTTGATGGGCTTCTTCGCGGGGGCGGGCGAATGCGTCGCGCCGATGACCATCTCGGACATCTTCTTCCTGCATGAGAGAGGGTATTACATGTCGTAGGTCCCCCCTTTGACTGTCCATCCCATGATGACGGTGCTTTTTCCCCCTTTGAAGATCATGGCACGCCACGCTCTGTTTTTGTTTGCTGACATGGTCCTAACTCAAGTATGTACACGGTCTCCCTCTCGGCCGGCGTCTCTGGCGGCATCATCATAGCTGGGCTGGTCACCATCACGCACTCCTGGCGCTACATCTACTACATAGCCGCAGCTCTCATCGGCGCCCTGACTCTGCTGGTCACCTTCACTCTCCCGGAGACGTCATTCGTCCGACCCCTGGACGTCGACCCGAATTCAGACAGCACCGACAAAAACGCCTCTTTGGCTGAGGAAGAGGCCGGCAAGCCTGCCAAGGCGAAGTCGGAGGAAGTGGAGGAACGGCCAACGGCGGCAAGCCAGCCCAGAATCATCGTTGCGCGTGAGAAGCAGTCTCTGAGGCAGAGGCTGCGCCTGTGGCACGGAACCTACACCCAGGAAAGTGTCTGGCGCATTGGATATCGCCCTCTCGTCTTGCTCGCCCTGCCACCGGTCCTGTGGGCTACCCTGGTCATGTCGGTGACCATCGGTTTCCTCGTAGCCATCACGTCGAACTTTGCGTCGGCCTTCTCGCAGTACTACGGCTTCACGTCGTGGCAATCTGGACTGTGCTTCGTCTCGGGCTTGATCGGAACCTTCCTGGGCATCTTTGGAGGCGGCATGTTGTCGGACTGGGTCGCCGACGTCTTCACGAGGCGCAATCGAGGCATTCGGGAGCCCGAAATGCGTTTGCCCGCCATCACCGTCGCACTCGTCTGCGCGCCGCTCTCCTTGGTGCTGTACGGTTGTGGAATCGAATACCACTGGCACTGGATTGTCCCCACCATTGCGCTGGGACTTTGTAGGTCTTTCATTCCTTCTGTTCCCTTTCTCTGACTCGGGCTGCGTTGACTGACGATCCGATCATCACAGTGAGCTTCTCCATCGCCCAAGGAACAAATGTCTCTCTCGTCTACATCGTGGATGCCTACCGACCCGTCGCGGGAGAGACCGTGGTCACGCAGCTTGCCTTCAAATGTGAGTTATCCAGACCCCCGATTTCGCCTCGAATTTTAAGAGTCCCCCGTCCACTGACCACGATTTTCCAGCGGCCTTTGGCTTCCTTCTGTCGTTCTACACAAACCCCTGGATCGAACTTCAAGGGTATGCCGGCGCTTTCGGCACCATGGCGGGCATCTGCGGCGCGGTGCTGCTGATGTGGATCCCTCTGTTCTTCTGGGGCCGCAGGGTGCGAAATGCCACCCTCCGGTGGAAGATCATCCGGAACTTGATGAAATGGGACAAAGATAGGGAGGTTGGAGAATAAAATAATATCCTGAACGCCGCGACTCATCGTGTGTGGGAGTGATCTCGGAGCCTTCGACTCGCCACAGTGTATCTTCGAAGAAGTATGCGGGCTCGATATCAGATGTCGCTGTCGATGGGGGGGCAAGGACTTATGCTTAGAGAGAGACAAACCGCTAGATACCCAAAATCGGTACGTCTCCGATCTTGCTGTTGTAAACACCAAGACGCCTGTGGGTAGCAGGCTGGTGTCAGGGCCTTCATCCACTGTGAACAGCCGTGCGAAGGGGTAGTCGATGATGCAACGTAGTCTGCTATTGAACATGGTCTCTATGTAATGACAACGACTCATCGCTTGAAGAGCCGAGGAAGTCGCCTCCCGCCTATCTCGGGAGGGGATCTCCTCTTCTTGTACCCCCCTAGCCGTCTTGAAAAGTGTACACTCGGCCACGCGCTGAGTGATCACGCTCGCCCGATTCTCGTTCTTTGTCCGTCGAGGGCGCCGGAGATAATTATTTATGGCTTGGTCTGACTGGCTCAACACATGGCGTGTCGTGACAGCTGGTACCTTTTCCAGCCGTGAGAGGTCGAAGAGGTTCCCTCGTTCTCCATACACGAGGGTTCCGTCCCCCGGGGATAAACCACCAGACTGTACAGACGTCCGGCTGTCTACCTGCAGGGCAGCCAAGAAAGGTGACCTCGGGAGGCCGGTGGAGCCTATGTGTGGTGAAGTCCCCGTCGCCCCGGATCCTGACATGTTCCCACAAAACCGGGAGATCCGGCCGTGGAAAAACGACTCACTTGGGCAGATATGGCTCGATTTCGGGGAGAGCGAAATCTTGCCCCTGGAATGACAATTGACGTCCGGCCTCTGTCCAAACAAATGAAGGCAATGGTCGACTTCCCTTCGCCGTGCACGCTTGTAGAAATGTGAGAAGAATCTGGTCTTAACCCTACAATCGCCGCAAGGCGGTCAAAGTCTAACATCCACTTCGCGGGGAGGCCACTCGTTCTGATCCAGCCCGTTTGACAACCTCAGGAGACGTGTGACGTAACGTGGCGGTCCCTGCGCTCGGCTGTTTATAATGTGGAGGAGCCTTTCGTTGAAGTACTGGTCGAGACGGTGCGCCGCGGACGGCGGGCATGGTCGATTGATTCACCCGTGAGAAGGTATTGCAGGAGACGCCGCGGGCCCGGTGAACACTTCCATCTTCAATCACAGCTTGAATCTGTGCATGATGTGAAGCCGAAAGGTTTCAGGAGCCGTTTGCTGCTGCTGTTGTAAGATGCTTCGCGGCACGATACGTAAGGTAGAAGGGTGCAGCACGGGATTGCCCTGCCTTGGGCCCCAGCCATCTTGTCAGAGTTGTTCTCGAAAAAAACAATTGTTCAAACCCTAGCCAGCACGGCCACCATACTCCTCGCTTGCGGGGTCGAGATGTGGCTGAGCATCACTCACCGCCCCCCTCCATCGGAAATATACATTTCCCCCTCCTCGTCTCTCGAGGGTGGCATCCATCACTCAATCGATGTTCCGCGTTCGTTCGATGCGACAACAGGGCTGCTACTGAATGACTTGATCATGTCAATCAGAACGGAAGAAAGTGACAGGGCCGTGACGCTCAGAGGCCGCGAGACGGCAAGCGGCGGCGTAGGCCGTCTTCGGCTCGAGAGGTTAGTATACAGGTCAGCCCGAGGAAAGGTAAGACGAAAAGAAAAACTGACGGGCCTTTTTAAGCTTCTTCAACTCTCCAAAGTTCTCCGACTTTGCCATCAAAGTGGGCGACCGCGAGTTCAAGGTCCACAAGATCGTCATATGTGGTCAGTCAGATTACTTCGATCGCTTGTTCGAAGGAAAATGGAAGGTATGGTTGAACCACCACCGTGGAAGGATGACAGCGGATGGAACATCTCAAGGCCGACGACACACAGGAAGTTCTTGAAGACTCGAGCGACCTCGTGGGAGACGACCCAGCGGCCGTCGAGGCAATGGTCCGCTTCATGTACGAAAACGAATACGACAGCAGCGGATACGACGACACGGACATGTCTCCGATGGTTTTCGACGTCCTGGTGTACCAAGTCGCGGATAAATACGGCGTCGGAGCACTCAAGAAGTTGTCCAAGGGAAAGTTCGACCGTGCGACCAGCATTTGCTGGGAGATGGACGATTTTCCTCGCGCGGTAGCTCAAGTCTACAGTTCTCCCGAATGCGAGGAACTCCGTGACACGATCGCTCGAGTTTCTAGCAAGCACATCGACAAGTTAACCATGAAGAACAACTTCTTCCGAGTCCTCCAAGAGACGACTGGCTTTGCTGCTGACGTGGTTCGGCGCATGGTCAAAGGTGCTAATTTGCAAGGCCAAACCCAATGTCCCAATTGCGGCGAGGAAGTGGAATTTTAGGGTTAATCGTGGAGAACCGGGATCAGTCAGTCTTTCGGTTGTTGTCAGTCAAGAACAAGGTTCAGTTTTCTCATAGGAAGAATCAAAAGGACTCATGAAATCCTCTCGTAACAGAGTCAGTTCGATATGTATGTGACTGACTGCCATGTTGGCTCGAAATACGCTTCGAAACGGCCGAAAAGATGGTGGAATTCCGTAGTCAGAGTGGATGCGGCGCGGGTTTCGATCGACGTCGTTGCCTCGGATCAAATGAATCACTTTCATTAATGAGTGGGGAATATTATGTGCCCCTTCCAAGGTCGCGAATATCTTACTTGCATTGTCCAATAGAATTCCATCAGGGTCCAGCACTTCTTCAGTTCCATCTTGAGCAATGAATGCCCCTTATTGCCTCGTTCCAGTCGAACGAGCGCGATACAACACAGCGGTCACGGTTGCGGTAGGCGTACAAGCCAATCTGCCCTCGAGGTTGCGAGGTTCCGTGTGGTTCCGGTCAATAGTTGCGCCCTTGCAGATCGGGAAGAGCTGCACGGTGACTGCGGAGGGATTTTTCTTCTCATGGACGCTCTAAATTAGTTGCCCAGAACACATTAGTCTGTCTGGTTGCTTCACCCGGGTTCCGTGTTTTAGATATAACCTCACAAGGCAGGAAGAAGCTCTCCATGAGTGCATCGGCAAACGCATTCAATCAGGGCTCATAGTCTCTTCAACGGCTGGCGATCGATCGAGGCTGCTCCGGCTCATCAATCGGGATCTGCGTATGTCTGCAGAAGAAGTAAAGGAAGGCCATTGTCTAACCGTGTTACCTCCCAAGTAACTCAGACAAAGCCAGTCTCATGGCTCCAAGATCCGATGCCTCGTCTTCCCAGTATTTCAGGTACGTTTGAAAGGAGTTCACGTGCTCAAGCCAGTCACTCCTGATGGCAACCCGTCCACTCTTTCCCGCCGCGATGATCAGTAATGCCTTGGCAAACATGCACCTGACGGTCAGCCAGAGCCCGTGATGGCGATGTTTCAGCCTGGCCCCTTGTAGCATTTCGAAGCTCATGTCCAGGCACGTCTTCACGGTGGAACTCACGACAGGCATCTCATCTTGCGTGGGCGTGCCGTGCAAGGCGAGGTAGAGGAATGGCCGCCAGATGCGTTCTCGCAGATCGACGTAGTCCAGACGCAGCATGAAAGTGAGCTCGTCGGTGTCTTCCAAGAGCGAGGGTCCCGGAGAGCCTGGAATATGCTTCCACCACTGCATGGTCTGGTTGTCCAGCTCTTCCGCGATGCGGTGCAGTCGTCTGACCCCCATCTTCAGCCACTGTTCATTGGGCATGCTGTACAGCATCGTGGTGGTGTAGTTGGCGATGCGCCTGTAGGCGACGTCGGAGAGGTAGTAGTACCAGCTGTGCTCGTGCACATATTCCCACTCGGTGCGCTCGGTTGTTGCAGCGCCGCCCTCGACGTTGAGAGTGCTTCCTGGTGGCGGCGAGGGGAAATCCCCAGGGTACCCGATCGTGGCGAGACCGGAAGGGGGCAGGACCAGCTCTTCTCTCAGCTCGCATTCCGATTTCAGGGAGGACCAGTGGAGGCATTGCTCGGGTCGGGCCACAACTTGCTGTTGGCTGTCTTGGTGTTTCATACGTAGATAAAGATGTACACCGTTACACGCTCGATTGAAGGACGACCATGCTGCGAGAGGTCGCATCGAATACATCTCGTACATGCCGGTCACGAACCAGCACTGAGCGGCCACGATGGAGTTGTCCAAGAGGCCCAGTCGCTTACGTGCAGCCGTGTAATAGGCTTCGGCCAAAGGGTACGTCACGGCATCTTCGAGAGAGGATTCGCCCTCGGTAGGAATGGCCGTGTTCCACGTCGTGGCCAGGCTCCCCAGTGCAGAGGCAATTAACACGAGGCACGAGCTGTTGTCCCATGCGAAGCCCTCTTCGGCCACATTGCGCGTCAGCTCAAGCAGGGCAAGAGGGTCTAGTATTGGGTTTTTGGTGTGCACGTTCCGCAAAAATCCTTTGACGAGTTCACAAATGTCGTCCTCGTGTATCCTTGCCGCAGATGTAGATGGTTTCCAAGCTCTCGTCTGTCTCTCGGTTCGCTGACCACGTGGCTTAGGTGACAACGGATGAGCCACTCTGGGGCTGGAATCATTCAGAGGTGGTTTGATGAAATCTGGCTTGACTCGGCCTTCGAAAATCGGCCACTCGAGGACGTGGGTGCAGGCGGGCCAGGAATTGTGAATCAGAGCATCGGCTGACGCGGCGTGGTTGATGTATGGTCGACCATGGTGGCCTCGGTCGGTGTCAGGTGAATCAGTGGCCCAAGCGAGAGTATCACCAGTGGCTAAGGCTGGATCCAGATCTTGACCTTCCCCATTCAAGGCTACAGCAGGCGTGCCATCGCCTGTGGGAATGGTAGTACTCGCACTACCTGTATTAGGGTTGAGCTGCGAGTGGGATGTACAGTAGACTCGAGGTGGTGCCTCCAAGAGTCGAATGGCATAATCGAGGCGGTCCAAAATGGCGAGGCTCGCCCGGTCAAACCTGTTGGCTGAAAGTCAATAGCCAGAATGTTGCAAGGATAGTTGGCAAGTACATGGAATGGTCAGAGTGTTGATCGCGAAACACACATATTGCGCCACTGGAGATGCAGGCACTGCACGAGGGCTGTAAGTTGTCGCATTTGGTCTTCGCATGGACACGTTAGTGCCATACAAGACATGGTTTGATTGATTCAGATTGCGCATTCAAGGGTTTGATGGTCAAGGGCAGGTTTACGGAGTAGGTGATGACCGACTTTACGTGAGCGGCATGGTTCGCAGGCGGCCAATGCACGCCTTCGAGGATACACCACGCGTGCATCGGTGCGCCGACGCTTCTGGGGGTTTGGGACGCGCACGTCATTGCTGCTCTCCGCAGGTACAGTCGAGAGGTCGGACCCCTGTTGGATAGAGGGTGGTAGTAGTGGTAGTGAGTGGTCCATGTCGCCTCAAGTATCAGGAAGACCGGTGCATGGGGTCAAAAAAAGCAGCCGGTTGTTTGCGCTGGCGGAGAACGATGTGTGCTGGATCCTGTGAGGAGGGCAGCGTTCTCGAGAAAAGCCACGTGGAACTGCTCCGATGGGCCGTGCACAGTCGACAAGTCACAGTCTTCGTTGTTATCTATTGCCGCCATTCCCCGGCGCATACTTCCGAGTGGGTCTGGCTGTTGAGCCTCACTAGCCTCAGATGTCACGGCTTTAAGCGTGATGCGAGGAATGAGGCCCTAAATGTGTTGATTGTTGCTATCAACTCCGAACTCGGTAGAGTAATAAGGCGATAGCGCCTGCGCCTGCGCCTGCCGCGGTCACACCTGCACGTGACCCGCACGTGACCAGTGCCTTGGCATCAGAGCGGCAGAATCAGGATCTCACATCAATGGATCATAAGGACGAGAAACTAGTTACAGAGGGCTGCGCGAGCAAAGGCAGAGGTTTGCGCGAGTCCTAGTCGGGCCCACATGGTAGGTGCGATGCGAGGGCGTGACAGGCAGACACCCCCTCGGGTCAGTCATCAGCAAAATAGGCGAGCACATCAATCTTGTCGCGTTCGCGGGTTATCTTTTGACTTGGCCAATTTGCATCAAAAGTCCCACGTCAGCGTTATCGGGACAGAGAGAGTTGCCGCAACGATGTCTACCGCACCCGCGCTCTCCCCAATGCCGAGAACATAGTCTCCAGCTGCCACGGTCCATCGGCCTTCACGCCAGTAGGCCATATCTCTTAACTTGACCTGCAATCTCACTTCAGATCTGGCATGGGGTGCCAAAACCTCGGTCTTCTCGAACGATCGGAGCTCTTTCTGGTGCTCATCACCACACGGCCACGAGTAGATTTGTACGACGTGGCGGCCACCTGCTGACCCCGTGTTCTCTACTTCAGCCAAGATCTCCCAGCTCTGATCTGCACATTCACGACTTTGCGAGACCCGTGTGCTGAAGGACGTGTACGAAAGGCCGTGGCCAAACCACCACTGCGGCTCCACGCCGTTTCTGAGGTACCAGCGGTATCCGACACCGGTCCGCTCTTTGTAATGCACTCTCCCTTCAACACCGGGCCACGACTCTTTCGACTTTTCAAACGGAAGGTCCGAGTATCGCTTGGGCCAAGTAACTGGCAGCCGGCCCGACGGGCTGATCAAACCAAGGAGCACATCCGCCAATGCGTAGCCCGCTTCCTGGCCACCATACCATGACTGTAGGATTGTGTGCGCTCGGGTGGCCCACGGCATCTCAACTGGTGAGCCGGACTGGTTGACAACGATTACATTCTCCGGGTGGACGGTGTGCTCGAGCATTGTCTCGATCAGCTCATTTTGATTCCCTGGTAAAGAGAGCGAGCGACGATCGTACCCTTCGCTCTCCCATTCGTCACTCAGACCCACTACGACGACGGTATAGTCGCACGCGTTGGCCAATTCAACCGCTTCTGAGACCATGTTATCCGAGAGCTCCTCCAGGTAGCCCAGGCGTACTGAGGCTTGCTTACTCCAGACATGTGCGGTGTTTTCGGCATCATCTTCCATTAACGTATCCGACTCCTTCGTGGCGGCCTCGAGTATGATAGGGTATATCTTCCCCTGGGTCATCACCACAGATGCGCACTTCTCGGCACTGGAGAATGCATAGAACGCCTCACCTGGTTCCGTCCATTCGTAGTTGTCTACCAGAAGTTGTCCGTCCACAATGAGGCGGGAGTTGCCGACACTGGCAAGGCTGAATTGGTGACAGCCCGAGGTATCTGGAGTCACATAAGTCGTCACCCGGAAACAGTAAGGCTTGCCAGATTCTCGAAGGCATGCGGGGCTCGAGTCAGTCAGGTCGATGCTTGAATTGTTTCGATACTGTGTCTCGATGATGGGACCGGAAAAGTCAAGACCGGCATAAAAATCCACTCGGAGCATATCCGACGCATGATCTGGCGTCGGATTTGCTGACCACTGATGTGAAGATGCGAGAGGCAGCCACTTGCTGGAGTAGGCACCCTGTGCATGATGTATCTCGACGTCGAGTTTCAATTGGCTCACTTGTTCTTGGAACGCCTGTAGTGGTTGACTCTGGTATTGAGGATTCATGCTGGCTGAGCCTCCTCCGCCAGCTGTGCATGACTTTGCATTTGGACCGACGAACGCGACCTTTTTGCCAGGGAGCCGGCTAGGGCTCAGAGGAAGTGTGCCGGCACTATTCTTCAGGAGCACGTGCCCGTTGGCCACAATTTCCCGAAGACTCTGAAGATCTGCTTTACTGGTCGCAGAACGTTCTGGACGGTTTCTCGAGTCCTTCACCTGCGATGCTGTAAGTCCCAGCAAGTTCATTTTCTTCGCCAGGGTCAGAAGCCGTCGACAGGACCCGCCAACGGCATTCTGAAACTCGGTGGATGGGTTGGACTCCAACGCAGCCAGGAGCTTGTGCCCTCTTTGCACTGGCGGGCCAGGCATCTCGAGATCGCAACCGGCAAGGACGCTTGCCACGGTTGAATTCGTGCCGCCCCAGTCGCTCATCACCAATCCATCAAACTTCCATTCGGTTCGCAGGATGTCGCGGAGGATGTAAGCATGCTCGTCCATGTGCTGTCCATTGACGAGGTTGTATGCTGTCATCACGCAGCCTGGTGGCGATGAGCTCTTGATAAGCGACTCAAATGGCCGCAAATAAATCTCCCTCAGTGTTTGCTCATCAATGACAGAATCGACGGTGAATCGCTCCGTCTCCTGCTCATTGGCAACCCTTCAAACGCATGAGTTTATTACGCAAACATGATGCAGTAAGAATAGGACAAGCAAGGGCAATACCCACAAATGCTTGGCAGTTGCCACCACTTCCCCTGTTTGCTGAAGCCCTGCGACGTATTCTATGGCCAAAGCTCCGCTCAAGAAAGGGTCCTCAGAGAAGGCCTCAAAATTCCGGCCTCCGAGCGGGTTCCGAGCACAGCATATCGTCGGTGCAGCCAAGATTTGAGCAGATTTGGTCTTCATCTCCCTGCAGAGCAACCGTCCGACGGCCTTGAGGTCTGATCTGCACCATGTAGCCGCCTGGAGAACCGGAGCTGGTAAGAACGCTGACTGAGGCCCGTCAACCATCAACTGGCCTCTGGCGCCAGCAGGCCCATCGGTGACCTGAGGAGTATCAGTCAGTAGTGCTCGCAGAAAGAGCTTTGTCATGGGATCGATTCTTACTTTGAGAGCACCAATACCTAGCCGCTCGATGCCCACGGTGTGCCAGTCGTCGGCTCCGGATAACAATGACACTTTCTCAGCATCTGTGAGTTGCGACAAGAGGTAGTCAATATCATCCGAGGATTTTGTTTGATCTGCCGCCATGTCGTTGTGTTTTTTGAAAAGCCAGCCGAGGTGTGTCGTAGTGTGGTATGTGATGACCGCTGCTAGCAAATCAGCTCTCGAGTCGGAACCAGGTAGCCCTTATAAAAATACAGCCCCTATAACTTTGAATCTCACGAAAAGTGTTTCTAAAAAACTTGGTTACTCAAGAGAACCAACTTGCAGGCGACACAGTGCCCTGACGCCGGCAGTGGCGCCGGGAGACCCTGCATATGCGGCTACAAGACTTGCCAGGCTGTCGAAGCCGGTGGAGTGTGGACCGGGGAGTTGCGGCAAATTGGTCTCGCCAGCACCAAAAGGTCGTACATACAATACTGTACATTTTTGCGAGATGAGAATAGCCTGTTGACACCAAGCCGGCCTTGATAGTGGCTCACAGCCAGACCCACTGAAAGTATCGTATGCGCCCGGGGAGTTGCGGCAACAGATAACAGCAAAGACTGTGACTCGTGGACTGTGCGGGCCCATCGAGCCGTTCCAGGTACCCGTGTCGCTGCGTTCTCGAACTGATGGCTGAAGAAACCTTTCATAACCAAAATGTTTTCTTTCCACGCCCGCCTCTTTAACCCCAGGTCCGGAACGACCAAAAGACTCACATCCACTGATAAGTGGCTCAACCTCACTCGTCGAGAGACCTGCTATATGTACTCGAGCAGTATGCTTCTTCCTTCTCCGTCCTCGTTGTTCAATCCTCGCCGAACCCATTCTTGAGACCACATCCCACAAAGCGACACATCACTCCTTGCTGTGTATCGTCATAGACAATTGTTCAATCCTATAGCCGGGAGAATTGAATCATTCTGTCTGAAAGCCTTGCCGGGTTACTATCTACCCACCTGCAGGCAAAATGGCTCCTTCGGTCGTTGTATCGACGTTGTCGAAATTCCCTTCATGGGTGCCCAGGTCGTCGGCGGTCGTCAACGGGTTGATTCTGTTGACTTCCTTCAGCACTGCCACGGTTAGTATTGACTTGACCCACAGGACAGTGCCCTTTAACCTTCAGGAGGGATGAGTCTCTCCCTTGGTGTCCTGCCCTCCGAGGCTAATTGTGGTTCTGGCCGCTTCCCAGGTCCTCGGTTACGACGCGTCCATGATGAACGCATTGAACATTCTCCCCTCCTACACCGATTATTTCTCGCTGAGTGCCGCCACCATTGGACTGAATTCTGGTATCGTGTGGATCGGGGCCATTTTCGGTAGTCTGGCGTTGGTCAAGCTCCCCGACCACATCGGGCGCAAGCCCGCCGTATTCTACTCGGCTGTGTGTGCCATCGTCGGCAGTGTGCTGCAGGGCGCCGCACAAAATATCGCCATGTTCCTGGTCGCAAGGTTCATCCTGGGTTTCGGCCTCGGAGGCACGTACGTCGCAGGTCCACTGCTGATCGCCGAAACACTGCCGTTGAAGCTTCGATCGTATGGGTTGGGTGCTTTCACGGACTTGTACTATGCGGGGGGCCTTCTTTCTGCCGGTGCGTATAGTATCGCAGATACATACCTCACGGGCTGGACAAGCTGGGTTGATTACTGACCGTACTTCATTCGATTAGGTGTCACGTACGGAACAGCGCAGATGCAGTCAACATGGGCCTGGCGTCTGCCTTCGCTGTTGCAAATCGTCTTCACCCTAGTTTCCATCATGGCGCTGCCGTGGATCCCAGAGTCGCCGAGATATCTCGTCCACAAGGGGCGACAGGAGGATGCTCTTCGGTCCATTGCGCAGTGCTGCTCCAACGGCGACACCACGGCTCCGCAAGCTCAGGCGACCCTCCTACAGATCGTGCAGGCCTGGGAGCTGGAGAGAAATTTCGAGGAGCCATCACTGAAGGACATCGCGAAGGCCCCGGGCTTGCGCAAGCGCATGCTCATCGTCTTGACGGTGGCTGCATTCTCCCAACTGACGGGTTCCGGTCTGTTCTCCTACTACCTGGGCTCGGCACTCACCAACGCCGGCGTGACCGACTCGACCACCCAACTGGAAATCAACATCATCCTCAACTCTTTCTGCCTGGTCGTCGCGATCGTGGGAACATTCCTGGCGGAACGGATGGGCCGCAAGCTGCTTGCCGAGCTGTCCACCGCAGGCTGCATGATATTCCTGATCCTCATCGGCGTGCTGACGAAATATTACGGCACGTCGACCAATACGTCGGCCATCTATGCGACCGTCGCCATGATATTTCTCGCACAGGGGTCGTACAGCTTCGCGTGGACCCCGCTGGCAGTCATGTACCCGCCGGAAATCCTGAACTACTCGCTTCGTTCGGCGGGTATGGCGTGGTTCACCATCTGGCAAAACGCGACTCTGCTCGTGCCCATCTTCGCGTTTCCCGTCGCGATTGAGAGCATCGGCTGGATCATCTACGTCCTGAACGGGGTCTTCGACTTCTTTGTGATCCTGGTCATCGTGTTCTCCTGGGTCGAGACCAAGGGCTTGTCGCTGGAGGAGGTCTCCGGGCTGTTTGAGCCGCAGACCGGCGCTGCGCTGATCGGGATTGATGCGGCAATCCAGGAGGCTCGGAATGAAGGCGTCGAGGTGCTGGAGATCATGCCGAACAAGGCGGTCAGGTGGCCTCGGGATGAAGCCGGTGACCTTGTGATGAATGAAAAATCGGTCTGATTGCGCAAATGCCGGAAGACGATTGTGTTGACGCGTGGGTAGGGCATGCGCATTGCGGCTGAAGAAAAACCTAGGTTGATAAATGCTGTTGTAGGTTCCTCACCCTATCGAGTGTCAATAAAGAACGCTTCTGTGGGATTTCTCTACTCCTGTTATAATATGTATACACTATCGGATCTATAATATCCCGGGCCAGTACCGAACTTTAAATCCTTGCTTAATCAATTAATATACACTATCTTTCCTTGCGTCATCACCAGATCCGTAGATCCCCACTTATGCACTAACAGAATCCTAGGGTAGCCTAGGATTTACCTAGTATGTAGATTACTTACTAGGCTACAGTAGTTATTAGTTCCGATTGAGGTTACTTCTACTAATGTAATTAGTTAATTTTGTTAGTCTTTTATTTAGTTTTTGTCGGTTACTCCATAGTCTTGAATTAATCACTAAGCTTTTATGCTTAAATACGAGAATAATACCCTGAAACTAATCCTGATTACGCGTCCTCACAAAGAAATTATATCTCTACTACAGTAGTATTGTAGTGAATTAGGCTGTGTGCGCCTCTCCTTTTTGAGAGGTAGTCCCTGTCACAGCGGGCCTAGGGCCAAGTGGGTGTGGGAGGCCAACTAAGAGACCTAGGCGGCGTCGAACGGTTAGAATCAGCCATGTTGGCTAGAAGGGCCTGTTAGCAGGAGGGCCTAGGTGGCAGAGACCTAGGAGGATGAGAACACGTTGTAACGAAACATGTTGTTGACCAGTCACGTGTTGGACTAACCTATCTCCCCCGCAGCCAACTTGCTACGTTTTGGTCTTGGCACTGCAATTTAAGGTTTGTTTACTTTATCCCTGACAGCTGTTAACACCACAACTAGCCAACCATGAGACGCTCACAACGCATTCCACAGCCTAAAATTTGGTACGATGAAAGAGAAAGGTCCCCATCGCCTAGGCCTAGAAAAAAGAGCAAAATGAACCCGTCAGAAGTGCCTGAAACGCGTCCTGCAAGAATAGATACGGCTGCGGAGGTTGAGCGACTATAACAAGAGGACAACCCTGTCTACAACCCGCCTATAAGAGTTCCATGGAGGCCTATAACTATTCTAGCCTCAATTATAGAGCCTTTCGATCTATTTATAAGATTCCTAGATGAAGAGTCTCTCACAGCTATTGTTGTTGCAACTAATGCGAGAGTCGCGGCGTCGATACACTCTATTCAGCGCAACGCTCGAAAATGGACTCCTCTTACGCCAGATGAATTCCTCTGTTGGCTCGGCCTGCTGTTTTATATAGCCAATCACATAGAAGTGCGCAGACATGAGTATTGATCGAATACACGCGGTGTATTGTCACGATTCATGGGGCGCTCACGTTAGGAGCAAATTTATCGATTTCTCTCCTTTAATTCACTATATATAGAGATGTCTAAGGTTATCTCGACTAATGCCTTATGATTCTATCAACTAAAACCTGTTATGTCTATTGTCAGGGCTAACTATTATCGCATGATAGTGTCTTTCTTAGTTCTATTAGTTAATAAGGTTATAGTGCCCTTCACTGAATATTCTTATTATATTGTGAAGGCTCCTTATAAACTAGTTAAGTAGAGCTATTAAATCTAGGCTCTAGGTTTATAAAGAGACTATATTGTCGACTAATTAATATACTCATTAGCTCTCAGCGCGAAGGGCTATATTAAGAGAACTAAGCGAGTCTTTTAACTACCTAAGCCTTCTATAAAGACTATCTCTATCTTAGAGACTCATTAAGTGCTTATTGTTCTCTATGAAAGACTCATAAAGCGATTCCTCGACGCTAAATAGCTTCTTTTTCTCGACAACTTATTCTTAACTGTTAATGTTACTCATATTATGTTAACACTTGATATTGACGTTATAAGAATAACTAGAAAGAACTCCGCAGGAATTCCAAGAGATCTATATAATCTAAAGAATATTAATTAGGCTCTTATTTATAGAGAAACACTCTCTCGACAAGTCGATTAAACCCTTATATTTATCTGGCAAGATAACAATATCGTTTTATATATTACTACTGTATTTTCTATACATTATTCTGAAGATTTCATTGAAAAGGACCGTCGTTAACCGAAAGATTCATTAACAAATGCTAAAATCGCTCAACCTGTATTTAACGATACATCGATTAAACGCCTGCCAATTCCTGTTGCCATCGACTTATATAACAGGCATATAAATCAAGTCGACATCGCCAATCAACTCCGCACTAGATTCACTTGTCATAGGGCTTATAAACAGCGAAACTAACGCCCGCTAGCCTATTAGCTATTTAATGTTTGCCTAACTAACGCCTATATCATTTAGCTTGCTCAACAACCTCAAAACATCAAAGACAGCCATCATGCTCATAAAACATTTGAGAAGACTCTCATTCGACAACTAGTGCAGCGAGGAACTCATCACTACCTGATTAAGCTTACAACTAGATCTAACTGTGTATAGGGTGCCAAAAAGCCTCAGGAATGTCATGCAGGAGCCCATGAAAAGCGTCATCCATTGCAACCATTGACAGGGAATGAAAAGAGACGTTTAAGGGCTAAAACTAGAGGTCGGAACGTGATCACAGGCTGTGAAGCATGCAATGTTTATCTATGTTCTATAGGCTCTTGTTTTACAGCCTATCATGCAGATTTACTAGAGAATACTATATAAATAAGCATGATCATGAGTATATTGTTGAATACTTCAACGTGCCAAGAAATGCCAAGGCCAAAACGTAGCAAGTTGGCTGCGGGGGAGATAGGGTGTTAAGTGCTGTGCCAACGATAAATACCCTTGTAGGACTGTAGGTGGCGCCATCTAAACAAGCAGCGACCCGTACTTCCGGGAGTTGTAATATTCAAATTTAGGAACCTGTTAGAGGGGCAAAGCCCAAGGTTAACGCCTCGTTGCTTCAGATTGATCGAATCATACCGACTTTCGAGCCCCTATATGATCCTGTATGCATAGTTCTAGTTTCTATGCATAGCTTTCCCATCTCACTCCAATTGAAAATTTCCAATTCGAAATCCTTCTTCCACCTCATAAATCGTATCCCTCCCTGACGGACACTCCAAAAATGGCCGCTATTACTCTCGAACCTCAAGATCACAAGCGAGATGCAGATTTCAAGCAAGCGCTACACGGCAAGACAGGCCAGGATCAAAACTCATTCATGAATATTATGCGCAAGAACAAGGATGCTCAAAAAATCGCCGTGGACGAATACTTCAAGCACTGGGATAACAAAGGCGCCGATGATGAGACTTCCAAAACCCGCGAAACTAGACGCAAGGAATACGCAACCCTCACCCGACACTACTACAACCTTGCGACCGATTTCTACGAGTATGGCTGGGCGCAGAGTTTCCACTTCTGTCGATTCAGCAAGCGTGAGGCATTCAAGCAGGCACTGGCTCGACACGAACATTACCTTGCGCTGAAGATGGGTATCCAGAAGGGTCAACGGGTTCTCGACGTTGGTTGTGGTGTTGGTGGTCCTGCAAGGGAAATCGCCAAGTTCACCGGAAGTAATGTCCTCGGCCTGAACAACAACGACTACCAAATTGAGCGTGGTACACTATACGCACAGAAAGAAGACCTCGGTGATCAGGTCAGCTTTATCAAGGGCGACTTTATGCAAATGACCTTCCCCGAGGACAGTTTTGACGCTGTCTACGCGATCGAAGCTACCGTGCATGCTCCGAGTCTGGAAGGAATCTACTCCGAGATTTTCCGGGTCCTCAAGCCTGGCGGCGTCTTTGGGGTTTACGAGTGGTTGATGACCGAGGACTACGACAAAGACGACCTCCGCCACCGTGCGATTCGTCTTGGTATCGAGCAAGGGAATGGAATTAGCAATATGGAGAAGATCTCTGTCGCTCTAGACGCGATGAAGAAGGCTGGGTTCGTGCTTGAGGCCAGTGAGGATCTTGCCGATCGCGACGATGAGCTCCCTTGGTACTGGCCTCTCAGCGGTGATTTGAGATACATGCAGAGCCTTTGGGACTTGCCGACCCTAATCCGTATGACCCATGTTGGCCGTGGACTGGCGCATGGCATTGTTGGTGCACTGGAGATGATTGGCGTTGCGCCAAAGGGATCACGGAAGACTGCCAATTCGCTTGCTCAGGGCGCAGACTGTCTTGTTGCGGGTGGAAAGGAGAAGCTATTCACGCCTATGTATCTGATGGTTGGTCGGAAGCCAGAAGCTTGACCCTACCCCTAACCCTAGCCCTAAGTGCTGGGCATGTGGACAGCCACCGTTAATCTGCGACTCGCGCGACGGAGTGGGTGGGCGTGAGTTTCGCGACATGGTGCTTCCGGCGGCATGGGCGGTGTTCCACATACGCAATCGATGGGGACTCATGTTGGCTTGGGGAGGAGGTGGAATACTATGGGGGGAAAACAGCCGTGGGCCATAGGGTCAGGCTTCCCTCAAGGGAGGCTTTGGAGATTTTCGTCGCGCCGGGCGACCGTTAACCCCTCCAGGGACGGATTTCGAACAGGTGAGTGCGGTGTAGCAACGTCGTCCCTCAAGGGACGGTTCCTCGTAGAATCCTAAGACTCCTAGAATTATCATCTTAGCAATATCCTCTATAGGAACCCTTCCGGTTAAGCATCAGTTGCGGTTACGAACCACCCCACCACCACCCTAGACGATCATATAAAACTCCATATAACGATACTAGAGAACCTCTTGATCATGCATTGGCCACTCTATATGAATATTCTCATGTGGTAGCATTGCGGGCAAGTTATTCCAAGCGTTCTAGAGAAAGTTAGACTTGAACCTATAGATATTACGAATCGGCCTGGCCACAGGCCGCATAGCTAGACATTGCTGATCATCTTGCTGGGATTCGTGAAATCAGCACCTCAGTAGACGTAGCGCCATCCTCTCTCGTTGCCCGAGTGGGCAGAGTAGCCCTCCAGCTCGTCGAGCTTCTTGTTCAACTTCTTCGCTCTCCACTTGATCCCCCAGCAGAGCAGACAGGTCATCAGGCAGCCGAACAGGATGAGGCCGCCGCCGAGCCGGTAGAACGGCTCCTGGGACGTCGGGAAGAAGTACGGGCTGAACCAGTGGCTCGTCTGCGAGATACAGTTGGCGATGGCGATCAGCGCCGCCTTCTTGCTCTTGGGCGCCGGGACCAGCGTCGTTTCCCAGGACAGCTGCAGGTTCAGGCCGTTGTAGGTGCCGCTGACGAGGAGGATGAGCCCGAAGTAGCGCGCCCCGACGTTCAAGGTCGAGATCAGCATCGACGCACCGGCCGCCGCGAGCACGATCGGGACAATGATGTGGTAACACGACTCCTGGAACTTGCCCGACGTCCAAGCGATCAAACATGCACTCGCGTACGCGATGGCGTATGGTGGTGCCTGTACGAGGTAGGTGGTCATCTTGTCGAAGCCGAAAGTTTCGAGGATCTGAATACTAAAGATTAGCAACCACACCACCAATACAAAAATGATACGGTATAGCGTTGTATCGATTGTGGCTTTGCTTACCGACGGGAAAAAGTCTTTGAAACTCTGGGCCGTGATCAGAGCAAAGTGCATGCCGCAGAACAACCAAGTGAAAGGATCCCTGACAGCCTCCTTGAGTCCGTCCCAGGTGCCACCGACGCCCTCATCCCGTCCACCGTTGGAGACAAGGATGCGGTACTGAGCCATCTCCTTTTCTTCCTCGGTGAGGAACTTGGTGTTGTGGGGCCAATCGGGAAGGAGGTAGAAGCCCGAAAGAGCCACCAAGATAGATGCAGCGCCTTCGATGATGACTGCGAACATAACGGATTAGCCTCTCCTCTTCGTAGGGGGACGCAGGGATAAAAAGCGCTTACAGAACCATTGCCAGGCATGGAGGTTGCCAACGTTGTCCATGTGTTCCAGAATTCCTGCGGCAAGGAAGCCAGAAATGATGTTTGAGATGGTGTTGCCGGCGTGCCAGACCGCCATGCGAGTGGGATTCTCTTGCTTGTTGTACCATGAGGACGTAACTGAGGTTATAGTGTCAGTCTCGATAATACGGAGCTGGAAGCAAATCACTCACTCAAGGTAATTCCAGGGAAGAAGGGAGCCTCGCAGAATCCAATGACGAATCTAACAGTACAGAAACCAGCACCACTGGTCACACGTCGTCAGTAAATATCGCGCGTAGAAGAGACTTCGGGTGAAAACTGACTTTTTCATGGCCGGCATGCAAATAGTAGCAGCGCTCCATGCAAGCATGATGATGGGCAGGAATTTGCTGGGGTTGGCTTTCGCAAGCCATAAGTTGCCGGGCAGTTGTCCAATCAGATATCCGACGTAGAAAGTACTAATTCCTGCGTTCCAGACGGTGTCGCTCATCTTCAGATCATCTTGGAGACCGGCGAGACGAGCATTGGAGACGTTGATGCGATCAAGGTAGCTAAGTGGTCGGTTAGCGATGTTGACGAGGTGGATTTGGAGGAAGGGTGTCGGCATCCGAGTCGGGCCTGCCGACCCTGTACAATGCGGCGCGGCAAGGGAAACATGGGGATGACATACTTCATCAAAAACATGAGCGTGATACAGGGCATGAGCCGCCAGTCGATCTTCTTGACGACCTTCTTATTGAGGGCGGCCATCTGTTCATCGTCGAGGTCTCTCAATGTCTCAAATCGGTGCTGGATTTGAGCGGGCGTGAGGACGCCATTCTCGATCTGCTGAGAAGATTCATCGGGCTTCTCGACGAAGTCGACGCCGGGTCCCTTCTGAACCATGGCTCCGGTTGGCTTTGACTAAATCAGGAGAATGACCTTCGATGCTCTCGGTTCTGAGTCGAGGTGGTTCGTGAAGAAGAAGATGTTGGGCATCAGTTTGTCTCGAGGCCGTCAGGCGTATATATAGACATTATACGTCGTTTTGGACCACGGTGGTGGTGGTGATGGTGGTGGTGTTTCGCCGCGGAGTGCCACACAACTTCGCGGAGAGAAAGTCTGGCCCGTTCGCTTGCCACAGCACCTTTTGTCAGGTTGTCCGGGGTCTTTGGGGTAATGCCAAGCAGAAGTCGAGCAGAAACGTCGGAGACTGGAGCCATTGAAGCTGCCAAGGCATCACCAAGACTCTGGGCGAAAGACTTGTTGAACTCTCTCCGCGCCCACGGCTGCGGTCGTTTCCACAGACTTCTGGGCGCTGTTACCCGCGGATGTTCGTCTGTTCGCCGGACGCTCTACAGCTGCTATGAGAGCGTAATTGTGGTGGTGGTGGTAGTTGGGCACATATCAAGGTGTCAAACGGGTACTGGAACTCGAGACAACATGCCACCGACTCTGGCGGAACGGAAACCATGCTTGGCAAACTCGATCCCTCCGGCACAACTACCGGCACCTGCTGGGCTCCCGCTGCCTCGACGACATGAGAGATGGGCTGTCCTATGCGGGCATGGAACTGTCTCGAGACGGGGAGAAGATTCAGTTCCAGCCTAGCGAGTCGCTTACCACCAACATACTCGTCTAAACTTTACAGGCAGGTATCGTATACTCGAAAGACTTAGCCCGGCACGTGATAATATTTTCCAAACAGGGGTTTGATGCGCTTTGCTCTGCTCTGCTCTTCTTTGTTCGTTTGTGCAATTTATGTATGAATCGAATTGACGTTGTAGTCTCGCAACTCGCTCAGCTATCTTTGTCTAGGCCCCTCTCCAGCCATGCAAGCCTGAGCGCCTGAGGCCGTACTTCCCAACACCTGAAAATGCGCTAGAACGCTCAATTCTCATGCTCCTCGCCCGATGGGCATCACCAAGTCAACGACCTTGTCATACACTGTGAATACGACGCCTCCACCGAAAATCAACCTTCCTAATCTCACTGTGCTCCCGCGCCAGAAGCCGCGAACCTGGAAGTTACAAATAACATCACGGATCGCTTCCACGGTTCCCATCCACCTGGCCTCTTGAGACTGGTCTTGATGGTATCAAGAGGCTAGATTCAGGATACCGTGATGACTCCAGCAACGACGCCCATTGAGGAAGTGGTCATGCTGTTAGTCGGGAGGTGCTATCGCTTTCCGTACTCCCTCAACACGTTATATGACCCCATTCGCACGACGGATGTCGCCGACTACTTCATAACGGTGGGAGAGGAGCCCACGGTATAAACCGGCCAGTCCCTGCTCGCGGAGGATGACCGAGAAAGCGTGACCCTCGCCCTTGAATCTTCTCTGGCCTTTGATATCGTTGACAATGATAAACCCGAATGAGCTCCTTTCTCGCCTGCAATGACCCTGGCGAACCTACATGGCTGTCTTGACGCGCTCTGTACGTTTCAGCGCCACGATGGATTCCACACAGCCAGCGACCAATCCCGCTAATACCCCCTTCGAAGGCGAAAGTCTCCCATGATCGTTCGCAAACAGAGTTCGAACACAATCAAAGGACAGAAATCAGACACCTACTTTAAAGGTTGTTCCCTGTTGAATCCATCAGATGGAAGGCACCTGCTTATTTCGAATACCGTACTCACTACCGCTAATCTCAAGCAGCCTGTATGTAATTCATGCAGGCCTCCAGTGCGCAGTCTGCACAATGACGGAAAATGAGTTCGCAGCGCTTGCATTGGGGCCTTTGAGCTGACCTCGTGTTTTTGCAAACTCGAAGGGATACTGTAGGCTCGTAGGCTCTCATCCTCTGTGATGGACCACCAAGAGGTTTCCGCTTACCGTCGCAGTAGCCTCGGACATCTCCTGCAACTCCACTGGCAAAGAGCGATAGGGCAGGCGGTACCTGACGTTTGGTCTGGGGAGGCCAGTAACTGCTCTACTGATTCGGGGGTTTCTGCTTTACCTTTGGTAGGGCTGGGGTGATTTCTCGGGGGATCGGCGTGGCTCGCTCCGGCACCGGGGAAAGTGTAGTCAACGACATGGTCTGCAGTCAAGGTGTGAGGTCGGCCGTCCTCTGAGACGTGCAGCTTGTTTGGTCTGCTGCACTTCACCGCAGACGATGAGGATAGACGTTGATTTGGAGGAGTAGGCACTAGGAATTACGTTCATGATCCATTTTGACAATGACGGGAGCGATAGCCAAAAACGTGGCGAAAGCCTGGTGTAAAAGCACGCATGGATATGGAGCCTCCCCAGTCCGGGGAAATCAAACTTGCACGCGGCAGAATGCGAGGCGGAAGAAGAAGACGGGACCCGGACAAGGCATTATCAGCAGGAGCCGTCACATAAAGCCGGTAAGTGGCATGCTGTACTTGTAAGGCGTGGCACCAGTCCATGGCAGACGCCAAAGGAACAGGGCTAAAATCCCCATCCGTTGCGGTCATGATCGAACTCCTCTTATCCACGGATTGCGGCGGCTTCATCCTTTACATCCGCGGCAGAAACATCAAACCTCAGTTACCCAGATGTATGTTCTCGCAAGCCGACCAGCAAATGCCACAAGCAACATCAGACGACACCTCTGCAGCCTGAAGAATTGAAGTCCGACGGGTTCTCACCCAGTCTTGGTATAGACGAAGTTATACAGAGCTTTTGCCGACGATCGGAAACAACGATAGTGGCCCCTTTCTTCCCCAAAAACGGTCACCATGTTGTTCCCGATGAATTCCAACCACGAAGTCGGTTTTGCACATCAACATCCAATGGATCTCGGAGATGGCAAAGTTTCAAGAGGACCAGGTGCAGTCGTATGCCGGATGCGACAATCGGTTTTGTCACACAGAGTTTTTCAGTTCGGATGATTCGCTTGCTGTTCGGCTTCAACGGCTCCATGGCCGATGATTTTGAGATTCCGGCCAGATGGTGCAACCCGCACTCAGTCTCGCGGGGCTCCAAACTGCGGAAACCACACGGACTTGTGCCGAAGACACAAACCCAGCGTCCAGCCAATCGCCACTGGTTGTGTCAAAGGACCACATCCGCGGATAGGAGACGGGGGCCCCAAGATGTCTCTTGTTGTCCTCCATTATCCGCGGCTACGGAGACGGCTACAGTAAGAGGCTTGCAAAGCAACCAGCCGTGCAGTCAAGCCACAAGGCTGGAAATCATCTTCCCAGATCCGCACGAAGGCCCTCTCTGGCACTGCATATCCTCGGGAAGTCCTAGACGACGAGAGACCTGCTTACCAAGACGCTGACTGATGATGGTCTTTGGTGCTGTAGCCGGAATTGCCATTCATTCTCCCTTCCCCCCCATGGATATTGTTTTGTGAAATTGCGCAGACTCGGCGAACTGTAGGGTTTTGAAAAGACTAGCAACCGTATCAGGCAGCACCAAGTCGAGAACGGGGAGAGAGAAAGAACCTACGGCTGCTGGTTCAGATTGTATGTGACTTTAAAAGACTGGAAGGCGATGTCGTCCACACATCCTGCTGGGTTTCGGATGTTGAAGTCACACGATATCCAGATAGTCTTAGGCTCGTCGCAGTCGAAGTCGGAAGGCAGATGAAATGAAGTCAGTTTCGTACATGAAGACCCTTTGCAGGTGAAGTGTCGCAAAGTCATTTGTGACTTTCTTTGCTCGGTCAGCTGGCGGTCCTGGTACATTCAAGGTTTGATGTCGAAGCGGAACGCGAAGTTTTTCTTTCGACTCTTGAAGGCTTGCCATCTACGCCGAACCGAGTGCCGTCTCGTCGATGTTTGGGGGGACTTTCACGTGGTTGGGGCCCCAGATGGAGTTGAAGTTGTCTCGCGGTCTCGAATATTTGGCGACGTCAGCGCCAGGCAAATCGTTTTCGGGCCGCCGCCCTCTTTCGATGTTTCCAAGCTTGCAGAAAGGCTAACTTTTGGGAAGAAGGATCTCCAGAGGGGGAATTAAATGACCGGCCACCACGCTGGCAAAAGGCTGGTTCACGACCGACGTGGCGAGACGGGAGCAATATTCGACCGGTGTGCTCTACCTGGAAATAGCGCAAGTGGCTATTCCGCCTTCACCTTATCTCTACACATCCCTCCAGTAAGTTATTCCGGCCTCCACCAAAACTCGAGTATCAGTGCGCAGTAGACGGAGTATATACAATAACAATGCACGATGAAGGACTTACACTAACGCAAGGTAGCTATCGATCACTACTTTCGTACACCTCCAACCCGTGGCCGGTCCTCCCTCTGAGATCTCTCTTGACCGTCGGCACCCCGTTGGTCACGTCGCCATATGGCACCGAGGGATAGTGCCCGAAACAACTGTACTCGTACCGAGCAGTGTCGAGCAATCCGCTGAAGATGTTCATCATGGTTGACAGCTCACACCAGCCGTCGTCCCTCTCTCCGCATTCGGGGTAGCTCTTGTACAGGGGCACCGTACGCTGGTTGATCATGAGGTGGAGATAGGTTGTGGAGGTCTCGTTGCTTGTGTCGTAGTAGTCCGACGTCGCGGCGCTGGCGCTTGTTGGTCGTTTGGCTTTGACTGGATACGGAGCACGGATGACTTCCCATACCTATTCGGCGATGTCGCAGTGCGTTAGCTCGGCTGTTCTCGTCTTCTTACTTGTGTTGGGACTCACCATGCGTGCACCAAATGGGGTAGTATGCGACACAATCAGTTGTTGATTCTCCGGTGGTCCGGTGGGAAGCAACGGCTGGGCGAATTGCTTGAGGCCAAACGCGGTGATGATGGACATGATGTTCGTGTCGTGCGAGAAGTCAAAGTACAAGGTCTGGTTGAGCGGGAAGGTCGAGTTCATCTCGTCGAGAGTGCTGTTGACGTTGGTCGATCCCCCGGGGAGATTGTACAGGTGATGAGAAAGGCGGGCGTAGATCTCCTCGACGTAGCCTATGCCTACGCCGCGGCCGGTCGGAGATCCAAAGCCGTTGTTGCCGTTGAACTGGAGGTCAATGCTGTATTCGAAACCTTGCCATTCTTCGTAAGTGAAGAGCTCGCACCAGTGGGAGTATCCCTGCGGCAGACAGAAGTGTCAGTTTGTGGATGTTAGGGTGCGCGTGGAGGACGTACAAAAGCAACCTCCTCGTACGGACAAAGAGTTTGAGCGTTGTAGCTATCCGCTACTGTCCAGTTGTAGCTTCCAGAAAATGCCCTGAGTCGCTTCGTGGCGTTGGCGAGATAGATGTTCTCCCAGATCAACGACGCGTTGTTGCCTCCGGTGGACTGGTAGCTGTTGCTGTTGTTGCATTGGTAGTACCCTGCCAGTGAGTTGTTGTAGCCGTTTTGTTCAAGGATGACCTCGAGAGTGGCGTTGTGGGTCCACTCGAGTCCGAAGAAGCCGGCCATGAAGTATTCGGCTGATTTGAGCATGCGGTCTTGAGTCGTGGTACGGGCGATGATCTTGGTCGATGTGTTGTAGAGCGCGCCTTTAACACATCACGTTAGCCCTTTGTGAGATTGCTTTCCCTATGACAGCATGAATCCGAGCACGCACCGTAGTCATAGTAGAACAGGACACCAGAGTCGAAAAGCTCCTGCCGTCCTCGAGCGACGAGAATTTCTGCACCAAGCTGATACTTCCAGCTGTTGAGGAAAGCGAGGTCTCCGGTCCACTGCGCAGTTCCGTTGCTGGTAATGTTGTGGAGCTTACTGCCGAAGTTCACAACGGACGACGTCCCCGTGGGATAACGGGCGCCGTGACGATGCAGGACGTTAACGATTGAGATGTTTGCACCGGGCGGGAGGGGGTATTCATTGGATCCAAAGCCGACTGGGTTGGGGAAGTAGGAACTGAGTTGACCATGGAGTTGGAAGATGCTTTGGTTCCTCGTATTCCCAGAGATGGGAACGTTCGTCTCGAGAGGTGCATTCGGCACGAACGAGGCTGTTTCTTGTCCGAACGGGGCCGGGTTGGTCTGAGCCAGAAACGGGGCAATGAGGCCGGTGGTCGTTGGTCCAGCAAAGATTTGCGGTGTTGTCTGGAAGAAATCAGGAACAGTGGCAGAGGGAGCAACTTGTCTGACGTCGATGATCCCTGCACTGGCTACACCGGCGCAGATGAAAAGAGGCGCCAGCATGGTGGCGTACGGGACACGACGATACAAAGGTCGGCCGCCTGATAAATGTAGAGGAGGCACACGAAGCTCGATGCCGGGATCAAGGTGGGAGGAGGTGTGTGACGATCCCAACGACCTTATGTAGCTTTCAGCTTCGGCTGGCCGACCATCGGAAGCTCACCTTGCAGAGGAGGGTCGCCAATGTCACGCCATGGCCCTGCGTTGACGGTGAAAGTTGGGAAGCGGTAGCAATGGTAGGACAGAGCGAGGAACGTGGACGATCAACGCACACATGTCGTCAGCATGCTAGAATCGACCGGAGAGTCGTACTTGCCTGTTCAAGCAGGCAGTTAGACTGGATTGAGGACAAGCTCGACAAGCATCAATAAGCATTCGACGGGCGTCGCCGATAAAGTCTTGTCGACAGCCTCACCAAAAGATCATCATGCAGGAACACAACAAGAGTCGCGATCCGATTCGAGAAACACATACAACGTGCAAAAGGTGGCCGAGGTGATTGGGTGCTGAGGGCCTTGACAAGCGAGAGAGAGAGGGCGGCGGGGTTCAACCCGTAGGTTCCTGGGTTGCATTCTCTCTATAGGTGGCTAAACGAAACTTGGCCAGTGCAACCTGTGGCTTTGACACGTAGTGTGGCTGACGAGGCTTGACAAAGATGTACAAGCGGTGGAATCTTGAAGCGCATCACAGTCCCTGAATTCATCGATCTAGCTGAACACTGCCGCCGCATCTTGATCCTTTCGACTAGATCCTCATCATGGGCCAGAACCCTCGAGATGTGATAACGCGGAAATACTCGCCAGCAATGCAGAGCCCTGAACCACAGATCTTTGACGATGCCTCGCTTGAGCAAGAGAAAATTGAACTTGTGGCAGTAGGAACCAGCGCAGTCGGTTACTTGTAAATCGAGGCCTGAGGGGTTAGGCTGCAGTGTGCAGGAAGAGTCTATCATTGGCGAAAGTGATGAACATGTCGTCTTCGCGGGGTATAAAGCCAAGGAGCTCCTCAAGCATATCATAGTCCCTGAACACTCCATGAACGAGGAGACGAGCAAGAAACAAAAGCATCGGGTGAAAACAGAGACTCATCGGTACTTCACCTTCATACCAGGGATGTTGCGGCATGCATACCTGAAATCGGCACCCCTCATCTGGAATAACGAAGGCAGTCTTAGTCAACCTCCGTGGTCAACAAGGTCGATATTGCCAAGGTTTGAAAGAAGACTCTCCATGTTTTTTGATAAATCAGTTGGCACTATAGACAGCACCTCACCTACGTGGAAGTCCAGGTTTGATGGGAGTTGATCGACAGCAGAGTAGATTCGTTCGAGGTGAATCGGCATCTAAACATCGTAGACATTTCTGGTGAACTTGTAAGTCGTCTATTTGTCTCTCCCGTTCATTATGACAAAGTTGAATTCTTGTATTGGATGGCAGTAGAATGTGGCTTTGTCTCCGTCGTTGACAGGATAGTGTCTATAGATACGAACTAATCGGTCACTGTGCGAGATGAAAAAGGCGAGAATCTCACGGTGGAGCACATTTTCTGGCTTCACGGCTCTGTAGAGCACGGATCTGCCATTCAGATTCAGCGGCAATTTGCAAGAGTCTGGGCCCGTAGGGGACTTCTGCCACTGGTCAAAGAATTAGTCCCCCGTTACCAGTAATAAGATCATAACACGGGCGCTTCACGAGAACTGGAGGGTTCCGCCACCGTCGTAGTTTCGCGGGACAGACATCGACGCGTTACACAGAGCGGGCCTTTCGGAAGATCCAGAGCTGTCCAAGCCTGATGATGATCCTTTCAATCATCCTAAGCCTCTTTAACAGCTTTGAATGACAGAGTCGTACACCCATCACCTTGAGAAAAGCCCAAACACCTGCCTTTCGACGAGCTCTTGCTGATGTCTGGTACTTGGGGCTACAGAGTGCAGTACCTTATGAGAGGGCTCGTAGCAATGACGAGGTTTTGGTACAGACTTTGGTGGTTGACCAATTCGTTTCGTAAAAGTTCAAGTCGGTACCAATCATGACACCATTCTAAGTCGACAATCGTTGTGGTGTTGGTTGAATTTGTCGTTCAGGATGAAGTTTCCCAGGTTCCTGTCTGTCCGTCCAACAAAAGATGAAGAGTCTTCTGTTGAGATCCTCTTGTGCAAAATGCGGCATTACGATACCCGCGAGGTGGCGAGCGTGGCCATCTGAGCTTCAGCATCATCTGCGTCATGAACAGCATTGGGCTGTTGCCTTAACCTCTGATCATGACATTGCAGAAGATCACGCAGATATGAGTCGGGGGTGGGATAAGGCATGCTGTTGGGTATATTCGTGGCCATGTTTTCGACTCGAGTTGGGGTAATTAGGCCCGTCTGGGGGGAGTTGCTGGGACTCAGCTCGCCGGTGTCCAAGAGAGTGGGAGACGCCATCTCCGCAGAAGGATAAGATGCCATCTCTCACCTGGTCTTTGACCGACTCTTGCATAGCTTCTGTTCGTTCTCTTTCGAGTCGGGTGGCCATGCCTTTCGTGCCACGACCCCTTGGTCTTCCTCAATAAATTCGAAAAGGGGATGGCCCGATTTCGGCGGAAGTCGAAATTTGCACAGTCGGAAGAAAGGATAGGGTGACTTGGGACGGAGGGATGGTGGACGCAGTTTGACGCGATCAAAGGCTCTCCACACCGAAGGGACAGCTACGGCTGGATTGAACAGGCATGCAAAAGTCTGGTCGTGGCATTGCGTCAAGATTAACTCCCCTGGGCCCCTTCATGTATGCTGAGAGGCCGATGTCTCCAGTATAGAGAAAAGAGGGCGTTGGCATATTGTTGTTGTAAGGGTAAAAGGTCAGACGGCGCAGGAGGCTCAACGGTGCTGCCTCGGTAAGTCGCCTTGTTGATTATGTCACCCACTCGCTCCGTAGGCTTCATGTACAATAGTCTATTGTTCTTGAAGTCCGTTCTCGATTGTCCCAGCGGTTGTCATTAACCCTTTTCAGCTTTTTCTGTCCTTTTTGTTTCTCTCTTCTGCCCTAGGGACCAGTAGGCACAAACGTCTTCGCTGATTGATGCAATTGCACATCAACATGGCGACATGCGAGGGACCGGCCAATCAGACCGGAGCTACCGTGATGCCATCTCCGTCTCAGATAACACGATTCATTCCTGGTATTCCAACCAATTCGGACTCTGGGTCCTTTGGTAGGGCGCCGCCTCTCGTCTGCGATCTGGATAGTGGAGAGCCACGGCGAAACCTAGGGATGTCGCCATCAATGGGATCCCTGTGAGAGCGAGAGAGATCTCGGTTTCTTTTGTAATCACCCGGTGAATCAGCGTGTCTCATCTCTTCAAAACTGTCCCGCCCTCCTCGTGAAGCCTGTTCAACGTAAGAAAGAACCAGTCTTTTCTCTTTCGCGATTTGATTTGCTTTGTCCTTTCGTCTGACAAACATGGCACATTTGCAAGCTCGCAACCACGTCTCGCCAGACTCGGGATTCCCGATCACAATTCATCCTGCATTCAACCCCAAGATCAAGGCCCACACGCCCCCCGAGCCCTTGAGAGACGAGGTGTTCCCCGACAAAGACCGAGCGTCGTTCGCGGATCCTGAGAAGAAGGCACTGTTTTCTGTGGCCAAGCGCGTCGACCTGACCGAGTCGATCGGCACCGTGCTCGAAAATGTGCAGTTGTCACAGTTGAACGACGCCCAGTTGGACGAATTGGCTCTGTTGGTCACGGAGCGAGGAGTCGTGTTTTTCCGCGACCAGGACCTCACCACCGATCAGCAGGTTAAGCTCTTTGAGCATTATGGCACGCTGGACCGTCATCCTGCGCAAAAGGTACCGCTGCCTGCGTCCCCAGACCCTTGCGAAGGGGAATGTGTTTGAGTCCAGTGGTAACCGCGATTGCTGACAACCATGCTTTTGTGACCAAACAGGATCAAAAAGTATGACAAAACCAAGGCTGAGTCTGAATCTCTCTCTCTTGTGTTGTATTTTGTTTACCACTCGAGAGCCTCTTTGCCTGACTAGGAACAACAGCACGTCATAATCAAAGGTAGTCGAGAGGACCATCGAGAAATCCTGACCTACACTCCGTGGGTGAGTCCATAATTCTATTCCTCAGACTGCGTCTGGGACAAACTCTCGGAGACTCAAGGCTCACATGAGATAGCCCTCTGGTGATTTCCACGCCGACACATCGTTTGAGATTAACCCACCATCGTACTCACTTTTAAGGATGGAAGAGCATCCCGATGTCGGTGGTGACACTGCATGGGTCTCTCAATACGGCCTTTATGATGCACTGAGCAAGGCATTGCGAAGCTTCCTCGATGGTCTTCATGCTGTACATACCTCGCGGTTACAATACGATACCATCCTTGACCTCTGGGGTGTCGGACCAAATCGACCCCCGATCGACACGCATCATCCTGCCGTCCGTACTCATCCCGTATCGGGTCTGAAGGCATTGAATGTAAATCCGGGCTTCGTCACTGGATTCGCCGAGTTGAAGAAGAAAGAATCGGATAAACTTTTGGAGTTTCTTGAATATCATATCCACTCGGCCGACGACCACTACGTTCGTTGGAAATGGGCTGTTGGCAGTGTCGCCATGTGGGATAACCGGTGTACTCTCCACCGAGTCATCCCGGGGACATACGAAGGCCCTCGCAAGGGCATCCGTACCACGGTATTTGGTGAGAAGCGTAAGATGTCCTGTCCAGCTCTTCCATCCTGGATGAATTGTTGGACGGAACACTGACCATGATGTGATGAGCAGCATACTTTGATCCGGCCAGCGAAAGCCGCAATGAGAGAGCTTTACGGTTGAAGACGTTGGCAACGGATGGCATCGCTAGAAACGACAAGGGAAAGGAGCCCAAGTGGGATGGGGCAGATGTGCCAGCGTAGCAGATATGGTCTTAGAAGCACCCAGTGTGTACTTGTAGTCCAATGTGACTGTTGATCGATTCTGAAAGAGTGAGTCAAATCAAGTGCAGAGGATGGTGGCACCCTAACACGCTCCGGAGGTATAGATGTAAAGAGCATAAACACGTTGTCATACCTCTCGCAGTAGGAATAAGGCACACAGAAAGGGCAAGATGGAAATGCGTTGTTCGCTCCGCAACTTTTAACTGCCCATAGTTCCTGCTGTTCGTCATATACCTGCCGTCGCCCTGATCCAGAGTTGTCGCAATAAACCCCCAGATCTCAAGATTCTTTCAATCAATTCGGAAAACGTGCGAAATGGCTTGCACAACATATCACGCTTGCTCAATGATGACTCGACACAAGATACGTGGGGACTATTCGTCGGTGGTGCTGCTGCCCTGACATGTCCCAACCAAGAACCCTGTGTCTTTCCAAGCGGCCTGCTCAGAGATTTACTAAGAAACAAGACAGTCGATTCCGCCTCAAGACGCCAACGAGGGAGGAGATTGTCCAGTCTGTAAGTCACTGGCACCAGATACCTTGTCAGGTTGACGGTGGCGATCAGTACCCCAAAGAACACGCCGACAGCGCTCACGGGCGTAACCGCACGCATCATCAAGTTTTTGAAAGTGACTAACAATCAATAAGTAGGCGTGTTGCAACTCGTAAGAGGAGGATTCTGTTTAGACAAACAATTTGGTATTCTTCTTCACCTTGAAAACCCCGTAAGCCATTGTTTCGAGGTCGACTGTGGGATTGGTCCTGCAGTACATGTCGAGAATAATGTGCATCACCGTGGATTCCTCATGGTAGGGAGCCATGAGATGAGAAAAATAGTCGTCGCCAGGGTTCAGATTGATTGTAGTGAAGAAATCATGGAGGATGGCTGCTTCTTCCAGCTCGTAACCCACGCGGAATCGCAAAACGATTCGTCTAGGTTCGATGGTCCTCTGCATGCTGGAAATGGTACCAGAAATATGATTTGCAGCCAACAGTTTTAGGAGTAGGGGAAGGCGACTGAGTAGAGATCTCTTGACCAAGCTCAGAATCTTTCTTTCTTCTTACGCGATGAGGATTTCAATGTTCCCGAAGCAGGAGAAGGCTGCTCAGTACTCCGAAGTGATTACTTGGAAGGAGGCCATGGGTCTTGACCGAGTACGAGATCCTTTCCGCAATGACCGACGGCAGGATCTTGCGCAGTGTCGCTAAAAGTGAGATCCGTCTCCAGGATTGGCAAGGGTGTAATTGTCCTGGCTGGCCATTTTTCGAGTATCTCTTGATTATGATATGTGAGGACTGAGCACACGAAGCCAATCAGAAGTAGGGGGTAGGAAAATCGGCTATTGATCTCCCTCGAGTGCCACGAGGGAATCTATGTTACCCCCTCTGAGGTATGCGTTCCTCGATGCATCCCAAATATAGCGAGACCCGGTGTTATGCAACAGAAGGTTTTCAGATCCCGCGGGAAAGTCTGCATAGCATGAAGACTGAACTGAACGCTGCCCACGAATACAATCATGCGGCTGGTGCTTGGTGAGGCCGCAACGATTGCATGCTCGGACGGGGGTAAATGGAAGACCCTTGAACGACCGTTAAGCCCTCGGATTCCAGGTGACTAATACCCAAATTGCCAAAGGTACATAATACCTGGCTCATTGGAACATTCCAAAATCTCATCACAGAATGGGGCAACATAACGTTGCAGCATCAGACGGTCGGGTTGGGTTGGGTTGTTGGGGAGGGGGGGTGAAGGGAAGGGGGGAGCGATGGCTGGCAGACGAAGTTTGTTCAGCAGGGTACTAAGTTAAGTTAGTGACGCCGGGGAGACTCATCAGGCATCACTTTGGGCAGCAAGCATGGCAAGGATGGGGGGAGGGTGAGCTTGCAGACACAGTCTACGGCTGTGCAGCAGAGTCCTCGGGGCGGGACGTTGGGGAGGCTCCCTAGGCCTCACTTTGGTCAGTGATGCAGAAAGGGGTGGTAGAATGTGCTGGCAGACAAAGCCCAGGGTGCAGGATGTGATGGTGTGCTGTCTACCTAAGGTAGGCAGTAAAGTACTCGGGGCGTTTGGGAGACCTCACTAGGCCTCGTTTTAGGCAGCAACCACAGCAAGAACTGGGAGGGTGTGCTTGCAGACACAGTCTAGGGGTGTGCAGCTCAATACTCGGGCGTTGGGGAGGCTCCCTAAAGCCTTACTTTGGGCAGCAATGCGGCAAGGACTGGCAGGGTGTACCAGCAGACCAAGTCGAGGGCACGGGGTGCAGGGCATGATGGTGTGCTGTCTGCAAAGTAGAGTACTCGTTGCAAAGGGAAGGCCTCACTTTGGGCACCAAACTCAGCAAAGCAACCAACGCCAGCCAGACACTTGCCAGCCGGTGGAGGGGGACGTGTCGCTTTGGAGGGGGCGCTGCAGGCCTGACCTGCCCGCAAGATCGATCTCTGGACAGCTGAACTGAGTCGCCTAGAAGCAAGCGCGGGCGAAGAGGCCAATAGCTCTAACTAACCATAGACCTTCACCACACCTGCAGTAACCCGCAGGGGAAGCCCTTGGCCATTGCATTGCAGCGAGGAACATCCCGGACCGTCGTACTCTCTGATACAATATCGTTTAGCGCAACGGGGTCAGGAGAGCAGCAGAATCCATGGATGCCCAGATGGCCTCTCTGGGAGGTCCGGTGTAAGTCGAGCCATGTTCCCAAGGGTGTACTCCGTAGGCGAGAAGACGACGAATTCATACCCTCCAATCCAGATGGCTGCATCGAAGCGACGTTGCACAGCGTCTCTGATATTCTCATGGCCTGGACAGAGACACGGCACAGCGAAGGTCGCCGACGAGTCCAGAATGCGACGGCTGCAGTCGACCAAGATGGTGAGTTGACAGGAGGGAGGTCCATAGCTGTAGTTCCGGCATGGATGATCTGCGTGGCTGTGCCCAAGCAGCAAAGTCAGGCGCTGGGGCATGCGTCCAGGAGTTGCGGGCGTATCTAGCTAGAATTAACCAGGATACTGAAATGAGAAAGAGAAGGTCCGTACATCGTATCCGCAGTTGTGACGGAGCAATTGTCACACAACAAATGGTTTATTGGATGCCTGCTGCACGTCTTGGTGGTTTGTACGAGCAAACCGTTGACAAACAGGCGAGCGAGCCGAGACACCCTTTTCTCTAACCGACGTTACGCAATCTTGGTCTACGGACGTAGAGTTTGTGTTCGCTGTCAAGGATGCTGTGTGTTGGCTGGATGGAGAGGACCAGAACTCCAAGACAAGGACCAGGATCAGGGTTTGCTGAAATGAAAGAGACATTTCCTTCGCTGAGGGCAGCTCCACAGTCCTGTCACACGGCACGCTGCATGCCGCATTTTGCGTCAACGGGTGCATGTTGTATACGGAGTACAGGGTGGTGGTGTGTGTGAGAGAGAGAGGGTGTGTGTGTGTGTGTGTGAAAGACGCACCGGGGAAGAAAGGGAACAAGGTGCGCGGTTGGCCGAGGAGCAAACTTCAGTCACACCATCACACGAATCATAATCAGTCACATATATCACACCCCCACTATCACAGTCTCGTATATCCAGCCGCGCCCAACTGGTCCCTTTTCACATGCCCAAGCGGCGACCAGTGGTTTTCGCAGGCCTTCCCTTCTCTCCAACTGGGGCTGCGGAAAAGACGAAGCCGGACAGTTTAGAGGAGACGAGGCGAGACGAGACGAGAGAGAGGACGGGGACCCCGGTTTGATCCTCCCCAAGTCCCGTCTAGAAAAAGAAAGCAAGAGAGAGTCGATGCAGAAATCTAGTCCTATCACACAGTAGTCTGCGGGGCATTCTCAGTCTTGCGGGCCAGACCGTCCAGGCTTTTTGGTCCTTTTGCAAAGTAAATCTGCACCTGGTCGGGTAAGCTAGACGACTCCAGGGGGCTATTTCGGAGGACCTAAGTGCCTAGGAGGTATACAGTGGCTTGTGATGGATCTTGGAAGGATCCCATTGGAACACGGGACGAGGTCGCGGGTCCGGCGATTCGTGCGACTCTGTCTGGCTGAGAGGAAGAGGGGATAAATCAAAGCGCTCCGTAGCGAGACCGGTGTAGGGATTATTGTCGTAGAGTCACACATGCATCAGTCGAGAATTCAGAGTCGACACATCACACATGTCGTTCCGGTTCCCCGTGGGCCCGGCCGATCAGGCTGAGAAAAGAGGGGTAAAAGAGAAAAGGGGGGGGGGCGGGGGCGCAACCCATGCATGATGCATAATACACTAGGCTGCAAAGGTTCCTTGTCGGCATGCGAACAGTCTCAGTAGATGGGACTGATTGGATCGCAGGGCTGCATGTATCTTTGAGCATTAGGCTGGAGGAATTGAGCCTGAGCAAACTTGAACACAGACACGAAGGCAATGGCGGGATTGGTAGGTTACCCAACCATTGCATTGCCTCGCATGACTTGGACTCCTGCAAGAGTTGATTGCTTTTTTTCAAATCCTCCTCTGACACGGCAAGAATGGCTGCCCAAAGTGAGGCAAAATGTCCCGGCCCTGCAGACCAAGTTCGACCACCGTGCGTAATGGACAAGGGTGTGGATGCACCGTCAGTGATATGTGTTGGTATCCGCATACACGAGATGAACTAGGCTGACGCTGCTGGCCCAAGGTAGGTATTGTATTGTAGGTCTTCCCGACTAGTTAGCTGCCTATTTGAGCAACATAGGGCGAGTCGAGGACAAGTTTGTCGTCCCTGACTTCTTACTCGCCGCAGCCTCGCCTTGATGCTTCGATGATCGACCGCCTCCAGCACAAACTTCACGCTTGACTTTCAGAGAGTCTGAGAGTGCAAGATTCAAATTCCCATTCCCAACGAGACTTTCCGCCCAAACCCTCAGATCAGATGAGATAAACTTCGCTCCAGTCCAGTGTGAGGGTTAGTACCGCAAGCCCAATCAAGAGTACGGAGTACCGTCCAACTAGTTCCAAGGCTTCCAGTGATCCACCTTTTCTCATCCTTTCATAGACCTCCTCAACCTCCAAACACCACAATTCCCACGCTAGTGAGAGTCGCCGTCTGGGGTCTCGGCTGCGCAAGGTCAGCCCACCAGACAACATCTCTGTTCTTGGCCACAACACCGATCTCCACACCAAGATCTCGCTTGCATCTCACAGACGTCTCGTTGCCAACCCGTGTGACACCATCCCCAAGAAGGGACGAAGTGCAAACTCGTGCATATAAGTTAGGAGCATATCAATCGACCGGGACCGCCTTTTCAGCCACCGATTCTCAGGCCCCTGTTCTCCCTTCCCGCTTCAGCGATGGAGATCGAGAAATCTTCGGTCGTCCTTCACCATCTGTCTCTGTCTCTCTCCTTCTTCCCCTGAGCACCGTACTTTCTTATGTCCATCATGCGTCCAACCATGGTCCAGACGTCAAGACTGAATCATCTCCGACGCCATAAATTCCCGTCCTCGCCCTCAACCAGTCGGAGCTGAAATCGACAGACCAGGATGCCATGGCATGACAACCGCCACGATGCGTAAATCTCCTTCCTGGTTGCCTGTTTGGTGTCTGTCACCAAATGTCAAGAATGATGAATCGCTGAGGTCTGGAATTCTCGACAATCCTCCCAGTGCGATTGAATGAGCTTCAGAGATAATGCTATCGTCCTCGTCATCTCAGGTACAAGTACGGTGGAGGTGCCGCGCGGCCGCCCTCTGGAGAAGGAGATTCGTCCAACCTCGACAACAGAGTAATAGTCATCGACCCTGCGGGCCAGGCAAGTCTTTTCCATCTCCTGACCATGGACCTGGCAACGGCAACGGCAACGGCAATTGCATCGGTATCAGCTTCGCCATCATTGTCCTTGCCGTAGCCGTTTCCACCCCCATGCTGAAGAACATCAGGGTTGACCTCATGGGTATAGTGGCTAACAATTTCCACGGTCCAGACTGATTTTCTCACCGATCTGTCCTCTTCTCGTGCGCAATGTCCCAACCAAACTTTCGTACGCGGCGTAGGCTACGTGCAGAACGTAACCATTATGCAGGCGGTAGTCATGAGGTGTCTTCCTCGCGTTCCGGCACCACTAGGTTGGTTTCCCCGCCGTTGTCACCATTGTCCAGGCGAATCCCTCGGCCAGTCCTTCCTGGACGTATGGAGTCTCTTCTTCCACCCAAGGAGCCTCCCACCAATACCGGCATCGAGTTTTCCATGTTTGGCTCCTTGGTGTGGACCGACAATCGGCAGTGGCCATCTACTTCCGAAAACCTGCGGAAAGATATGGCTGAAGCTCCGGAGTATCCTACGCCGCTTGAAGCCTTTACCTTGGCATCTCTCAAGCCATCGTCAAAACCGCGCTCACAATACCCTCGGGCAGTTGTTCCTCAGCGTCTGGAGGAATCTCCTGGCAGGGGTACCTTCTCCGCCCGTGCACTCACCCTACCACCCGTGGTTACCCTCAGGGGTTTGACCCGAGAGGATCCAATCGTCGTGGATGATGATGGTTCTGACTCCGACGATGGGCCAACTCAGGGCGGGAGCCATCGCGTTGAACCAACTCGGTCCAGGGACTGCCAAGTTGGTTTGATTGCACCCGTTGTCAACGGCCGCTCACGCAATGGACTGCCTCCATTCAATGCCAAGGTCGATGTGACTGATTCCGTCAATCATCCCAAGCCTGCACCAGAACTAACTGATGTGCTTGCCAGAATTGCCAAGGATGTCTCCGATAGTGTGCTTTCGCACCTAGAGCCTGTGGTAAACTTCCTGAATCAAGGGTCTGCCACAGAGCCGCAGTCAGAGGATAACCGTCCCCCGCCGCCAGCAACCGAGGCATCGGCTTCAGGACCACAGCCTCAATCGGACGATGATGCCCCTCTGGACACGGTTGGGGTGTCCAAAGAAAAGACCGGTCGGGACACGATCCTGGTGTCATCCAGAATGGAGACTCTCCTGGACACAATCGTGGTATCGTCCAGAATGAATACCCCTTCATCCACAATCGCGGCATCACTCAGGATGAATACTCCTTCGCCCACAATAACGGCGTCATCCAGAGCGAGAACTCCTTCATCCACAATCGGGGAGGTACCGCCTTTTTCAGCCTCAGTTACACCAACACCAGGATCTTCTGCATCGGTAAGACGACGGGAGCCATGGCCAAGACGAAGACCACTGCCCCCGCCGATCACAACAACGGCAACGGCCTCAACCACCACAGAAATCACGGCAACAAGAGCAACTAGAGCATCGACAACAAGAAAAAGATCGTGTTCCCCAGGAGCAACACCGCCAAGAAAGAGACATCGTGCGCCGACAAAGGGAGGATGAAGTCTTTGCCCATCATCACCTGGACCTCCAGACTGTTGGGGGTGATAGATGCTCTGGCATGCCATTGCCCCTGTAAGATAGTTACATATGTAGTTGTCACAATGCAATCTCAGTTCTCCCCTCATGGCCTTGGCTCTTGCGGTTTAGGCCCCATGACCGGTTAAATTGGGTGTCGACAGTCTTCACGACGCTCGATACCTCGTTCAATCGGCCATGGGTCGAGCCGCTGGAGCCAAGTCCACAGCATGATCACTGTAGACATGGCCACATTACTTGTCCTGACAAGTGGTGTTGTTGGAGGTCTTGTTGGACTGCCACCCAACATCTTGTCATTACCGACCCTCAACGTAAGGTCGTAGTTCGGATTGCAAATCAATGAAGACTTTTTAGTTCACGCTACTCCCAGTTATCCGAGGTGATCCGATATAGTTGGACTTACTGACATGGACTTTTCCACGCTCCATCACATCTCAAATATCATCAGTCAATCATTCGAAAACTCACCCAATATGGCTCACATATAGCTCGGGGTTTTCCTTTTCAATAGCATCACAGACGTTCATATCCAATTTCTGGAGCCCCCACCAATTCATTATCTGTTGGCTACATAGCTTTTCCGTTTCACTTCAAAACAGAGTCTGACTTCACGCGTCGTGAATAGAGATGGCAAGTACTCAACGGATCTTGGACGAACTTCCGCCGGCAGTACTGGGGGAAGGGAGTGCCTATCGCAATCCGCTTGCCTGGGAGTGATTCGGCCATGTTCTCAACTCGGCGAGAAGATGGAGGTACCCACGGCATCATACTATCAACCTCTCGTCCTATTTCCACATGTTGGAGGCGGCTGCGACTACGGCGCGTCGACAATTAGCAATGAATGGTGGACAGCCCACAAACTTGACTGCAAATCCAGATACTACAGCGAGCTAGCGAATGATATAGATCCTGACCCACTGGAGGCACGGGTTCTTGATCCAATACTTCCGCCCCAAGTACCAGAGGAGAGAACTGTCTAGATCGCAAGGTGAGTGCGGCCACAACCTCATCACAAAATGTGGCGCTCACATGACTCTGCCCACAGTCGTTGAAATAACCTGCTGCCCCTCACTATCGGATGGATAGTGTCCGCGTCTCTTTCAATGTCATCTAAAGGTGCTCTCTAAAGGTGCTCTCCAGCGAACTGCACGAGTCTCAAAACACCGATTTGACTTATGACAATCAATGCTTCGACATCTCGTCGGACACCTTGGCAACAATAGCATCATAACAACGCAGCAGAACCGGTCTATGCGGTCGTACAACTTCAGCGCCTCGGACTCGCCGAACATATCCCTCCTTGGACCTCCGTATTCTCTAAATCGACGTTTCTTGCCGTCACCCTGCTGCCGACTGGTCTAGTTGAGCCCAAGATGGCGCAACGAAAGAAAGCTGATACCAAAATACCTGCTCCCAAAAAACCTCCCTCTAAGCAACCTGCTTCTAAACAACCTGCTTCTAAACAACCTGCTTCTAAACAA